CTCATTGGTGATGAGCTCCCATTAATGTATGGAGATGATCTACGGTTTAGAGAATAGCCATTTTAATGTCAATGTTGTGCAGTCGATAGTGTACTGTTTGGCGTGGAATGAACACCGGCATCGAGATAAAATTTTATATGTGAAAAACACTCTCATAGCAGAGGATTTGCAAAATGTGAGCCGTCTTCGTTTTCTTGTTTTCCTGTGACAGATTGTCTTTTTTGCAACATTCAAATGTAATAGACCACTTCCTTGTCAATTGTGATCTATGACAATCAAATGTTAATTAAATTCGTTATAATTCTGCCACTTGTTCATTTGGTTTTGCAGCATCAGATTCAACCAGGATGTCTTCAAACCCTAAATTTATGTGTAAAAGATTTAAAAAAGTATTGACAAAACATGTTTGGAAGTTGGAAAATATTGTACAATATTTCTAATTGAACAATCGTCAATTATATCATAAAACTTGCTATATAGCCTATTGCAGGGATGGCGAACCACTGTCACAAGGTGACCCACCGCGTTTTATTCCTGACCCGCCAAGGCACGAATAAAATGAAAAAATGCCAACATATCAGTGATAAAAATTGATAAATCAGCCTAAAAATATTCTAACCATAACTAAACTATTATTATGTACCGTCAATTGGGCAGTCAGGGCTGCAATCGCTTATATGCAAATTGTATAATTAGTGGGTTATTAATTAATTAGTGATGGGACAAGCCGTGTCACTATAGAGTCATGAATTTTATTAGTTTCTTGCCTACAATGCCATTGAGAAAACAATATCTTTCAGACTTGAAAAAAAAACATGGAAATCTGAAATAACAATGGGGCAGTGTAAAAGAACCTCAATTTGGTTGAAAGCTGATCGAAAAATATAACACTGTCAGAGTGGAATTCCCTCCCAAACTCTTTGGAACCGTAAAATAATTTGCTGCATCATTCAAAACGTTTTTGGTAGGTTATATGCATGTTTTCCTACTCTAATTTCATAAAATCAAGTGCCATAAAAACTTCATGATAGAAGTGCTGCATAAGTAAAGCCCAAAACTACACCAACACCAACAGAAGCATATAATATTTGTTTCAGAAGTTTCTTAAAGATACAAACATTGATCAAATGTCTGTGACCCACTCTCTTCTATTCTTCTAATTTTTGACTCATTCACTGAAAAAGATTCGCCATCCCTGGCCTATTATATAGTATATTCTTGAGACTTATTTATTTGTTTTGTTACATCATCTGCCAGCAATTCAATGATTATAATACTCAATACTCCTAAATTTCCTGCCTTCATTTTGGTAATACAAGCACAATTGTTTTTAGTAAAATAAAAACAAGGCTGACACAGAAACATGTGGTTACAAGTATTGCAAATTGTCTTACATTGTGCTTTTCCTGAAGTCAGATAATCGGCCATTATTCATGTAATGTCATGTGCGGTATCAAAATTTGTCCATGAATTTATCCGGCCATGATCCCAACAACTGATATATATTTGAAACAATTATAAGTATATTTTAAGTGATTATCATTGGTATGGACATTTCAAGCTTCAGAATGACGCATAAACATGCATGACATGAAAAATAAACAATTCGAGTAATACATATCCAAATTTAGGTACAGTTTGCAAAGGTTACTGAACAACCAGCCAAAAGTATCGGTATTCATCAAATAACTATATTATACTTTATACAGGATCTGAAATATGATTTTCTTTTCCAGGCCTTCCTATGGATTTACCAACATTGATACTCACATCAACTATGCACATATGTCTAAATGTGGAAGTGTTCGCTTCAACCTTCGATATGTTTTTAAAAATCCCATAACACATTATTATGGCAAAAGTTCGCTTGTTCCAGTTTTGATATTTTGACAACAAGATTTGCAAAAGAGCGTGGATTAATAGATAAAGTCCAAATCCACTGATTTTAGTATAGACTGGGAGATTGTGATAAGATCGAAGTCACCCGCTATCAAAATGAACATAATTACTTAATTTTCAGGCGCATTAGGACCATGTTTATTTAAATATGATTATCAGTATGTAAATAGTATATATGTATGCTCAAAGACATATTAATTTTCAGTTTTTATTGAAAGTTGCTAATTAGTATTCCGACAATAGGTGTTCGGTGCATAGAAGTATTTTATTCATATGATCTCAAAGGTATCCAAATTTGAGAAGAATATGTTATACAATATCGTTATTAAAATATGATTATAATATTGTCATAAATCATTAAAAACCTCGAAAAGAAATGACTTCATATTAGATTTCTCACAGGATAGGAAGGTCACGTATTTAGGTATTATGCTTGGTAGTTATCATGTTAATAAGATTAAACTACTGCCAGGAACAGTATGAATCATTAAAATACGGTAGTTTCTGTCGTATAGGTGCCATGAAAATCCTTCAAAACCGTGAGGCTACATGGCTACTCTGCAGTAATATACAGGTTCGGTACTGGGTACCGCTACTGTTCCGCATGGCAACCATTCCAAATCAACCAGTAGTAAGTTGATGTCTATTTAATCTACCAGATAAATTTGTCAAACCCTCTTCGAATTCATCAGAATAAATATGAAAACTCCATCCCATACTTCTGAGAACGCAAAAGCGCGGTAACAACGCTAGCGCTCACCGTGAAAAGTCCAAAGTAGTAAACTACCACTAGATGGTGTAGGTGACGACGTAAAAGTACGGTGCTTGTCATCTTGTTGTTATGTAAAATCTATGGTCTGTGCAACCGATATTGAGGTATTTTTCGAATATTTTTTTATTATACCGAAAAAAAACCCGGGGCATTGCCCCGGTTGGCCCTATTGACGCGTCGCCACTGGTACTTTGTGTAAAATTGGTGTTCTCTTTGCGGCCCCTGAAATTCGTTTAGCGGCCTCTAGTTTGGGAAGCCCTGACCTACACGTCAATACAAAATGGGGATTCCCCAAATAATTGTACTCTGTTCATTGCCAAAACAAACCTTGCCGCTTGCCTCTCTGAAGAAAATTGGATAACGGTACCAGTACTTGCAGAAAAAAATTTCGAACAGGTAAGCTGTGAAAAAGCCCAATCACTTCAATCGTGATAATGGAAAGAGTACTGTAATAAAATCTATTTTAATACTACCAGACTACGGGTATTTGGTTCTGTGATTTATTTGTATTGATGGTTATTTTATCAGTTCAAAATGTGAGTAGATATAATAACGATATGGATCCACTTTGTCTTCAATATGGTGGAAATAGCCCCAAAGTTTATCACATTGCGTTGAGTGGCCTTGCTATCACAATGTGTGGTCTGTGGTGCTATTGCTGAACTCTTCAGGTTTCTGGGTTTAACTGGCAATATATTTTTCATGAAAGTTTATCTCTACTGTTCACTCCCATTTATAAAATCTATCAATTCGGCAGTGGCAAACGTTATAAATTTATTAATATGGGGTGGCAAGTAATTTTTATTTATTTTAACTACCCCTATGTAATTTATAACTTCTGTAGGGTTGTGTGTGTGAAATATTTGCATTATTTTAGGTGAGTGAACCGTACCACTTCTTCTTGGCAAAACCCTCCATCTTGTATACATTCTGTACGTTTTAAACCTTATCTAAGGTTTTGTTTGCTCTCCTGATTCCATAATCAGTTTTTATTCATTTTTTTTACCAATCATTTTATTGTTATGCTGATTATGGAGTCGGAATAAACTTATACTAATTGTCATGAAGTGGTTTATGCAACGACTGTTACCTAAGTTATGGCTTCTTCCAACAATGTCAGAATGTAGTCAAACTTTTAAAAGTGGTATATGAGGGCAACATAATCATATTTAAGCCTAAAACCTACAGTCATTTTATCAAAATCCCTCAAGTTGGACATGACAGGATTTTGCTATTTTTTGTCGATCCTTTCCCAATTAATAAAACTTTTTACAATCTAGACAAACTCTTGAACATGCGGTCTACGGAAGAAAAGTTGGCAAGATATCGTGCCAATAAGAAAAAGGAATATCATAATTCACAGAATTCTGCCAATTTTTCAAAACCCACAGCTACGGAAAGACGCTATATTTGGAATAGAATATGGGATAAAGTTAGAGATTCTGTGGGACATTTTGGCATTGTTGACAAACTCAAAAACATCTTACCACCAATACCTATACTTGGATGGGAGCTATTTTTAAAAGTGCTTTTGTGGTTAATTTTATACATGTTATTTTTGGAACTTGAGTTTGGTATGGTTTTTTTATTACTGTCCGGCTTTTATTTTATTTACTCAAACACACGGACAAGAAGTAGGCTCAAAAATGAACCAAGTGCATACTCTGTTTTCAACCCAAACTGCCAAAGGTTACAAGGATCGCTGACTGCTGAACAATTTGAAAGTGAAATCAGGTACGGCAGTGGAAGCGTCCATTAGAAAAAAAAATTTTGTATTACTAATAGCCTATTTTTTAATATTATTATAATACATATTTATGCACATATTATAAATTAGTCAAACTGTACAAAAGCAGGAGTGCGGCTGACGCAAAACATAAGCGAAGGTTCCATTAAAGATTGAATAAATGAAGTACTTTCTATGCATAGTGCGGAAGAAACAAAGTTCTAAAATAGGCGATGGGGCGAATCCAACAGAAAGGTTGATCTAAATATTGTCATACATTTATTTTGTTGGGGTGAAAATAATAGTAGTTAGTTTTATGTATTGTGTTTTTATCAGAATATTAATATGTTTCATCAAACTTTTCTTGACAATCAAATGTATTGATATATTTTTTGGAATACACATTAAATCTTGAATTGGGCTGTTTTGTGATTTTCATGTAAGCAGTGAGAATCTTAAAATTAGATAAATTAAGTATACACCACACTATCATACAACATTTTGCAGTTGAACCAATTTCTGACATGATGAAATTGAAATTATAGGGAAGTTGAGCAACAATTTTCTGGTAACCTACCATATAGCAAACTAGAGAAATGCAAGTGCAGTAAAATATAATTTATTCAGTCAGGTATCAACAGTATATAAAGGCACTCTTGAAGGTAGAAAAAGTTTCAGTGTTTAGAAATGATTTGGCCTATGCTAAAGTACAAACTCTACGCATTATATTAATATAATAATGTGTATATAGGAAGAATAACATTTGGTGAAAAAAAATACACTGGTTTGTAAATTCAGCCATCTGGGACTGCCTTCAACTCACTAGTCGTCTCATCGATAACGAGCTTCACATTCGACCGAGGTGAGGTTGAATCATGTGACGGAGTGGAAGAATTTTTCAGCCACGCTAATCCACCACCGTTTGCCGATAATTTCAATGGTTCGCTTTGGTCCATTCCCCATGCATTCATAGGTCGAGTTGATCTTGGTGGTAGCGAGGATGGAGCAACGGAATCGAGCAATTCTCTTGCAGCATGATATGGAACTGAAGGAGGTGGCTGAGATTCGAAACTGTACCCAAAATATTTAGACATGTTTCTCAACTCTTCATCAACTCTGGAACTCACTGAATTATGCCAAGCTTCTCGTAGCGAAGGGTAAACAGGCATAGCTGGTTGAGGAACATTGGCCCACTGTTGTGGTGGTCTCTGATAGCTAAAATCATATGAACGAGAAGGAATAGCTGGGTGTTGTTGAGAAGGTTCTGGCAATTTCGTTGCTACCAAACCAAGAACAGTATTCAGCTTATCATCCACATTTTTGAGATATTGCATAACATCTAGAGAAGGCTGATTCATATGCATACCAGATGGACGGTTTTCATCTGTGAAAGGAGCACTATATGCCACATTGTTACTGCCATTAGGAATTGCTGCAAATTGTTGATCTCTATCTCTAGCATATATCTGCTCAGCTGAACCTCTGATTTGGTCAAGACCAACTTCTTGTTCAACATAACTCCGCTGAATTTTTTTCAGGAGTTCTTGTGTCTCTGCAGAAACGGATTTCCTATCACTGCGCCATGATCTAGCTTCTGCTGATCTTTTTGCCGCTGTCCTTTGCTTATGTAAAAAGTCTCTCGCATTTCGTATCCCATCTTCCTCTCTTTGATTTGACTTTTTGGAGAAAAAATTCTGTACCAAGTCATCTGGAGGATCAGAAGCAAAAGAATCCTTTACAGGTGACTGATCTTGATACTCGATATCTCGTTCTACCAAGTCTTCAATATTGAGCTTGCTGTCAAGGTCTTTCATTGCGTGCCTTGGGGTACTTGGCTTTGAATGCCGTGGGGAAGACATCTTGTCCTGTTGTTCAGTAACACTTTGATGCTTTTGCTTCAGGGAATTGATTTTTAACTCTGCACGATTTGTCAGTCTGGATATTTCATCATTTTGCGTATTTAAATATGATCTTCTCGTATTAAGCATGTCTAAATCATTCTGCAGTGCCGATAGTTGTGTTTGATATTTTTCAGCAAGAGATTCCTTTTTCAGAGATAAATCTTGTTCCAAGCGATTCATTTCCACTTTGTGCTCGTATTCTATTTTCGTTCTCAGTCTTTCCTTTTCTCTCCTAGATTGGGCGTCATTTTCATCTCTCATGCGTCTCATTTGTTCCTCGTGTCTTTCCTGGATTTCTCGTATCTGCTTGTCATGATCCGCTTTCATAATTCGAATTTTATCACTATGAATTTCTTCCATCATACTAGATTTTTCATAATATTCCATTTCTTCGTTTATTGATTTTTTCTGTTCGCCATGGACACCCATTGCATGTTCTTGTTTTAAATCTTTGAGAGCCGATTTCTTTTTATTTGCAAATCTTTCTTCCTCATTTTTTATCATCCTTTCCAATTCAATTTCATGCGTAGTTCTCAAAGACTTGATCTTTTCCTGTTTTTCAGCTTCTAGACGAGATTTTTCCTTTGAAATATCCTGTTCATTAGTGCTTCTCAAGGAACGTAATTTTTCTTGCTTTTCGGTTTCAATTCGTGATTTTTCTTCTGCAATTTCCTTCTCCAGTTTTAGTTTTGCCGTTTCTAAATCATTTAATTTCTTTTGTTCCAACTTTTCGTTATCAGTTTGACTTTTAACCAGGTTTTCATGCATTTCAGCTCTTATCTTTTTTTCTTCTTCCCCCATCTCACTTTTCAATTTCTGTTTTAATCTAATTAAGGCCGTCATTTGTTCTTCTTTTAACTTTGCTTCTTCATCTTCAGTTTCCTCATTTATCTCTCGTTTCAAGTCCTTTAGCTTCTCCTTATGATCCTTTTCCAATTTTGATTTTTCTTTCTCAAATTCTGAATCCAAGGTACTTTTAATTTTTTCAAGCATTAATGCATGATCCCCGTCACTAGATTTTTGCATACGTAACTTCGAATCCACCTCTGGCTTGACTTCTTTCGTTTCCTTTTCTTTGTTGAAAATTGTTTGCGGTAAAGGTTGTTTAGTAACAGTTGGTTCTTTATCTTCTGTACCAGTTTTATTTATTTTTGATTTCGTTTTTTGATTCGCTTCGTCTGAGTTTGATGATACAATCATTTTATCCATACTGTCAACAGCTCCTTCACTTTCCTCTGATTCTAGATCTTCAGACTCCTGATATTCTACGACAGAATCTTCAAGATCCATAGTTTTCAACTTATCCACCTGTATTCTGCCAATTTCAGCACTGCTGCCGAGAGAACTTCCTAAAGTCCCTCCTATGAATGGAGAAGCTATAGGTTTCAGATCTTCTATGCCACCAACAATGTTATTTCCAAACAATGAACCAAGACTGGGTGCTTTAGTAGTTGGAGATAATAGGTTTGCAGAACCTGGAAGCTTATCCAACCCCTTGATTGGATTTAATGGTTTTAGAGAGCTTTCCAGAGGTTTAGGTTTGTTTTTATCAGCCTTTTTCTTCTTCTTTCCTTCTTTTTTGTTTTTCTTTTGGCAGGAGGATCCGCAACCACCGTTTTGTCCGCTTTTCTCGCTCCATTGCAACCATTCCTCTGTAATATTCATCGCAAGGATGATCCCATATGCTGTCACCCGAATCAAAATTGAAGTAATAAATATCACCACTGACATCTTGGCAAGGTTTCCAATTGGGAGGTAGAGGTGCATTTATACCTTCTTTAGCAATCCACATCAAATCTTTATCATTTTCAGGATCCAAACCAATGACTTTTGCATATTCATTGACTTCATCCTCTGTTGGAATATAATTTTCATCATAATCCTCCTCCAAGATAATTTGATCACTCATCATCATGAAGGTTTATGTGTTAGAAAATTTATATCACACATTCTGGAAACAAAAAGGAAAATAAACATAAGGTAGGGGATAAGATTGAATAATTGGAAATGATATTGCTGACATGTTAATAATAGAGCACCACACCAGTGAAGCATTGATTGGATAACTTGATAATGATAGGATTTCATATTTATCTAGGGGGAGAGGAAAGTCGATAAGACAAATTAATCATATAACGTACCACAGCTTCTAATTCAGATACCAGTTCTGGTCAGGTATGGGATGAGTTAGCCAGTTATTCATTTCAGATGTAAGGACTTGATACTTGAATAGTAATGCTAATTATTACATTAGTAACTCCATAGGTTTACAATAACTCTGACAAAACAAACTATAAACAGAACTGGAATCTTATCCCAAAAAATATCAGAACTTTGTAGAAGAATCAATCATTGAAAAACAAATTTAAAGATCAATAGAAGTTAGAAACTGGAACAATGAAGAGTAGTTACCGTATGTATATGCTCGTTTTACAGCCCGATCCTGATTAAGGGCCCGTTTGAATAGCCGCCCGTGTGAACACAACATAAAAATAAATAAGGGCCGGTGCTCGGCAGATGTAAAAGCTGATCTTCAGTGGTAGAGAAAAATAGAAAATAAACAGCGCTTTTGTCACAACGCTGTTGAATTTTAAGCGTTGGTAGATAACACTCACGCCTTAGACATACAAAAGTCAAAACTTGCGTTATTCTCGTTTAAATCATACTTGAGAACTGGAAATGGCAAGATATTTTGTGTATAATTTCACTTTAAAAATAACAAGCGCCCGTGCTTGAATAAGGGCCGGTTTGAATAAGGGCCTGGTTAGTGAGTTTGGGTTAAAAAAATATGGGCCCGGGCTACAAAGCGAGCAAGTACGGTATACATTATTAAAGCCAGTACACAAATTCTTATCAACATGAAACATCCCCCACTTGAGAATACATCCTACATTTTCTAAAATGAGAATTTTATAAACTCGTGTATAGTTTTTGATAATATTGGAAGCGAAACATGACGACAGCATCTATACCAATTATTTGCAGGTGCTGTGATAAGGTGCATGAGTTTTAAAATCTCTCCATGTTGGTGGTACACCAGCACTTAAAATTTTACCACACTTATTACAACTATCAGAAAATAGAGTCTTATAATTTTGAAGCCATGTCAAAATAAATCTTGGTTTAAGATCAATCTGTAGTTGTGGGTAATGATCAACATACAACAACGCTGCCGTTGCATGATCAGTGATCTGCCTCATACATTCATATCTTGATGAAGTAAACATATCTGGGTTTTCGGCCTGATTTTAAATATCTTCATCTAAGCCTCTGACAATTATTTTTTCAATATATAAACTTTTGAAAGAATCAGAGCAAAAAAGACATGCTCTACTGTAATATGTAAGATTCTCGTCGAACCAAGTGAAAATATTACTTTGATAGATAAATCTGGAACCTGACGTGGTAACATATTAGAAAGATAATTGTCCAACTGATTCGCAGGAAAATGATGTGGTTTTACAGTCTGAGGTGGATTCGACACAAGTCCTCTTCTGCTTTTAAAAGAGACGTTGCAGAAGTAGACGTCGTTCGCTTATATGCATGAAACGTGCTAATGAGCAATTTTGTCCCCTGCTGTGTGATTTTGTATACCACTGATACGCTAGCAACGTATTTTGAAACAGAGAATTATCATCAGCACTGCTTTCCCATTCCAATTGACCAGCAGGACCTAGAGGGGTAACGGACAACTCTGGTACAGTTGTCATTGCATTTCCCCAATTTTTTCCAGCTCTGTAAAATCTTTGTTGACGGCTTGTAAAAGTTCTTGGTATCTTGCAAGAACTGATTGCTAGAACTTTGTGTCGAATTTTCATCAGCATTCATACCATCCTCTCAAAAATTCAAATACATTTGTGACTGTAGTGCGGAGTTGTTGTGTGGCAGCTATCGCTTGATTTGTCATATTGAGGCACATGCTTCGCTTGAGGTATACTTGGAAAATCCATTTTCTTATAAATTTATTGAAAATATTACTTTACCTGAATTTTTCATGAAGAAAAACAAATGTTAACTATACCCAATTATTTTAATTCGATTATCAAGAATTATTATGTATAATTTTCCTCTCCCCTAGGATATTTATGAAAATTCTAATCAAAACACAAAAAATTAGATTTGGATTCAAAATGCTGAAATGAACCATTTATCAGCAAAATCATTATATAAAATGAATTTTCCAAGAAAATGGTATTATATTCCATCAATTAATTACTTGAAAATATTTAAAAGAAGGATATTTCCTTTTGAAAATTAGGCAACTAGATCTCGAGGATTAAGTACTTAAGCTACTGAGGTTAAGATTTCAGTCGGCCCATTCCCATAAAGTTATACATTACATGGAATGTCTAAATAGTATTTAAAAATAAAGCTTTCTGGAGAATTCAGATTATCAACACATACAGACATAACTTTTCTGTAAAATATGCTCTTTCTCAAGTAAAATCATGATTTATAAAGCATATCTGTGCTATTTACCAATTATTTATTTGTATGGACTTCTAGACTTACATGTTACTAACTCTAATCCTATTTTGAAAAAATAGGGGTTAATGGTTGAGGCTGAAACAGGTCTTTTTAATCTTTAGCAGGCCCTAAGCACTTAATACCGGTACCGTAACAGGCATCCTTCAGTCCTTAATTTTAAATTGTTGGACACGAAATGTACCGTACACCTGTATCGTTTTGTGTTTTACTATAATACCGTACTACAGTACTATGGATTAATCATCGTTTAAAAAAGATGTCTTTGAATTCTGAAATTGTTCAGTTTTATTTGCTCAAAAGATAATGCAATCGCTGACACCTGTAGTGTTGCCGATTAAATCTACAAAAAATAAAGAGCATAAAATGAACGTTACGAGTTTCCCAATTATGAGCTTTCCAGTTAGAATACAGTTACTTATTTGCCCATTTTCAACATGCTCTGTCAAAGTACAATACTTATTTCATTTGGTTCCAATTAACACATTAACACCAGGCGAAATTTGCGTCAGCTCAAGGAACACGAAAGTCATAAAACCGAAGTTGAAACGAAAAATAAACAACTTTGAAATGAGCTACATTGCGTGGTGTCGCTCGAGGCACACGGACAAACAGACAAATACCTTTGTGCGTCGGCGCGTAACCAATTCTGATTGGTCGCCCAATCCGTGCTCGTTTTCAGATTGCGATTTTCTTTCTGTGTCTGGGTTTGCTTTTGTGCCCATTTTCATTTAAATTTTACTGTTCGCGCCGACGCAGGTGTCCCAATTTGCGATCCATAACAGGGTTTTTTATGACGCTGCGCATACTTATTCAATTAATAGGTAAGGTATTTCAATCGCCGAAAGACTGAAAAGATGTGTGTATCTTTGCGCGGCGGTGTGGCTCAACGGGCTAAGCGTTAGGAATACGCTCGCCACCGCACCTCTAATTACTCTGCGTGGGTTCGCAGGTTCGAATCCCATGCAGGGATGGTTATGTGCGAGAGGATTGCTGGACTCCTCGCCGTCGTTGGGTGGTTCACGTAACCGCTGGTCGGTTACGGCTTCCTCCACCACCAAGTCCATGCTTCCGAAAACAAACAATACAGTAAAACTAATCCCATACCCGACTTGGAATGGTAACCGGACGAGAGGCCGTGGTTCGCCATATGGATAAGCCGTCTTATCGGCTTTCCTCTCCCCCGGGATAAATATGTAAATCCTATCCTATCCTATCCTATTCTATATTAAAAATACATACATTCAGTCATTTGTTTGGTTATATTTATGCTATATCCTTATAGCTTGATAGCCTATTACCATGCTTTTCTCCTACAACTGAAATATAAAAGCCTACAGAACTAGCCTACTTAAATAACGCCAAACAAAAAGTATGATATGGAAAGTCATCTTAATTTCTTGTTCAGTTGTTGTAAATGAAAGTCCTGTCTTGCTACAGTGCTACGGGTCGGTCGACCTTGGAAGTCTTGCCCGTCCCTTCTGTATATATTTTTATGCCTATTGTTGTTTGCTGGTGCTTACTGTATTATGTACTTGTACCGTATCGGAAATAAATCATTATCTATCTGTCTTGTCACAGTGTCAGTTTGTGCGTAATGTTATACAGTCTACTCTATTTCATTATTTGGCATGTGACATACCCGCTTAGTTGTAATTTAGTAGTTTTATTTTCAACTAAACGTGTCTTTAAAAATTTCATTCTGTGCCAGACAGACTTTTTATAAGATTTCGTTTGGCGGTATTTGACCAGTTACTGCACCGTATGGCATTCATTTCACGTCCCATTTTGTTTGATGGTATTTCAGCAGAGACTTCCATTAATTGAATTATCACAGTACGAGCTGAATTTCTGGCTTGTAAAGTCAAAGAATTATATTTTTATTCATGTTAGATTTATACGAGCGCGCAACTATTTTAATATGGAAGTGAACACTGGGGAGCAAAACATTAACTGGGATTTTAATGCACCCACTTTCGTTGACTTTCAAAATGATGAACATGAAAAAAGTATTGAAGTAGATGACTATTTTAGTAAGTATTTTTATTTATCAATTTTATTACTCAAACTTGTTAAACATAACTCTTGACATTAATATATATAATTCATTTTTTGTCAGTATTTATTGTAGCAAAAAATATTTACAGTATTAGTGATACTACTTGATAAATAGGCGTACTAAATATTTAAAACAACTTTTCCAAACCTGAATTTTTCTTGCTTTTACAATAGTTTTCTTTAAAAATTTCTTGATATTAATTATAGATCAGCGACCACGAAAAGCTTAAATAGTGCTGTTTAATACAAGATGGCTTTGCAAACGAACTTAACATTGAAATGATGGATGAGGAAGAATAACAATCAGCAAACTAACATCAAGGAAAAAGATTCAACGAAGATCCAAATATTGAACCTGTTGAAAACCATACAGAGGAATCTAGTTCCAACTAACAGACGAAGTAAAACGCACAGGATCTAAATCCTCCAACTCATGTGAAATGAGCCAGCAAGTATTGAAGAAATATTTCCATCAACAAGGTAATGTCCTCATAAATGACCCTCGTCTTTTGAACAAAATTATAAAGAACAAGATATTACAACAGAGAGTGGTTCCGAAGTTCAGCGCGCGAAACCATCAATTACATCTGAAATTGATACTGATTCATTGGAAGAAGAAGAAAATGGAAAGGATGATTGTGGCGACGCAGAAAATAAGGAAGAAATCACGAATAATGTCGATTCAACTGAGTATGATGAGATAATGGAATCTAATGCGCCAGAAGAAGAGAATAAAAATGCATCTGAAGAGCCTAAGGAAATGGATACTTCACCAGCGACTAGACAGACGCCGCCAACCCCCAATGAGGAAAAAAGTAATGCTAAAGTTCTAGCTAATTTGATAACGCCAAGTCGCCTTGCTTCGTGGGAACGCAGTCGCCGAACTCGACGCAGGTAAATAAAGTCTAGTCTATCTAAAATATAAAATTTTATGTATGTTGCATCATTATTTACCATTATTTTGTTCTAATTTTACGTTATAAAAAATATGGTGTTTTTGCATTTTGTATCATGAACTAATGGTGAGGTTGTCAAAAGTATTTTTAATACAAAATTTAATAAAATAATAAAATTTAATCACATAGCAATTTTAGTTTTCTTATTTTTTATATTTTTTTTTGTCTGGAATTCAGAGTTGTGTTAAAAGTAAATTATTTTAAACGCCTTTTTTCATAACTTATCAACTGGTGTAAAATAAAATCCCGAACTTACCATGATTTAAAACATCCAACGATCCATGTCGTATTCTGTTGAATCTAAAATTTGAAAAAAATGAAACCTTTTTTATCAGTGTTGCTACAACATCTACAAATGATCATAGATCAAAACGACTGGAAAAATTGAAAGTAATTCGTAAGAGTGGCAGATCATTGACTCCAGCCAATCCCGCAGATCCTCCACCAACTAAGAAAGTTAAAAAGAATCCACCAAAAGTGAAATTGACAGAATCTATAACCCCAACTGTATTGAGGTGAGAATGTTATTTATAGTGGTTCAGTAAGAGTAGACAGATTTTTTTTAAAATAACTTTTTTTTAGTTTGGTTTTGTATTATTTGTTTCAATTTAAAGATGAATTAATCAAATTTTACTGGAGGTTTTGATTAGTAAATCATTCAGATGTATTACAGTTCTAGTGAAATAGAAAGAAATTGTTCGAGCTGGTCATAAAACTAATACACAAATTCGTTATATTCTTCACAATGCCTCCAACTTGGAAAACACAAAATTATTCGCCTTATGAACAGTTCTAAATCCCTTTGAAACATGAAAACTACGGTAGTTATAGTTATATAGGTAAAGGTAATTGAGAGGTGATTTATGATTGCTCTGATAAGGAAGTGACTGTTGCAAGAAACTTCGCCTGGTTATGTAGAAATGGTCTGTTATCAATTCAATGCAAAAGTCATGTGAAAATATTTTATCCCACTTTAAATTATTCAACTCTTTTTAATAATAATAAGTTATTATTTTGTTAGACACTCTAGAAATGCAAGTGTGCCGAAAGTTAAAAGTACAGAAGAAATGGAGTTGGAAGAAATTGAGGAATTAAAGTATCAAGCCAAGCAAATGGCTAAAGAGGCTAGTAAATCATTTAAACGTGCACTCAAAAATCCTTCTGCACATACACCAAGTGGCACACCATCTGCGAAGTTAACAAAAGTCAAAGGTAATAATGAGAAACTGTAAACTGAATAGTTTACCTAAGTAATTCACAGAAAAACCCAAATGTACAACACATTCAATATTATATTATTAATAGTAAATATAATTCTATTTTTTCATATATTTTGCGTCAGAATTCAAATTTCAAACCGACAATAGAATTAAGTCAAATCATTCTATGGATACGAGATCTAGAAAACTGTCTTCAGAAATTGATTTCACCAAGGGTCTTCGTCAACATCCACCTTCTCCTGTGAGTATACTTGTCTAAAATTTTTTTTTTTATCCATATGGCTATGCTTGATATCTCGTTTGAATGACTTAGTATATCAAACCAAGTTGGTACTAATGTCACAGCTATTTCTGAATGGCCAGGGAAACAATAAAAATAATGAAAATAAATATTATGATATTAATTTTTGATAAGTTTGTCATTTTTCTTGGCTTCTTAAGTACTTGGTGATGGTATAACCTTAATTTAATGTCCATATACTCAAGCATTGCTCTCTTTTGTTATTGTTATGAGGTTATAGTCGAGTTTCAGGTTGTAGAATATTGACATGGCAATTAGTAAATGACTCAATCAGAATACTAGGGATGGGCAATGTAGAATAATTAACTATTCTAGAATAGTTAAATTGAATCCAGAATACCGAATCCTATTCTATAGTGGGAATTTCCACATTGCTGGATTTAGCTGTTAAAAAATTGTAAATGTATTACCATAAATGTATTAGGTATTTGGAAATGTCCTGAACATTGGATTTCATTTGATGCTAAACAGGCATTTCCAAGGATAATAAAATTTAAGAATATAACAATATTTTTTGCCTTCAAGTGTTCCAAATATATGTAATCCCGAAATACTGATATGCTAAATTAAACACACTTTACATTTACACACTTCAATTAATAGTAAGCGGTTAAATACAAAAATAGATATGAATCGTTAAATCATTATTAATGTTAGTCTGCCGAGTGTACTTAAACATACCCGTTGAGAATTAATTAGATTCAGTATCAACGTGAGGCCACTGCAACCTATGTGGCTGTTGTAAAATATTAAATTTAACCACTATCAATCAAAATCAACTTTTTATTCTGTGCGAGCAAGACTCGTAAAACCAAGTTCCCATAAACGCGATTTCGTACTTACCGTAGTTATTAGGTAATAACATCTGAAGGCGAAATTCATTTTCTATGTTATCGTTACATATTATTATCTACCCAGACTTGGCCCTACTCAAACTCAATACGTCATTATCTTCGCTAGATGCGTCAATTTTTTTAATATTTAATATTTATCGGCGATTAAAATACTACAGACACTCGATCAAACTTGCGTCTATCTGGAACGATAGAAACGACCGAAAAAATATGTAATCTTTTGAGAGTGAAATTAAAATCTGACAGATTTTTGCTATATAACTTTGTATTTCGGAAAATGATGTGATAAAATTATTCGTAACTAATATTTGATTTAAAATAATCGCAAACAAATGTTATAACATTTAACGCCTGGCTTTTGGTTACATGCATCATTTTTTGGGAAAACTCGCAGGTCGCATTTAATGTAAAATGAAGCAAGTCACGTCTGTGAACAATTAAAGATTGTTGCAATCAGAATATCGCCAGTAAGTCGGCACAAAATAATTCTTATTATTATACGCTAGCTAGAAAGAAAAGCAGTGAAACGCTAAAATGGGTGCAATAACAAGACTTCGCCGACTTCTTGTCCTGAATATGCCTAATAAGATTACCGTGTTCGATCTTTACCGATTTTATGAGCAGACGTAAATTTAATTTAACGAGAGAGATTTCCACGCAAGAAATGAACGCTTGTGAGTTTTCCACGCTAGAAAAAACGCTCGTCTCTGATTGATAAATTAGAACCCGAAGTACCAAAATTGACACTTCGCGCCGGAAAGGCGGAAACCGAATCCTGTTATCGGATCCTGTTGGATTCGAATCCTCTGGATTCGGTATCCTATATACTTCAAGACAACATATCTACGTAGTTCAAAAATATCAGTACTAAAATCGGTAACAATAGCCATACACATGTATCATAATATAAGTCAGTTCTGACTATATCTGTGATAATGGTAAATCGTTAAGTATGGAGTTTGAAATTTATATAAATCGTTCCTTAAGAAGTTCCCAAATGATATTCAGCAAGTAGTGGAATATTTTAAAAGATTTCATTTTTTGATAGGATGCATATATTAATAATTCTAAGAAGATCTGAATCAGAACATTACACACTGCGCGGTGCAGTAATTTAGTTAATAACTGTCATGCTGATTATCATTCTACAGTCTCTAATCGTTTTCACCAAACTGTCCTAAACCTTTTTCCTATTTGTTACTTTATATTTTTTCCATACAGACTAAGCTGAAAAAGACTGTTGTGAAACCATTTAACCTGTCGTCGAATAGAAAACGTAAGGCTGTTGAACCTGCAACTTCGTTAAAAGGATACGATTTTACACCAATGGCAAAAGCAGTGATGAATTTTAATAAGGGTACCAGAGTGAATACAGCGAAAGCAGAAATTCGCAAAGGTGATTGAACCTAGCATTCTTTTTTAGTTTTACTACTTATTCAAGGACATCCGTTAGGTCCATTTTTTGAGGAAATTTTCTTGAAGCAAGGCCACGCATACTCACTCATAAACGAGAATAAAAGAGCTATTGAGGTTTCAATGAATTATAGTGTATATTTCTGCGTTAATGAATTCTGATTGAACCAATACAAAACAGCAATGAAGCGGTGAATTCCCATTAACAAAGTCATAATTTGTTATCATTTTATTTTATCATATTGTAAAAAGTTTTTGCTTCACTTGTGATAAGGCTCTGGACAAAGAGCCATTCTGCCATATGAAACCATAGGATTTTGAATGAACTGTTATGCATCTTATTAAAGACAACTTTTTTCTTGTCGCTTGTGGGGTTGTAGCCATAGAAATTGAACTAGGTAATTCTGGCCTTCCATGCCATTATTATTTTAGTCAACTTCTTACTATACACAAATTTCTAGGTAAAATGCAATAAGAAAGGTATCTTATTTATTTTTTATAATATTATCTCATTCAACCATCTTTGTGGCAACTGACACATCTAACGTAGGTAGTAAATAAGGAGAAAGGCAGTTTTATACACAATACTCTAGTATCGTATAAAATGTAATAGATGGGTCGAATATTCCTGTATTCTTGTTTTACAAATCCAGGACCGATGAAAGCAAAATTAGGACTGACAGTTGCGAAAACACCGAAACTTGAGTCAAGATCTAGAACTCGAACTGTTACTGTGGTGGGACAGAAGGAAATGGAAGACCAGGAAGTTGAAGAAATGAAAAAGTAATCAGAAATATCAAACATTTATATTACAGAAAAGTGTTGATTACTTTTATTTCAGTTTAAAATTCAATTTTTTTCGGTTTATACTGAAGATGCGTCTGTTCAAATCATAATAGTGGAATATTAAATTGAATGTTATTCATAATTTTGTTCATTTTGAATATTGGATTCCTACTCATTAGGCATCCAAATTTTTTATATTTATACATAGATGCGATAATAGCGAATAATGTGAAAGAAGTGATTAATTTGTATGGATTCTGAAACATTTTTTACAGATATCAACGATATGTATTATATCAAATTTAATAATATATTCCGGTACTTATTTAAAAATTTTATCTTCATTTGCTATAGGGAAGAAATTGATAATATTATGATTCCTTTTTAGTCCAAGTTACTTGGGATTACTTTTCCTACACAAATTGTCTCACTTAATATAAATGCTTTTTATGACATGTAGCTAGATGCCCTTTTATAATAGGGAGAATAATGATTCAAATTTTTTTTATTCAGTTACCAATTTAAGGCAAAGCCTGTAAATCGTGATATTCTCGATCATCCTGGTGCATTGCCTGAAGTAAAGAAATGTCCTCCTACAAAACCTATTGGATTCAATCTTGAGATTGACAAACGGGTTGAGGTTTGTTTCTTTTTTACCTTTCTCAGTTAGAAATAAGGTTTTAATAGTGAAAAAGTTTTTCATTTTCTATATATTTTTAGGGAAGGCCAGTGCATGACAAAGCTGAATCTCCTACGAAAGAATTCAAAGCACGCCCTCTTCCAACGAAAATCTTGGAAGGACCTCAGGTTTGTTAATAAGAGCATATCTCATTTTATAGGACTTGATATGTGTATGCTATACTTTCAACAAGATATTGTGAATTTCATACTCTAAGTTGGGTTTGCATTAGGCAATTGCAAGCTTGCAACTGTTTTATCTTCTGAGGCTTGCTAGATGGTTTGAGAGTGTTTGTATTAGAAAATTAGTTGTCAAGTGTATAAGAAATTTGTGAAGTCTATGTGGATGTTACATCAAGCTTTGATTTTCCGTAACAATGATCGATCAGTATTAAGTGAACAATGACGTTACAATCGCAACTTAAGAACAACATAATGTTACTTTATTTTTTTTCCCACTTATAGGAAGTTCCAAAGCCAGAACCCATAAAACCAACTGTACCACAGAGTCCTGCATTCAAATTGAAGAACAGAATGCATCTCGCTCAGATCAGGAAGGAAAACAAAGAAAATTTTGAGAAAGAACAAGCTAAAGCAAAAGCTCTGGCTGAGGTATTAGTGTAATTATAAAAGTATCACAGAGTCCTACCAGCACTTAGATAGGTGGTTTTTAACCTCTATGGCAGTGGTTCTCAAACTTTATGAGCCTGCGGAGTGAGGACCCCATATGCTTTTCTGAAGTAACCGGGGACCCCACAATTTTCAAACCGAAAACACAAAAAGAAGAACATACCATAGACCTACTCGGATAACATTTATATTAGCTGCCACTCCTCGCGTACGAAATAGCTTACTGATTTATCTCGTGTGATCTTGCACATCAAGTTTGTTCCTAGATTTCGTCTTGATTAAAACAAATATAGAAAACCCACTTTCACATAGGTGATTGGAGACAGAGGGGATAATGATTTTAAATGCAGTGGTGTTATGCTCACAACTACCTGTTTTTGAGCGATATATAGCACTGATATAATGAAAAGATTATCAACCTTTTTTTATACGAGAGGTCTACATCGGGATTAGTCGTTGTCGTATTTTTGCTGTCTGCCATTTTGCTGCTAATAGAATGAATGTGAAACTTTACAGTACCGATAGACGGACGAGATCGCTAAAATGTGGTCATGGAACCACGACATAGTGCGAATTTTTTAATTTTTATGACGTCAGCACAAAGAAATTTAAAGTGGAAAACGAATTTCATAGAGAACACAGAATTTTTAAAAATAAGTAATAGCCTAGCCTTCTAGCAACAACAACAATCTTCAACCGCTGAAATTTTGAAGCATTTGATCCTGTACAGAAAAAAACAGAAAAGCGATTTTTCACAAGAAGAAGAGGCAAATACAAAATGACAACATTAGCTTATAGCGCAAAAAATAAAGTATCTTCATATTCCTTCGTGGTGTCCTAAGGGTTCCGCAGACCACGGTTTGAAACCCACTGTAGCGAAATTCCGAGAAACTATTCTGGACGTTCGAGGAACCCCTGTGCAATAAATATCTTAATTGTCAGTTATTGCCTTAAATATATAAACTATAGATATATAAAAGCAAGCCCCATGCTAGCAATAGTAATGAGTGTTGCAAGTTTAATGATAGCCACAAACGTAATGGTAAGGTATTTGAAATTGGTATGTAAATTTCAATTTAATCATGTGAATGTACTCGTTTTATAGAAGGAAAAGAATGAAACAACCTTCAAGAAACCAACGGTAACAGCAAAAAAAAGTATTGAAAAGAAATGTGAAGTGAAACCATTCTCATTTGACTCCAGGGATAAAGAACGATTCGCTAAAAAGGAAGAAAAAATTAAACAAATTTTGGAATCCGAAAAAGCGGTTCGTATTTGTGTTTTATCTTTTGCATTTCAAGACTTTTAGAGTTTAGATTTTTGACCTACAACCTGTAGAACTGTTAGAACTATGAATTTGTTAAAATCAACACCAACATAATAGGTTATTTTTTATTGTAATGTTTTATGTTTAGCTTTGAACTGGGCTTTGAGCCTAGTGGTTAAAGCATTAGATTTCATAGTAATGGCATCACAGGTAGAAAATTGGATACATATCCCAAGCATGTCACTTCACACGGGGTGTACTAAATTTGAAATGCAATACCAAACCAGAAATATTTTAGTTTCTCCAACCAGCGGTGTCTGACCCGCGGGTCACATGCGAAATGCGAGGCTTGCAGGAATAATTTTGCGCTGATCTCACACTGACTGTTTATATCTGAATCTAAAACTTTTTTTGGGTAAGAATGTTGCTCAGATCAGTTCTACGCTGTTGATGTGGAATATATACAACTTACAACCCACGTTGTTGGGGATGAGTGTTCCATTCTAAGGCAAATGACAATACAATTTACGACGGCAATAATGACAACTTATTCATCTGAATCTTTCTTTCCAAAAGTAAATATTTTCAAATTGAAGCTGGCTCAAAAACAAGAATATTTACCTTGCGCAGTATCAAACGATGCCAGTCTAGATTAAAAAGTTAGAAAATGACAATATCTCATTACCACATGAAACCATTAATAATTTTTCACATTCGCCATATTTCACGCAAATAATTCATGGTATGTGATATGCTATTAAATGTGTGGCCCGCTGCAAAACTGAAACATAATTTTATGGGCTTTTTTATGGGAAAAGGGCTTTTGGGTTGGCCATGGATGTTCCAAACTATAGCAGTTCAATACCCAGCAGTGGAAGCTTGTACCTTTTTTCCCCAATAATTTCCTGATTCTACTCATCTACAGATTGCAAGTTCATTCCGTGCTACTCCCATATGTCAACCTATCGATCCAGTAAAAGCACTGCCAGCTAAAAATATTAAACCAAGTACCGAGCCAAAACCTTTTCATATGTATTCGGATGAAAGAGGGGCATTAAGAGCGGAGAAATGGAAACAGGAGGTTAGTAACAATTTAGAATAACGTGGGTCCTGTAACCTTTCAGCTGAGTACAACAATATCATATTTATGTATTTTTCAAGTAGGAAGGGGCAGGGATGTCCATAAAAAATCAGATATTCGAATACGTTCGAAATTAGTTATATCCGATGGATAAGTTATTGATTCTAGGAATATTTTAGAATATTCTCATTTTATAATGTCTTGGAAACATTTATTATTTCATTAAAGACAAAAAAATTATTCATTTTCTGACTGAATACAATAAAAAAAAAACTAATTAAACCAATCTTTACCTCAATTATTGTGCGTAACCAAATCCAATTTCTACAAATTTACAATTGTTGTGAAGAATTTCTTTTTGTGGAACAGACTCAATTCAGAATATGTTTCATATTCGAAAATATTATTTTGGAATGTATTCGGAATACTAAATTATTTGGTTTTAGCCAACCCTTAAAGTGGGTTATACATTAAACATGAATGCTTCAAGAAGCTTTAAGGTTCATTTTCATTATTCTTTATTAGTACGCGATCGATAATACTCCAATTGAATCGAAATTTATTTTGATCTGAACAGTAAGGCCATCTGAAATCCTGGTGGATTGTATTCCAACAACCAATGACTAATTCATTCCATTTCCATCATTCCAGGTAGAGGAAGAAGTAAAAGCATTGCGAGAAAAAACAGAATTCAAAGCGAATACTAATTATTCTAAAGTAATTCATGGTAAAGCTTTCAAGCCAGCTATTAACAAGAAATACACAGGTTGATTGCTTTTCTGTTCTTTATTTTTTTGACGAATACAATTATAACTGCAGTTCATATCCAAGTTGGATATTATTTGCAATTTATTATCGCAATTTTACAATTAATATTTGAATAGTCAGAAATCGCATCACTTTTACAGCAAAATCATGTTACTCTGATCTGAGCAATTTGACATAATCGTGATTTCACTACAAAAACGAATTTTTTACATAAAAAGAGTATTTTTCAGTTATCCTGATTATTGAAATAAATCCTATTTTGATAGCATTATCTTCAACATATGTTCAAGCTATCTTCCTTCGACATGCTTGAGTCAAACTTTTTCTTTCCTTATTTTTTGACGTGAAGTAGACTTATGATCGTATTGCTAAATTGCTGGTGGTTGTTGTTACTGTGAAAAAAATCTTCCCTTATTGAATAATGAACTAATTGATTCCAATTTTGTAGTTTGTAGTTTTATATGTGTATTGCCACGAGGCATTCCACCTGTTTAGCATGCCATCTTTTCGACAAAAGAAGGGGTTGGGCGCTTTTTCACCCAACTTTTGTTTGTTTTATATGTGCAAGTGCAAGTCACCAGTCTGATATGCCATTTTTTCAACAAAATCTGTGCTTATTTACCGGTACTGGTGTGGGGCCTTAAAGAATTGATTGAATTTTTAAGGCGATGAGAGTTATGCGCATATAAGCCGAGTTTTTAGTGCGATCAGTGTTATGCGCGTATGCCAACCCCTTAGTCTGGCAACTTTTTTCTTGAGCATTAAACTCGGCGTATATGCGAGAATATACGCAGTAGTTAGATTATGGTGTAGGTTGCTGACGGGTTGTTTTTAGTCATTCAAGTGTTTTCATATATTTGAGCATTGCTCTCTTCTCTATTTTCTCAGAAACTTTTCAAGAATTCGCTCTTCACACTGATCGACGTGCTCTGCAACGAGAGGAGTTCGATGAGTTTTTGAAACACAAGGAGGCAGAAAGCCAAGCCAGGAATGAAATGTTGAAGATGGAGAATGAGAGAATCGAACAAGAAAGATATGAAAGGGAGAGAAAAGAAGCTGAACATCGAGCAAACCCTGTTAGGAAATACAAACCGGTTCTGATGCGGCAGAGTGAGAAAGAACTAACCCAACCACAATCTCCTCAGTTCAGTGATCGATTTTATAAAAAGTGTTGAGTTGTTATGACAACACACAATTATAAACACTCTGAAAACATAGTGAGAATTTGGTCAATTCTGCTACTTATCAAGTCAATTCTGCAATTTTTAAAAAGCGTTTGGGGGTACATATAAAATAATTGGTTATATTGATGGTCCATTGTAAAAAAGTTTTAACTTGTAAATGCGTATATAGTAAAATGATAGTAATTTCCTATTCTGCTCAGTAACTTTAAATTAAAAAGTAAGATGAAAGCTTTTCATAATTCAAGCTCTCAGAATGTAAGTTTGATTCGTGTCATTTTTCATCTATTGGCTCACTTAAATTATATTTTCCTATTGTTCTGATGGATAGCGAGATGGAGGGTAGATAGAGAAATGTGACACTCAAGTTATTAGTTTTTGAAATGTATATATGCCAGCTTGTAGCTTTTTGGCTTTTTATTGTTTCTTTTTTAAATATTTTATTATCTCTTTTTCTGGTTCTGATAATGCTCGATTCTCCTAGAAAAGGCCGAAAGTCTTACTTTGTATCGAGAAACCTGGTACGTTCAGGCCTTACCATCTGAAGAACAGCATTTCAGAATGAACATTTTTTGAAATACTTTTCAAAGTGTATATTTGAGTTGACAAAACATGGTAGGTTTATTGAAAAATAATTGGGACATCTGTATTCTTTCTTTATTCTTCATTGTTTAAAACCCTCGTTCATCTTTGTGTTCTATTTGTAGATATTGATGCCTATTCTTGTATTCACCTTTTTGTAAATGTACATTTCTCAAGTATAATGGATACATCTGGAAATGCCCATATCTTAGCTATTCTAGGATTCCTCTTTGCTATTCAATGCGTTTCCAATTATTCTAAATTGACTTCTTTAAACAGTAACTTTGCTGAATTTTTCGCTAAAATTTTACATAAGTCAAAAATACAATATACCTAAATCGTAATGTTCACTTATAATCAATCACTGGATAAATAATCATTTTGGATACATATATTCCTAAAATAAAAAATCATTTCTATATTATATATTTGTATAAAATAAATGTGTAAAAGTGTCACACGTTTCTAAACAAATGTAGAATATTATAAGTCTGCAGCTCAAGCAAGAATATTTTGTTTTGTGTTGTTGGAAAGACAATTCTCACTCTTTGGTTATTGCTGTGACAATTGGTATGTACCATACAGTTTAGATTTCTGCCTCTGAATGCAGCATTCTTGATGTTATAATAGGGGCGTAGTCTGCCAAATGTTTGTGCAAATTGTTTCTAGTTATATTGGTTTTAGCAAAAGTAACTATACTCTGCCATGAGAGCTTGCTTGCAAATCACTCATTGTTCTGATTACGTGTAAATAAATGTGTTTAAGATGAACATGCATGCATGAACTGCCTATAGTAAGAAAAGCGTTTTTAGTTAAATATCCGGTGAATATTCTTTCAAAACAGCCAGTCCACAAAGGTATTTCGAAACATAGTTGAAGACTGAAATGATGTAGAATCTCCCCAACATTTGAATCAATTCAGAAAGCGACCGACGTTTATCGTCAAATATTTATTACTTGGCTTGACACGAATATATGAAGTTTGCAGTAGAACTTTTCAATCAGAAAGCCATTCAGTCTACAAGATGTTTGTTGGACAGAAATAGTGTTACCGCATTTTGATAGAAACAAACAAAAAATCCTATACGATATCAGTGGGGACGCGGTACTGTTCGGTTTACCTTGAACGAAACGTCTTTTATCATACATAAACTACATTAGCGCGAATGTTTGTTCCCGTAAATATACATTTTTCTCTCGCCAAATAACTTGAACGAGTGAATTTTCAGTTTAGACTTGCTACGGGATTTCGGCAAGGTTTTGTACTCCCGTGACTCGGATGTTACTGTATTGTGGAAAGAAACAGACGATTACCGACTCAAAATGGTACTTCTTGAAATTAGGATCTTTAATGATTGGAAGACACGGAAACCATTAGTTCTGTAGTCTCGAATCTATTGTGATATTCCTCCTTTCTGATTAACTTTGTTCTAAAACAATACGGTACGGTAATAGAATGAGTTTAACAGTACAGCAGAATTGATATGTATGGTACGGTACCGGTATTCGGAATTATAAAATCCTCCGTGGTCGCTTGGTACTGGTACCGGTACTCAAAAGATCATAATCCTTTGTCAGTACAGCAGTATGTTAAAAAAGTATTTTCACAGTTCTGCAGTTATCAATCAATCATTTATTTCGGTACTCTGACATAAAAACAACACAAAAACTGGACAAACAAACAAAATGCAGAGATAGATTACCTGGGAGGCGAGCATAGCTTAAAATAAAGTTAAAAAACGTAAAAGTACGGTACGCGCCCGCCCACCAAAAAAAAATAATCAGTTCAGCAGTTAGTCAAAAAAAAACTGAAAAAGGTATTTTATTGCAGTATTGTAATAATATTGATTTCATTGTAATTGATTATATTTTGAAAACGGCTGTCTACATGCTGACATGGCAGCCCAATAGCTGCTTATAGAAACAAACTCCTAGCTGAACACTCTAATCTGCCAATTAGTGCAGTAGTGTGATACTTGTCAGCTTGAAGCCAATTATTTTTTTTAATTTTGGTGGTCAACCGGGTCAGATGATGCGTACCGGTAGTCCATACTGCCATACGCAATTTTACACATGTGAATCCTAAACCCCACTTGACTATGTCATTCAAAAACTACGTCACAAACATGTCATAGAGCTTGCCAAGGTATACCTACGATCGGCCAAAGCGCCGACGATAAAAAACTCACTAAGGGCAGTGATGTCTTTCATATCGAGATCGCTGTGACCAGAAAATGAGAGAAATAGCTTGCTCGGGTGATCGTCTACGCATCTTGGATGACAGTTCGTATAGTTTGAGGGCCTTATCACATCACTCTGACGTTGTAGTGCTGTCATTTTTGGATGGTACAGTCAGGTGGGGGTAAAGATTGACGTGTGTAAAAATTGGTATGCTACGCCCACTAGAAGTACTTGAGGTATGAAACTACACTAGACCCATATTTTCATTATATAAGCTTTTCAATAAAATCACGACAATAACGAATTTTTAATCTTTTCTCAAATCAACACAATCATTGAATATACAAGTGTTGTTACGATTCTAAATTGGAAGTTTTCAAAGCATATTCATCCTGATAGTGAGAATACTGACATTGTGAAAGATACAAAATGCCGATATTTTATAGCAGTTTGTCACGAGGACCTGTCATCCTCGTGGATAAGAAATTGGGTCCAGAAGATTATCAATCCGCTGCGAGAGATATATTGAATAATTTGTCAACAGATATGAATAAGAAAACATCATTTCCACAAGATGAGTAAGTTGATTTATGTTGTTTTCCAATGAAAAGTTTGTTGACTAATCTTACTTTGTTGAGCGTATTATTATTTTAATTTTTTCTTCTATAGCCAAGATGAGATTACTTTTCAGTTGATCGTGCCATTCTAATTTGAAAGGTGTTTGTTTCAGAGTCATGTGTCACATTTTCTAATTCAATATACCATATTTTACTGGCCATAAGGCGCACTGTCAATAAATTCCTTAGATTGGGTTTTTAATTTATTCATACATAAGACGCAACGGGTATTGGTACTGCTGTCCTGGTTTTGAGTCTAAGCAATAAAGTATAAAGCACTACCTGATCCATACATTATGCACAATGGCTTAAGGCGCATGATCGATTTTTTTTTAAAAGTGCGCTTTATGGTTTGTAAAATTCGGTCTATATATGTGTGTGCAGTATTTGAAGTTGCGTAAAGTAAGGTCACATACACCCTTTCAGAAGTAACAGAGACTCATTTCTGGGCAAAGTTATGGGTTTTATGTCTTCCGGCTTTTCTTTATCTAGGCGTAAATTTACTTGATATACTACATAAAATATTTGAAAGTCAAACTTCTCAAAAAGCAATTTTTGAAAAATGGCCTAATATAATCTGATGAGTCAATATGACAATCTCAGGTTTGATTTTTCAATATTCCACTTTCAGCCATTTCTAGTGCAGGTTTATTGTTTACTACTGAATTTAAATTTCTGTAAATAATTCTGTGTTTATCATTTTTCAAGTATTCTTTATCATACAATGACGGACAATGGATTGGTCTATCTGTGTTGCGCAGACAAGGAAATGGGTCGCCGCATTCCCTATCTCTGTTTGGATGAGGTAAAAAAAATTTTTTTTTGTGATGTTCTAAATAAAAATACATTAAAATGAGATAACTTCAGAATGTTTTGATAGTTATTTGTGATTCGCGAATAAATGTAGTCAACTGAACTAAAGTCATTACAGTTTCAGTTATATCTGAATTTGCATGCGTCTCATTAGTTTAAAATTAAGATATCAAAATCTGGTTTGTAAATCCCCTTTACTGGTAATCATATTTGTGTCGCTTCAATCCCTCGGAAATGGTTCGTTATTAATAATTCGGATTTGATGATTAGCTGTAGAATTATTGAAGCAGTAATCTTCTGTATTATATTCATTCCTTCAATATGAATTCCCATTGTTCCTTTCGTGTACTTTTTATAACTGTACCCTTCACTCAGATGTTTTCCTCATTTTATTTAAGGTAAAGCAGCAATTTCTCAGTTCTGCCTCACTTGTACAACGATCATCAAATGCTGGACAGTTTGAATTCAACAGAGAATTCAGACAAGTGTTGGCAGATATATTGGTGAGTAGGTTTTAAATTTTGACACTCTCGTCTCATTCCGGTAATACTCCAACACGCTGTTATAGATTATTTTCAAATTATTTATAATATCTCTGAATAATTTATAGCCTAGGCCATGGCATTAGTTCTCTAACTTTGAAAGCACCATTCCAAAGATTCATAATGCCCCTTCGAAAGGTTCTTATTATTAACACTTGTGACTAGGGCCCGACCGATATATCGGCCATTTTTTTCACAAATTTCGAACTATCGGTTTCGGCTAATTTTACCGATAGTTATCGGCCAATCATGTGACTGCCAAAGTGTCAAAATTACGCCGGGAAAGCAGTTTTATCGCTTGTTTAATTGAGAACGGTTCTGCCTAATACTCTCTTTCTTCGCTATTTCCATTTATCTCTTATCAAAAAGCGGCTTTTGACAATGACTCTCTTATCCAAAGCGGACGTGGGACACGGGATTTCACACTGTGTAAGCGAGAGAAACACATGAACGACTTATTATACTATACGTTAGATTAATAAAGAATTCTTGATGTTTCCACTTCCCACGGTGCTTGGATTTCCCTTTCGTTTTAGTCGTTCAAGGCGCTATTTATCTTCTTGTATTGATGATATAGATGGCTGGTTCTAGCTGTAAGAGCAAAGTATGGGAATACTTTGTGTGCCATAATGATGACGTAATTTGTAAAATATGCCCATCATTATTAAGTCAAAGTTCCACCGATTTAAAAAAAACACCAGTAATTTGTAGAGCCATCTCAAAGCAAAACTTGGAGCCGATGCAGAAAAGCATTTGAGCCAATGCAGAAAAACTCTGCTTTTTCAACTACAACTTGAGACTGTTGAACTGGAGCTATTGAGATTCATAACCTTCCTTCCCTTACAATAAGTGTTCTTTCTCGCCATGCACACAACTTTCTTCGACACTGTGGCTTTACAGTGATAATTTCTAACGTAAGGCGTTGAAAATCGTTAAACTCAGTGATGCACAAAGAAAGGTGTAATTGTTCTTTTTATGCAATTTTTTGTCATCATTGCATGAGTTTAACATTTTGTTATAGATTTCATTTCTTTTGCAAGAAAAACAAAAGATGGCTTGTAGCCATCTTTTTAGGTGAGGAAACATTGGTATCGGCTTGAAAAGGCAGTATCAGTCGGGCCCTACTTGTGTTGTGACCCCTTGTTCTTCAATAAAAAAATAGTTTTGCCTCAATAGGTTTCTGTCATTCATTTTATTCGCCACATGCTGTAGTCATCACAAAAAGTACCTGTTGACCTTCGCTTGTGGTCGTGACCCCCAGAGAACTGCTCTGTGCCCCCTAGAGAAGCCGAGTTTGAAAAACCTGTGGTTGAATCATTTGACTCTCTGCTTTAGGATTCATGCACACCACCTGAGCCCAATGTGTAATAAATTAGGTAGGCAATGCAAAACAAAAAATATTTCAGTCTTTCAACCTTTCTCTTCAATAAAGAAGCAGTGGCTGATGTTACAGCAGAGCAATGTTCAGTGTAAATAGTATTTAAAAACTTGATATTCTCGTAGTGTGTGTACCAGGTTAAGTTAGGCCATCATTTTATTCAGATTTTCCTTATTTTAGTTCCATTTCAAGTTCAGGGACTGTCTGTGTTAGCCAAGTGAATATACCCCCTGCCCATAGGCTTCTGTCCCTTAACACAACTTGATGTAAAGTAGGCGAACAAAATAAGTTACCTCCATATTGGTATATTGGTACACATACTTCTGGAGCGCCAAAAACTTTGTATAAAATAATACTGTTCTTCTAATACACTGTGTTCAAATGTTCTCAGGACAAATACAATTCTGGAAAAGGAGATCAATTGTCTGCTCTTCAAAATCAGGTTGGAGAAGTAACTGGAATAATGAGACAGAACGTTGAGACTGTTTTGGAACGTGGTGAAAAACTTGATGACCTTGTCGACAAAACTGAAGATCTTCAGAACAGCGTAAGTCATGTGTTTTCTCAATAGACAGTAGTTCAAGACTTCAGCGATACTTCAATTTCAATATTGTGTCATATTTCATTTCATTGCCCTTGTTCTTAGACATTGTAAGTGTTATTACTTGTGAATTCTATTTGATTTTCAAACTGATTGTTTAGTTGGGTGTACAAACTGTGGCCCATGGGCCAAATGCGACCAACAATGAAAACTTGTTCGACCCTTGGAGAATTCCAATTTCAAATTAATTCCAATCCATTTAAGTTGCAACAGCTATATCTTGGCTTGTGCGAAGCGAACAATGCATGTCACATTGCATCTGCAACTACTGCCTATGTTAGGTGAAGGTGCGGTCCATAGTTTCACCCATTTTTTGTATTTGACCTTCCTGCTTTAAAGGTTGCACACCCCTGGTTTAGTTATTAAACAGTGTTGTTTTGAAATATTGTGCTAAAGTGCCTGTCCTTCAGTCTTAAAATGTTCTAAATTTACACAGGCGACAACCTTCAAAGTTACCTCAACTAAAATATCTCGAAAAATGATGTGGAAAAACAGAAAGATGATGATCATTGCTGTTGTTGTTACCTTGGTTGTAATACTTATTATTGTTCTGATTATACTTTCTACTACTGGAGTGATATAGCCTATTATGTGATATTCTTCATTTTTTCAATCAAATTTGAAAAACAAATTTTATTTTTATGGTATTTGATTGACTGCATATGTTTGTGAATTATTCAACTTTATATTAATTACCACAAAAATCAGAAGTTACAATTTTATATTTACCGTATATATATATTGTCTAATTCAGGATTCCTTTTTCTAGCTTCTGAGATATCAGTCGCAATACTCTTTTTTTTTTTTTTCAATTTTGTCACTTCATTTTGCAGTAATTTGTGATCAGATCATCTTTATTTTTCAACGGATTTATATAAAACTAGTTAGGGGCGCCTAAGAATAAACTGGAACAAGATTAAACTTAGCTACATACAGTGATGTAGTTAGTGGTCTTACTCTGCCAAAAAAGTTTTACGAATCAGCATTTATCATTCACTAAAATTTTTCCTCGATTGTCATGAACCATATGCATACAAATTTTCTTTTCTTTATGGAGCAATGAATTTCATTTAAAGTGCTATACACTAACTTGTCACTCGCTTTTAAAACAGAACAGAATTCTATATTGGCATACTTCTTGAAAATAATAACTGGATAACTAATCCCATACCTGACATGAACTGGTAACAGCACGAGAGATTTAGCCATAAGATTAAGCTGCCTTTCCTCTCCCCCAGGATAAATATGTAAATCCTATATATTGTTGCCTAATTTTCTACAACAAAACACTGACTGCCACAGTACAACACTGGTTTCAATTTCAACTAATTTAATTAGAAGTCTGGTTGGATTGATTACGGACCATACATAATAATCATTGTCCAATTTTAGGAGTATTGTTGGCAAAGTTGAATGTTTAAGTAGTTCCAATTTGCAAAGTTGAATGTTTAAGTAGTTCCTATTTGCTCAAGTTACAGAAATTGTTTATAGAATGCAGGTTGTAGTATACAATGCTGTAAATTCTACCGGCAAAATGTGTAAATCAAATTTGCTGTCATATAAAATAACAAAGTACATTGGGCGCTCCGAAGGTATTCGTACCAAGTTGACGCACAACCTTATTCTGGTACACATACTATGCTCAGGTTGTGCGCCATCTTGGTACGAATTGTACTTGAGTGACACTGTGCTCACCTGATAACGTCTGTAATTTTTTTTCTGTATATTCGGTGCTTTTATTTCTGAATTCATCCAGCATTTTTTTTCAAGATGTTTTATAGCTCCATTCGAAACAAAGTTTGAGACCGACAGCCATCATTTCTTGCTGTTTTAATTTATATTTACTCCAATATTATGTTTGCCTTAATTTTTGCCCAAATTTGGTTCAACATTATCATTGTTATCCTGATATAATATCTTGACTGTGAGGTTGACTCTCAAAATTCCTGGGATTCGAGATGGTACCTTGATATATTACTATTTATCTTGATTAAAAATGCCTGATATTTTTATAATTATATCTGTACTCTTGTGGAGTTTTGAATTGTTACCATTTCCACTTTTTAGAATAATCCTTTCTGCGAATTGTTTGTTTTTAATTTATGCACACAGTTGTGATTATAATTCGATCATCTTTGAATGTCAGAAATTTTCATTTCTTCATCCATGTTTGAAGATATTCTGATTCTGTTGGGTTTATCCGATACACTACACTTACCGGTAAATACTTCATAAATTGGTCACGAATTGATGTAATTCTAACTGGCAACTGAGCAGTTGGTTTATGATAACACAGATGGATATGTTTTTCCAATGTTAAAAAAGCGAAGTTTCAATACAATTACTTCTAATATAACCAGTAGTAGCTGATATCATTATTTTCATTTTCCTGAAAAGACGGAGTGACAAAAGGCACTATGAAGTCAATTTCCAGATTGAGTCTTTCTTGATATTGTACTATTTTCTTTCAAATCAGTTGTCCAGTGATATGTGCAATAATTGTTTGTGCTTATTTACAATATACAGTATATCATGTATGCAATATTAATGTTGACTTTATTGCAAGGGTAGCCTACACATTGTACAGTATCTAGAATTTTCATCCTTAGTAATTTTTAGACTTAAACTTGAACACTATGCTTGATTTTCGATAGGGTTTTGCGGCCAGTAGTTTTCAATATGAACTTGTGTTCATAGTCCGACACATAGAAGATCTGGCACTGATCCACGTTTTTTTACACCTACTTTTACAATCAAAATCACAGCTGGTCAAACTTTGTTAAAGTCTAAGCCTAACTAACACCTGAGAATAGTTCTCTTTTCGTGAATGTAAATGAAAACTCTTCACTATAGATAAGTCTTCAGAGATGCAAATTATTCTTTCAATCACATTTTATAATGTTCTTTTTGTAAAGCAATTGCTGTTATGGTGGTTACGTAGGTCTATACTGAATCAAGAAGCAACGGAGGCTGAAGAATCAAAGCCATATGGCTTTCCACATGTCGCGAATACAATCTACGACTTGGACTGGTAATTGGTCCTCTATCACCCAAGTTCATTCATCTAACATACCTAATTGGTAAGATCAGTGGTTCTAAAACTTTTGCGATACATTCCTGCCTTGAGAACTTCAATTAGATCCAGAGATATTTTGTTACGCCACAACGCACAAAAACTGTGTATATAAATATGCATTGCCATAATATTAAATAGGTAAAGAGTATTAGTAATAGCTTTGTTGGGAAATTTAGGGTTAGATATTCATGTGTATCGTACGCCAGGACTGGAAGCAAACGTGGTGGCTTGTGGCTGGCCACATAAATAAGCTGCCTTGGGAGTTATCCTTTCTCCAGGAGAAAGATTGTTTTAGCTCTCATGAGGATTTAAACCTGTAGGTGGCCAGCGCGTTTTAACGCTCAGCACGACACATGGATTAGATCGCCGAACTGCTTATCGCCTTTCCTCTCCCATGGGATAAATATTTAAATCCTATCCCACGAAAAAAATCAAATGACAGATTTTTGTCCTACTAGCGGGAGTTTAAAGGCGTAATTGGTTCATTTTGGATATTTCTATCTGCGGGTCATTTTGTTGCTCTCGCCTGGGAAACATGTAACGTTAGTTTTTTTTGTGCTATGAAATGGGCTTTTGGTATTTATCGCAAGAAGCGTGAAGGAGATAAGATCATCCACGGTCGTGTTGGATATTAAAGTACCGTAGTTAGCAGTACCCACCCGCTTTGCAGATGTCTTAATACAACAATCCTGGAAGCCACACACACTGCTGCACTGTGTGACACAGGGCTGTGTATTAAGTGGCGATTGATTCAGATTCAGATTTTATTTTCGTCATGCAAAACCAATATACGATATGAAAAAGTAAAAAAAGGCATATGACAAATTACGAAGACGGATATCGGCTTGTTGCAATAGACGAGGGATCGCGAAAGACTCAAAACTTTGGGAATGCAGGAATGTGCGTCTGGAACGAACACCGTATCGTGCGCTGTCAGTGCCGTGTTTTTGAGTTTTACCTGTTTACCATACGGTAATCTTTATATTATACCGGTACCGCACCACTCGTACCGGTATCACAATATTATGTCATTTCCTCTTCCAGATTGAACGCTGCAATCTGGCGATAGGGCAGAGGGTCACACTCGCGAAAATATAAGCAAGTCCCAAGTGGCGTTACCGGTATTGTAATACCGGTAGTAAAGTACTTTGGTTACCGTGGTTTGGTACCGGCAGACCCTTATCGTACGGTACCTGTTCCGTGTGCAGGTAAGCTAGAATACCGGTACCGTACATTTCAATGAATCAATGCAATTTCAGTCAGCGATTAGTTTTTCAGGCATGGATGAAGCTGGTACCGGTAAGCTCGGGACCAGGACTAGCTTAATACAGAGAGAGATTTATTTTTCGTCAATCAGAAAAGAAAAAAAAATTCTGAAACAATAGCAACAATAAAAATATATACAATAACACGTAGAGTTTTTGATATATTACTATTTATCTTGATTAAAAATGCCTGATATTTTTATAATTATATCTGTACTCTTGTGGAGTTTTGAATTGTTACCATTTCCACTTTTTAGAATAATCCTTTCTGCGAATTGTTTGTTTTTAATTTATGCACACATATTATGATTATAATTCGATCATCTTTGAATGTCAGAAATTTTCATTTCTTCATCCATGTTTGAAGATATTCTGATTCTGTTGGGTTTATCCGATACACTACACTTACCGGTAAATACTTCATAAATTGGTCACGAATTGATGTAATTCTAACTGGCAACTGAGCAGTTGGTTTATGATAACACAGATGGATATGTTATTCCAATGTTAAAAAAGCGAAGTTTCAATACAATTACTTCTAATATAACCAGTAGTAGCTGATATCATTATTTTCATTTTCCTGAAAAGACGGAGTGACAAAAGGCACTATGAAGTCAATTTCCAGATTGAGTCTTTCTTGATATTGTACTATTTTCTTTCAAATCAGTTGTCCAGTGATATGTGCAATAATTGTTTGTGCTTATTTACAATATACAGTATATCATGTATGCAATATTAATGTTGACTTTATTGCAAGGGTAGCCTACACATTGTACAGTATCTGGAATTTTCATCCCTAGTAATTTTTAGACTTAAACTTGAACACTATGCTTGATTTTCGATAGGGTTTTGCGGCCAGTAGTTTTCAATATGAACTTGTGTGCATAGTTCGACACATAGAAGATCTGGCACTGATCCACGTTTTTTTACACCTACTTTTACAATCAAAATCACAGCTGGTCAAACTTTGTTAAAGTCTAAGCCTAACTAACACCTGAGAATAGTTCTCTTTTCGTGAATGTAAATGAAAACTCTTCACTATAGATAAGTCTTCAGAAATGCAAATTATTCTTTCAATCACATTTTATAATGTTCTTTTTGACAAGAAATTGCCGTTATGGTGGTTACGTAGGTCTATACTGAATCAAGAAGCAACGGAGGCTGAAGAATCAAAGCCATATGGCTTTCCACATGTCGCGAATACAATCTACGACTTGGACTGGTAATTGGTCCTCTACCACCCAAGTTCATTCATCTAACATACCTAATTGGTAAGATCAGTGGTTCTAAAACTTTTGCGATACATTCTTGCCTTGAGAACTTCAATTAGATCCAGAGATATTTTGTTACGCCACAACGCACAAAAACTGTGTATATAAATATGCATTGCCATAATATTAAATAAGTAAAGAGTATTAGTAATAGCTTTGTTGGGAAATTTTGGGTTAGATATTCATGTGTATCGTACGCCAGGACTGGAAGCAAACGTGGTGGCCTGTGGCTGGCCACATAAATAAGCTGCCTTGGGAGTTATCCTTTCTCCAGGAGAAAGATTGTTTTAGCCCTCATGAGGATTCAAACCTGTAGGTGGCCAGCGCGTTTTAACGCTCAGCACGACACATGGATTAGATCGCCGAACTGCTTATCGCCTTTCCTCTCCCATGGGATAAATATTTAAATCCTATTCCACGAAAAAAATCAAATGACAGATTTTTGTCCTACTAGCGGGAGTTTAAAGGCGTAATTGGTTCATTTTGGATATTTCTATCTGCGGGTCATTTTGTTGCTCTCGCCTGGGAAACATGTAACGTTAGTTTTTTTTGTGTTATGAAATGGGCTTTTGGTATTTATCGCAAGAAGCGTAAAGGAGATAAGATCATCCACGGTCGTGTTGGATATTAAAGTACCGTAGTTAGCAGTACCCACCCGCTTTGCAGATGTCTTAATACAACAATCCTGGAAGCCACACACACTGCTGCACTGTGTGACACAGGGCTGTGTATTAAGTGGCGATTGATTCAGATTCAGATTTTATTTTCGTCATGCAAAACCAATATACGATATGAAAAAATAAAAAAAGGCATATGACAAATTACGAAGACGGATATCGGCTTGTTGCAATAGACGAGGGATCGCGAAAGACTCAAAACTTTGGGAATGCAGGAATGTGCGTCTGGAACGAACACCGTATCGTGCGCTGTCAGTGCCGTGTTTTTGAGTTTTACCTGTTTACCATACGGTAATCTTTATATTATACCGGTACCGCACCACTCGTACCGGTATCACAATATTATGTCATTTCCTCTTCCAGATTGAACGCTGCAATCTGGCGATAGGGCAGAGGGTCACACTCGCGAAAATATAAGCAAGTCCCAAGTGGCGTTACCGGTATTGTAATACCGGTAGTAAAGTACTTTGGTTACCGTGGTTTGGTACCGGCAGACCCTTATCGTACGGTACCTGTTCCGTGTGCAGGTAAGCTAGAATACCGGTACCGTACATTTCAATGAATCAATGCAATTTCAGTCAGCGATTAGTTTTTCAGGCATGGATGAAGCTGGTACCGGTAAGCTCGGGACCAGGACTAGCTTAATACAGAGAGAGATTTATTTTTCGTCAATCAGAAAAGAAAAAAAAATTCTGAAACAATAGCAACAATAAAAATATATACAATAACACGTAGAGTTTTTGGTATAGACTGGGAGGAGCGATACGACCATACAGTCATCAGAGTCAGCTCCCCCCATATTCACTATTTTAATTATGCATATAAGAATTCTCGGTTTAGTATATGGTATAAAAGGGAATGGATAAGGTTGTCTGGTTTTCTACAATACAGCAATATATATATTTTAGGTTTGGCTATATGATTGTTTGAGCTTTGTACTCAATTCAGCAATTGGTATGTATAAACTATTGTAAGTTGAGGTTGGTTCATACGGTACTCTTAATCAGATTACTGCACTATGTCTGTCTGTCTGTATGTTGAGACAGGCAGTGTACCGTATTCGAATAGAAAATATTTAATATGTCTCCTTTGTAGTCTGCGCTAACATAGCCATGCTGCAATACAGCAATATAAAATAAGTGCTTTGAATTTTCGTCATTAAATAATACTTTGAATAGAGGATCCTGGATAATCATATTTTGCGACATTTTAAAAAATTTAACTATTTCGAGTATTAAATGATGATAAAACCAGAACAGCTGAATGTTACTTAATGAAGCATTCAATCTACAAATTTTTGTTAATCTTGATTGGTGTAGCAATTATGTTAATAAAACATATATTTTTAAATTCTCCATTTTTATACTTTTTGTTTCTCTTAATTTATATTCTTAGTCATCTGATTTTTTTTTTAATTATCTGTCTCTGAGAGTGAATTTATCTTTTTGAATATTTTTGAGGAGGAGCAAACTCTCAATTTAATATTATTAACAAAACAAATTTTCTTATCATACTTCAAAAAGCTTTCCCAGGTTTCATTTTCTCCCTGGTTCCTTATCTTTGATTCTCTTATCTTTGTTGTTATCATTTTTCTATCGCCTTATCACACTGATGATGTGAGTCATACAAATGAACTCGTACTTACTCATACTTACACAGATATGATTCTTATTTTTTATATAAAAAATAAACCACTGTTCTTGATTTGGGACATATAAAACATTCAAATCTTATGTGGTTAATCTTATACCGTGTGTGACTTGACATACAATGACAGAAAATTCTATCTGCACAACAGTTAACAAGTTTCGAACTTTTGGTGGTATGAAGCCTGTGAATTGGTTGACTATTATTTACAGAGCCCTACAATAAATTTCTAAAAATAAAAACGAAATAACTTAAGTGGAACTTATAGATAATGTCATATTTGGATTACCGCTTTGTTACCACATTTCGACGCTACCGTTGTCATATTTCAATAATGCCTTTATTGCGTCTTTGGAACGTTAAAAAATTACCCAATTCAGTATTATAATAAATAATTAAATACCGGTAGCCTACCTCGCGGAACCCCTAGGTTTCTTTCATGGAGCCCTGGGTCTCTACGGGGCACTTTGAAAATCTATGCTCTAAGTCAGTCACTCTAATTTTTTTTTGGTACGATCAATAATTCCAATCCCTTTGCGTGAAGAAGCCTATTCTAGAGTCCAATTTATCTATGCCCATGACTTTACAATGCCTTAACAGCTAGCTTGTGCAAACACAACTGGTCATAAGATAGTTATTTCTATCTGGCCCTCCTGTGTTAAAGGTTGTACTGCTATAAGTAATTTTGGGAGTAGCTCCGATTTTTTTGACGCAACTACTGGACCAATCAATTTTAAGATTAGGGTAAAGGAAGTCACTTTAAAGCTTTTATTTTGTTTGTGAAGCCCACTCAAAATTCAGTACGGTAATCGTAATTCCATTTTACTTCATGGGAACACTGTTTTGACATTTGACCTTTGTGTTAATAATTAATATAGCCTATTTGAGCATTGTTCTCTTGTATTATAAAGTTATTTTATAGCTTTGGCTTCTTCATATCTTGTAGTCTACAAGCACATACATAATGATTGTATTTGGACTTTTTAAAAGGGAGTAGATAAAGGAGCAGATTTTGAGGTTTTCAGTTATAATCCAGCTGAAGCTGTAGAAGTAACTTATTTTTTATAGTTAACCATGTTCGATTATATAGATTGTGAATATATTTTGTATTTATGTCAATGCAATGTGGAATCTGATATATAGCCTACTCATCTAGATTAGAAGTATATAGTAAATAATTGTCCCTATCCACTAAGCCAGGGGTGTGCAACATTTAATACAGGAGAGCTAAATACAAATAACTGGGTGAAACTGCAGGTTGTGCCTTTATTTAACATAGACTTCTAGTAGTTGCAGACACAAAAAGTTTGCTATTTTATGACATGGGCATAGATAAAAAAAAAATTGGATGCCGGTATAGTCTTGGAATTACTCACACGTACCAGATTAAAATAATTTAGAAAACTTGTTTCGCAGGCCGTAAAATATTTCTTTGTGGGCCACAGGTTGCACACCCCTGCGATAAACAATTTGAGGCAGTCTAGGGAGATTTAGACGATAACTGGTCACTTCCAAAATTTTAAATATATGATGCGGATGTTACTAATTATATATCATATTTTATGCATTGTGTTATAATCAATAGTGTGTCAATTTAAAAAAAATTTTAAGTTTAGTGATTAAATATTGATTTGAATTGGTGAAAAAAATATACCATGAAATTACTGTGTATTCGTCTCTATGATTATACTGAATATTGTAAGTTTCTCTACTTGGAACGAACGGTTGTATATTAATGAGTCGTTTCTATGAATGCCAGCAATTATTTATAGCTTTTTCTTTTTTTTTATCATGAATTCGAGCACTAATTGATGCATATTGTAACATACTTGTGTGCTGTAGTATTATCATATCGATCATTTTATCATATTTTTATTATGTGATAATATTCACCTGCATACACTGCATGACGCATATGTCTCTCACAGCGCAGGAAGTCGCCTGTTACATGATTAAGTATCGATGCTGCGCCTATAACCTGTGCATGCAGTACGGTAATTAGTCATTGACGAAATATAATCCTAACTTGCTGACAATTTGTGATGACAGATCACAGTCATGATATTCAAGTGTGAGCAATAGGTGTGAATTGCTTTAGATCTATATATTGATCATGTGATTTATTGTTTGTTTCTGCTTGTCAAGATCAGTAATCCTCTTTGTTCTGGCTATGAGTGTGACAGCGTGTTTCAAGTTACTGGCAAGGAATAATAAATTGTTTATTCTTTCATACGGGATAAATTGTTTGCATTGATAGAAATATAGATGGTATATTTTGATCAAAGAATCTTTGTTTTGATATATTTAATTTTGAGAAATTGGTGCTGAGAATAGCTTCAAAAATGCTTTGAAAGGATAAGATTTGCATTATTGATTGTAAAAAATGATAGACATTTGGGAGGGAGAAAGAGCATTTGATGCTTTTTTCCACTTGATACAGCAAGGGACTTCCCTTTTTGTACCTTGTTTAGATTTAAAATGTCTGGTATATTGTAAAAAAGGACTGTCAAGTTATAATATCTCTGTGTCTTCAATTTAAGAAATGTGTTACCGGTATTCGAATATTTTTATTTTTTCCTAATATTTTTGTCAACCAAAATACGAACATATATTGAAATAATAAATACCGGTAGTAACTCAATCATTTTGGTATAGACTGGTATATTATTTAAAAACGTTTTCTCTTCTACATTTGCTTTCCAGAATATTATGGTTGGTTAGTTCTGTTTATCGTATTCGACCTTAGTCTAAGTAGTTTTCCACCCACTGAACTCTGGAACAGTTTTCTATAGATATTCAATAGGCAGTAAGCAGGTTCAGGAAGTGAGTTGCATCACTCTTTCGATTTGGATTTATTGTTTATCTATTCCTCGTGCAACTAGGTAATTTATGAACTACTGTGCTGTGCAATGAATTCAAATGAAAATGATGGCGAAATGTCCACAACAGAAAGACACATGTCAAGTGAGTTTAATTTATTTTTATCATTATTTATATGACATCTTACAAACGACAGCCATTCAAAAGACTGGGCATGAGTGCTTCATGAGCCGAGCTTCAACATTCTACAAACCCATTGGTTCTTATGGATTAACCCCAATCCATTATTAATATTAGGAGTATTAATCTTGCTTCATATGCTTGCTATTGCCAGCATCCCTTCAAAAAAGTTTCAGATGGTTTCAGAATGTTTACTGATAGACTAAAGTATCTAATCCTATGTCAAATAGTTCTCAATGTTTAAAATAGATCCAACATTGAAATATTATGATCTTCACTATTGTCACAGACTCACAAAATGTATTAGTTACCTTTGGATTAATGATGTTTGATAGAAAATTGGAAAACGATACATATAGTGTAGTAAAAATACACAAAAAATTCAGATTGTTTTGAACTTTTAATAACAAAATTATGTTGTATTTGATGTGTCCATAAATAATTTTTCCTTATTGACTTGATTATCCCTTTGGTAGAGGAAATTCTTAAATTTTATATATTTACAAAAGTATATACTCGGATATGCAATAAATTACCAACTTTTACTATGACCCTTTATTGCTATATGACGACAAAATATATGTCCTTACTTCACCCTTTTTGAAGTATTGAACTAAAGCAGTCGATACTTACAGTGATAAATAAGCTGTATCATTTCGTTTTTCTTTGTGAAATTTAACCTTATTCAACTGGTCGAATTCGTAATATACACGGCGGCATCTCAGCATGGGGTGATATTTTATACTCATAGTTGGAGGCTGGAGCCATTGTATTCATTACTTATTCAACTGTTTGACCCTCTCCTACTTTGTATTTAGATAGATTATCCAAGCGTTTTGTTTGTTTATGTGTATGTGTTTCTTTAATGGTTATATGTGTCCTTCATGTGTGCTCTGTTTCATCCCCCAAGGATCAAGATATCCAAACTATATTGAAGCTCTTTTTAATATATAATATGACATGGTCAGTGTTAGAGTCATATACTGCTATACTGGAATAAACTCTTTAAAAAGTAGAATTAAGTTTTGTTTTTGTTTGTAAGAATGAATTATTGATTAACTGGTTTTTAAGCACCCCAATAAAGGGGTATTTTCTCATTTAAACTGCCTCAGTAATGACTGATGGAAACTTATTGATTTAGATGATTTCAATTTAATGCATTCGACTAATTGGAATAACCACAATAAGAGAAGTTTGTGGGAGTGTTTCTTAATAGCAGTCGTAAAGCATGTTGAATGTCCAATAAAGCTAGCTCATACTTCTTTCTCATTGTTGAATTTAACATATTTGTTCGTTCATGTCAAGTCCTTTTTCGGACAGATGAAACTTTTTTTTTTGGAATAGATTGATATTTCGTGATGAACTTGAAATGATCTTTCCACATGCAATTCGTGAATCACTGTTGTAAATTATAAAATCGATGCTAATGACCTGTTGGAACGAATGCAGTTATATCAATTTTATAACATAAATTGTTCCAGTACCTACTGACATTAGCTTTGTAGTTGGGTATTATTAGCCATAACGGGAACCACATTGCATGCATGGCGTTGTCAGTTTTATATATGCAAATATGGTAATTACTTGGTTCCATTTGTTGCTAGTATCACCAGAAAATCAGTCTTTTGTTTATTTTTTCAACGATCACAGAAAATGCACAGTCATGCACAGAAACTGATACAGCAAATACCAATACCATTATATAAGTGATAGAGTTGTGAGGGACCTCGAAAGGCCTTCGAGCAGCGACCTCCACTACCCTGGTACATATTTGGCGTAAAACGTAACAACTGTTGACTGTGCAGTAGTTGATAGTAAACATATTTGGGGATTTTCGGGATCGGAAAATAAATAATCTCAGAGAAAATTCACAGCAAAATAAATTTTGATGAAATATATAAAAAATAAAAGCAAGGCAAATTTAAAACCTGAGAAAAACTCTTAAAAAAGGCAAATCTGGAAAAATGTATACAAATTGCAAAAAAAACATATAAGGAACTACAAAAAAGGCAAATGTGTAATGATAACACTATGAAAAAAACACTTTCAACACTTATCAGAGGAAACCTGTCTGTATGGCATACTGCATTTTGTATATACAATGTGCCTGACTCATGGAATAAATATTTTCCTTTCAAGATCAAGCTATGATTACTGTATTATACAGGTATGAGAAGTATATGCAGCTTTGCATTATAGTATAAAGTTTCATTCTTGAAATAGTAGATCAGTATTTTTGTTGCTAACAGAATAAAAAGGGGTACAATAGATATCATTGATAACCAGAAGGAGGTTTAATTCGGCTTATCAGAATCAGTGGATGATCTGAATAGATCATTCTAAAATGCATTCGGAATACCTAATTATTTGGTTTCGGCCATCCCTGCTAGACCACCATATATTTATTTGCTTTTTAATGGAAAACTGTTTTTATTGCTTTGTTGACCTTACATGGACAGAGTTCAGGGAAAATGTTTTTATTTTTGTTTAGAGAAGTTGATGCATTACTTACTGTTGCAGTCGATCCTTTTGCAGCTATGAATTTTTCATGAGTCTTCCTAGCATTCAAGAAATTGATTTATGATTTGTTAGGAGATTCATTATTGAGACATTGGGGAATGATTTTAGTCCGTTGGTACAAAGCTTCTTTTGATATCCTCATTCGTGATTCATACTCAAAAAAAATTTAAATTTTCTTTGAATGTATCTTGTATGTAACTAACCACTTAATCAAAAATTCAAATAAAAACAGAAAATTGCACCAAATATAGATTGAGTCCAAATAACAACGCATGAATGTCTTAAATACTTCTATGAAAATGTAGAAAATTTATTTAACACTTGAACTTTTGTTTTTATATGATTGTGCCCAAAAGTTTCATTAATCTAGGACATTTCTCACACAAATAATTTTCTCTCTAGATTCTAGAATATGTTTCAAATGACCTGGGTTCTGTTTTTTGGTCGCCTTATACATGAAATAGATAGGAAAATTTATGTCAATTGTAGCATTCGAGATGATTCATTTTCAGCATTGATAGAATTTGTTTCCAAGCTTAAATTCATGTAAGCTGGTTGGCGTAGCTGTACAGCTACAAATACCGTATCATCTCCCAACACTATACTATGGTTGCTCAATCATCACACATTTTGTTGTCATAAGATGCTAAATCCAAATCATGTACCGGTACATCTTTACTATTGCCGTTATCGTTATTCTGTAACAAAATTTATCGATTAAAGGTCAATATGAATTGAATGTTATAATATTATCTTCATTTGACTCGGATGACTTTGAATTTGACCAAATTTTCATCAGATCTGGTGCAATGACAAATTTCACCATCGAGCGCTAATGAGATCCACTCCCACGTGAAAATAGATCATTAAAGCTTGTTTATGTTGCCTTACTTTTCAACACAGAATTTCTTACAATTCTTCTATACTTGCAATAATCAAATCATCTGTTTTAGTTTATTTTCTTTGACAGTTTCGGGAAACAAATTAGTTAAGTTGAATCTCTTACATTTGCCTCTTTTGTATATTTCAGGTGTGCCGTTCCCACCTAGTCACAAGCTCACTATAGATGATATTTTCGATTCTAATGGTAGTCCACGAGTTGATCTATTGAAACAACATTTTGTAAAAGAAGGAAGAATTTGTGAAGAGGTATGTTATTATGGTTTGCAATTAGCATTGTTCACATTTTATAATCAAACAAGAAAGCGATGCTCCAATCTATGAACACGAAGGCTAAAACGAAGTAGTATCAAATCTTTTACTGTACCTGGGAGATTTGAATTCGGAACACAAGCACATAATTTTTAATTTTCATGTTGATTTGATGTGATTTTGAATAACAAAACGACCCATAGGTCCATGTTGTGTCCAATAATTATTTGACCCAATTGATCTGTCAATGTCAATGTGCCTTTGAATATAATTTGGTAATGTTTGAAATTTTTTCGGGTGTTATTTGCATTTTGACTGGCTACACTACAGTTTTATCAAAATCTTACTTCTTTTTATCTCCTACTGTTGTTGAAACACAGTTGGAGTAACTTTATCTGTCAGACAATATATAATCTCTCAAGCAGATAATGTGGTTATGGTTCTGTTCTTTTTCTCATGGACTTATTCACCCATTAATTCTTTGAATTGTTAGAGTCATTAGCGTTAGCTGAAATAACTGCTTCGTTGATGTATTCAAATTCATTTCCAGAAAAGTTTATGTGTAAATGAATATATTTTTCAATGACTCTCAACCGATTTTCCACACAGCATTTCTACCATAATGATATCCAGATGCTTTTTAATATTCAGAACAATATTGGGAGTGAAATGATATTTTGACATTTTATAATAACACTGGACTATTTAGCTAAAATTCCAAGTGATAAGATTTTTGACTGTGTAAAACATATTGAAACAATGACAGTATCTGAAAATGTGAAATATATCTTGAAATTGGATTTTCTTGATTATATTAAGCCAAAAATATTCGAAAAATTGATTCTTTGTTTCAAAAAATGAAAAATGATTTTGGTTTCGTATGTCAGCTCTGTCATTGATAGATCCACTATTCCCACTTGCAATACAAAACCTTTATAACTCTAAACTTTGTACCAGTTTGGAAAGTTTTTAAAACATTTCCTCATGAATTATTTAGTTGCCAACAAAACATTGATTGCTGCCTGAATATGTGAATAAGCATTTACCTGATGTGCCAATGGGAGCTTATTTCAATTTCATTGGTTTCTTGTACTTTTTATACAAATCTCTAAAATTTGAAAGTGAACCTTATAAAAACCATGAGCTTATAAATTGAATTTTTTAATGTAAAGGATTTTATTAATATATCTGAGAATTTTTTATCGCTTTAATATGGTTAGTGAATGACAGTATTTTGCTTTTGTGGTTGACATTTTTATTAAAATATTTTTCATGATTAACTAATAGTGCTATATTAAAAACTTAATGGTTGATGTCATATTCATTCATCTGCATATTTTCAAATTCTGTAAATCAGCCCTTTTTTGCTTTATATCCTATATAAAAACTTTAGCAATCCAGAAGTGTATGTACCAATATTATTGAGGTAACTAATTTTGTTCGCCTACTTTACATCAAGTTGTGTAAAAGGACGGAAGCATATGGGCAGCAGTGTTGCTGAGCCTGATTCGAAATATTGGTCCTAAAATTGTAAAAATTCTTAGACCTCAACTCTTTTAATGAATTTCTATGATATGTTTAAAGTTTTAAATGTATTTATTTTAAAAGCAAATCTCTGTTAAGGATTTGAAATAATTTGATTGTGATCTCCACATAATTGGGAGTATTTTTCATGTGGGATCTTTAGAAAATTCAGTTAAATTTTGAATACTTAGGATTCGTTTGTTACTGGCAAATGCGTTTCATGGATATTTTTTCGCCATAGAAAATTGTGCTTTTTGTAAAACGTTTTCAAAATCCAAACATTTCTATTTATTGAAAAAGTTAATAGTTCACTATTTATGAAAACCGGTATGTTAATTTTGGACGTCCTTGTTTGTAGCCATCCGTATTTGTCGACATAACGATCTTTTATCAGTTTATTTACTTAGATCGAATGTTTGATTACCCGACATTCACTTCATGTTTGGAATTGCCCTACTTACAAAATAGAAGTTTCACTAGAAACTAAACAAATAACCTGTCATAAGTACTACAGGATGTTGTCTAATCATTAATAAAAGTTGAGTTTTGTCCTTGCAAATTTGACTAATGATTCACAAAAGTATTGTTCAAGCAATGGAGTACAAACAAACTTCAGAATTCTTCAGTTTAAATCTCATCAATTTCAGATTTGTTTTCTTGATATCAGAAACCGAAGATGTATTTTGGCATGCATCAAGATTTTAGTGTGTTAGAAACAAGAAAATTGAATCTATTACACACTTGAAGAATTAATATACAAAATTTATTGGCTGAAAAGTATACAACCATTCATAATTTGAGTCAGCCATATTACTTCTGACACTGGTAATATTGTATAAAAATGGTTATTCTGAAAATAAAAGCAAATTATTTTATCGAATAATCCTAAGTTTATGAAAGAATAAAAATGACCCTATAGTCTAATAGTTGTGAAAGACTACAGAATAGTACTGGGGTAGTAAAAATTGAAATCATATTATTTTCACTCTAAATAAGTCACTGTACAAGCAGTGATTGCTATGTAAGGACATACCTAATTTTAAAAGAATCAAAATCGTTTTCGTTCATCATTGCCTACCTGATTACACTCTGAGTGATACATTGAGGTGATGTGTATGAGATTTTACCCTATGATGCCAAAAAAGCCAAGTCCAACGCTTTAACCACAAAACCATTGCGCCCATTGTAATATATTTATTTTGTGTCTAGGCGGCATTAAGGATAATAAATGACGGGGCAGAACTTTTACGAAGAGAAAAAACAATGCTTGATATCCAGGCACCAGTTACAGGTAAGATGTATTGAATTATTACGATAAATGTCTGTCCCTTCAGAGAATCACAAATATAAAGAGTGCTCATAATGGATGGTTTCGAATTCTGATATTTCTTTTTCAGTTCAATTATGCCAAGGTAATTCAAAATGAAGCAAAATCAATAAGACTGTACATTTTAGATTATGGTATCTAAATTTTCAGGAAACCTTTTTTTTTTAATTTATTCAGTTTGAATTTTTTTTTATTTTAACTGACATTTTTTGAAAACTTTCATTAAAACTTTAAAAGACAGAATGTAATGTAATGTTGTAAGATTACGGACACCGGAACGTAGTATGTGTATCATGTTAGGGTTAGGCCATAATTTCAGGTACAAATACTAGGGGAGTCGCTTGACTAGTCCCCGAACTCGTAATAGAACTAAAATAAGGAAATTTGGAATAAAATTATGGCCTAACCCTAACCTGATGCACATACTATGTTCAGGCGCCCGTCATCTTGTTGCACTTACTACGGGAGTGCTAAATTTTCGATAAATTGAAAAATCAAGTCAATTGCCAGCCTTTTTCAATCAAAATTGGTCTCCTTGAGATTTTATACATGCCAAGAAATTTTCTACTCCCTAATACCTGTCACATGGACATGATTGATTGACATTGTTGAGGATTACAATGCCATTTTTCAATACATTGACAACGGGATCATAGAAATGTTTAGAAATACGATCTTATTATGCTATTGTCTTTTTTTGTGTATAACAAATGCTCACTATATTGTTATCAAATTACTTGCCTGTTAGCGCTTAGAAAACAGTTGAAATATTTTCTTTGTTTAAGATGCTTCGAAGAATATTACATAAACCGAAACTTGTTTCCTATCATAAACTTCATCGAACTTTCGCGATATCTCAAATCAGGGTCAATGACTAAGCCATGAATAAATTGTACCTTGAGGGCAAGCAGAATACTTGGACAGGAACCTAATCAGATGATGCTATATTTTATGTAGATTATCTGATTGGGAAAACAGAAAATAGCTATTTCATATTGATAATCACCAATTACAATGATTCATAAAGTCGTATAAATTTTTTTCGTTTTCGAAAGGAAATTTTATTTACATTATGAAATCGTTGTTTTGTTACTTTATTCCAAAATCGTTTAATATTCCCTGAATTCATTTTTTTCATTTTTATTCTAAATATACTTACCTAAAACTTTGATATTAATTATATCATTTTCTACATTCAAATACTACAATTCAAAACATTATTCCTATTACATCAAGTCTGTCTGTATTCGAAAACCCAGTTTCGTCAGATAGTTAGCATAAATTAGCGTAACTAATAGATATTTCATCAAGTTGATATACATTGCCGCCCTATGCCACAGGTTATACACATGGGAATTATGTGGTACATTTGTGAAATGAATATATATTGACATAATGAATTCATGTTAATGCCTTTCATATTGTGTCATCTTCTTTTTTCTACAACAGTTTGTGGAGACATCCACGGCCAATTTTTTGACCTCATGAAGCTTTTCGAAGTTGGTGGAAATCCAGCAACAACTAATTATCTCTTCCTCGGTGATTACGTCGACAGAGGCTATTTCAGTATAGAGGTATGATCTATCTTTACAGTTACTCACTTCTATACCGATAAATAACAGGAATGTATATTGAGTATAGAAAATTTTGTATGCTCCGAAAAAGGTTCTGTACAAGCAGCCATAGATTTGTAAGCGACTGACGTTTGGTAAAATATATCACTCTGTCTCTGAAAAAAATTTCTCAAAACTTCGTTCTGTGAAATTTACTTTTTTCTTCACAATGTTGACTTGAATTAATTCAAGTAAGGCATCACTATTGACAAATATCTACCGACACTTTTATAGCAGAAATAAATTTGTATGTAGCTTTCAGCTTATCAGTTGTTGTGTGCAACCCTTTTATCAGCACAAATTCCCCTTTTTTAGTTAAAAGTTATAGGTACTTGTTCACGGCGAACCTGTACAAAAAATATTCATAGCTTATGGTCGAGTAGCGCTTTTAATACATGATTGATTGATTAATATATGATATGAATGATGAATATATGATTTATAGGTTAATATCCACTTTTAATAAATTTCTGCAAATTTCGGACAAACTGTTTGTATTAGTTTAAGACTAACTTGTTCACATTTCATTCCCGTCTGCTTTTTATGCATAGGTGTTACTAGAATTATTTTCTGTTCTTTTATTTTTGCACAGCAGTATTTTTTCAATAAAACAATCGTCAAATTATTGGCGATGATTATCAGCAAACCAAACATGAAACTTTTGTTTCGCAGTGATCATAAATTATGATCATGAGATCAAATATAATTTAGGACTTTGGTAGAAATCATTATTTTATCATGTACAAACAACTATTCATTTTTAGGATTTGTGAATCACCATACGCGCGATAATCTGTCCATAAAATATAATTCCTTGATAAGAATATGGTAGTAACAGAGTTACGAGCTTATGTTCATTTTCTCTCATCACTACATGTTTAGTAAGCCGGAGTGAAATGTAATCAATGCGTGAAATATTAGTCAATTTGCATTGAGAACCGCCAACCCTATTGAAATAAGGCAACAGTGTTGAACCAACTATAATGAAAAATCAATGTTGCATACTTCCTGCTGTCTGTCCACTGATTATGTGTACAGTCAACAAAACATCCTACGAACCTATTATTAAAACATATAGATCATCTAGGGTAACTAGTTTGACTATTTTGTATGCTGTGCTTCTTGCCTTATATTGAGATATACATGGTTTGATTTTTTTCCTCAATTTCTGCAGATAATATAATATATGGCAAAGCAAATCATAATATCTTGGCCTATAAAATCAATTTAGTAATTTAATATTGGCACCAAAATGTAGTTTTTAATTTTATTTGATCAAAAATTGTTGCACATTTGTATACAATACTAACAGATATTACATGCAATGAACTCATGACAGTTTATAATATAGGCTATGTATATCATTATCTAATTTATCGCCATCATCGATACCACATATTTCCATAACATATTTTTCGTCTGGAACCCATTTTTTAAGCCTTTATCCAGTGAATATCTCTTCATGCTTGGCACAAATATTCCTATGTTGTAATTTCAATTTATTTTTCGTCATCCTTACTTTCATGTAACAGGAAAATAGGCAAATATTGATGATTATCTTCTAAATACATAAACAGTGTTGCAATTTTAGCAGAAATATCGAAAAACATTTGTCTCCTCACCACTTACCAAGCAAAAAATTGTGCAGAATTTGCAATTGTGATAGTGCTGCGATTTTTTTAACTAACTTTGAAAATGGTATTATCTATCTATTTGCAGGCATTTTCTTCCAGCTGATCATCAGTTTATAGACATGAAAATACTTTTTTTGAAATGTGTTTTGCATAGATTGTTTGTGTATGATTTCTTTACATAATAGTAATCTTATTTATTTCCAAAACAATCCAGTCTACGTGTTTTTTGTTCAGCCTTGTTTGGCAAAAAAATAAAATTGTAACTAAGGAATTTTTTTTGTACATTCAAATGTACAAATTGTACATTTGAATACTTCTATCAAAATGTTTAGTCATACCCTTATTAAATAAAATTCAGCATAGTGCAAATATCCAATTCAGAAAAACATCTAAGAATATTCAGCAAGCATGATGCGAAGAATACCATGTCACTCCCCATCTATGATTAATGCTTGTCCACAGATAAATAAATAAAATCTTGCATTTTTGTTGGTCTTATTTATGGCCGAGCTAGAACTTTTTTTTTTCAATTTCATATTTCAATTTCATTTGTAGCAGCTACTAGCCTACTAGTGGTCTTTAATTTATATAAACCATCTAATGTTTGCACATATTTTTTTTTACAGTGTGTTCTTTACCTCTGGTCTTTGAAAATTTTATATCCTAAAACACTTCACCTGCTTCGAGGAAATCATGAATGTCGACATCTTACAGAATATTTTACTTTTAAACAAGAGTGTAAGTGTAAATATCTTTGTTTTCATTTAGACTTATTGAGCCTGCTCACTGCCAGATATTGGTTGGCATAAGTGGAGTTAGTACCAGTAGCCTATGCTCGCATGTGAATATAATTCATATTTACAAATGATTTCGACTTAAAAATCTATTATTGAAATCATTTATGAACCAGAATCATTACATTTTTGTTCTCAAACTGATTAAATTTTTTTTTTCACATTTTCAAAATAATTAGTTACGGTATATTACCTCATCCAACGTTTTGGAGTCAGAGCCGAAGTGGTATTTTCAGACTTAACTGAAAGTAGAAATTTCAGGTTTTTTAACTATGATAATCAAATTAAAAATTTTTTACAAGACCTCAAAAAACAAAGGTTGATAAATGTTCCTCCCATTCTATTGAAGAAGCCTTGTATATTCCCCAAGTTTTTATCATCCAAATTTGATTTTAAGTCTTATTCAAAATAGGCAAAAAAAATTTCAACCCAGGACTCCACACCATAACATCACCTGAGTGTGCCTAAGTTAAAGGTGGTTTATCAATGTTTCCTCATGAAGCAATCTTTGCAGTGTTGTGTAGTTTTATTACTATGGAGTAAAATTAGCAGAAACCGGTGCTATTAAATATCCAAGGACTTGTGCTATCATATGAGTGTATGGCTTGTTATGAAAAAGGTATAAAAAGCTACCAACGAGCCAGCGATAACGTTTTTGTATCTGCTGCCTTTGTTTGTATAGTGAAATATGTTTATATAAATGTATGTTTACAGAATGTAATGTGTTATGTTAGGCATATTTATTGTCGTCTTTGCCTAACAAAAGATGTACGTTTCAATTTTTTTTCAATTTTAATATTACTGAAGGTTTAGTATTATTTTTGTTATTACACTGCGAACAGAATCACTATCACAAATTACGATTTTGCTGCAAATTTGTAGAAAAATTAGAATTCGCATACAAGGCCTTGTTGGTAGGCAAAAAAAAATTTTACTTTCAAATAATTTTGCAGTTTCAAAAAAAATTTGAAAAATGTTGTCAGAAGTAATGTGAAATTATATTTTTTGATCGGAATTAAATAATAAAATAATTGTTTTAGCCATTCAAAAAAATTCATTTGTTATATACAGTTTAATGATTGTACTTGTATTTCAATTTTCTATTACTTTTAAATTTTCTATTACTCATCACACTCATACTTTGATATATATCAATTGATATTTTGAACTCTTTAGCATCATTGGAACTTAGTGTAGTAGTAGTTAGAAACTGAAGTATGTTCCGATGCCTCTGTGTGACATAGATATTCAGTTCGTTAATATTGAATAATTAGGAATTTGACTCATTCTATCTAATTAATATTTAATCAATGCATTCTGGCCAAAGTCTTCCTTGATCTGTATTATGAATGATTTAGTAAATGCTCCGAATTGTCTTAATGACCATCTAAATGTCTGGAGGTTTGATAATTATCGTCTGGAATTCATTTCCATCTGTTATGCAAAACAATATAATTCGATTATGTAAGAAAGAATGATGTTGTATCAATGAAATGAGACAATTGTTGTAGGAATCAGGATTCTTTTTATTTAAAAAAAAATTGTGATAACAAATTTTTTTTTTTACTGTGACAGAAAATTTTTTATTTATTTTTGAATAAATATTTAAGTTCACTTTTTATCTTTAGACAACATGTCATTAAAAGTAGTATAGGATTGGCAGTTCCTGTTGTGGTAGGAAGTCACAATCTGAATATTTCATGTTGTCGAGATGAATGTGTTGAAAGGGTCTCATTTGAATGCAAGTGACAAGATTTTGACAGGCGTTGCTATTCAGATCACTTTTAAGGTCATCACTTGTATTAAATGAAGTTCAAGGTTACTTGTGGCTATCTGCGTTAGGCCTAATTAATTATGTTCAAATCCAATCTCCTGCCACCTCACCCGAGTTCATTATTTTTGAATATCAAGACCTGATCGTTTTAGGAATTTTTTGATTAAATTTTTGCTTTTTGGTATAATTTAAAACCCTTTGTGTGAAGTATTCATAATTCATGTTTTATGGAGGGATGTCCATAAAAAATTATATTTGAAATCATTTTAACTGTACTGTATGATTTTTTGGATAAATCAGATGAGTCAAAATCATTGCCCTCGGATTTTGAATTTTGTCATAAATTCGTTTATAATGAATTTAACCAAATCTTAGATAAATATGGAGCATCAAAATTATAAATTCCAAAATAATATTTTCGCCATAAAATTGTTATTTTTTTCCCTTAAATTGAGGTAAACCTAATCTTTAATAAATAGATTTGTATGTAGACTAAATATAAATCATGATACCTTGGTGTGGTGTATTGTCACTTATTAGACAATAAACTCAAGATTGATTTCAAATTTATTTAAAAAAAACGGTAGGTATATTTCAATCAGGGTTGTAATTAAAAAAGATTGATTAGGAATATGTATTCAGATTATGATAGCATTTATATGCTTTATTTTAAGAAAAGATAAATTGCTAAATGCTTCTTAAATGAGCATTCAAAATATTGATTATTGAATGTTAGGTTTCACTACGCTGTGTTAGTATTATAATGCCATTATAGTAAACAAGTTGTTTCAGAAATCTATATTTTATGTTGTTGTGAAAGAGGAATTTTTTCTTGATCAATTTTGCTGCGAATTGTGTTTTTGTTTTTTTAGCACATTCCACGACAATTCATGCTTGTCTGATGAACACTTAAGTTTTTCACCTTTACCATAAAAAGACTGCCGACTTAAATGTTTTTTTGACCATTCAAAATTGTTTACTATCATATGCGTGCCATAGACTGTATTATAGTTTGGCAACATATTCCATTCCTTCCAAATAATGCACCTCTTCACATATCATTAGATACGGCCTTGTTTCAAGCGAAAGACTTGAACAGGCATCACATTATAAAAAGATATACAGTATCTGAGCAAGTGTTTATATATTTGGTAGAGCGATAATTTCACTAGATATAAAAAAAATTTAAATTTTCTAATCTTGATGATATATGGTAGATATTTCAATTACTATAATTAAAATTATTATTAAAATAGTGAACCTATTTTATTTGTAGATTTAATAAATCCTGGGGGTCAACTGTGCTCCAATCGATAATCTTATTCAACTTATTAACTGTAATGTATACATTCAAAATAAAGATCTATTTCGGTCATTATAAACAACGTCTTTACTGAATTTTTCAATCAATTTATAAGACCTAGGTTTTTCATGTTTGATCCAAATTATTTTGCATAAAAAATAGATTGAATTCAATTTGTTTGTCTCAGAATTTTTGAATTTCTAACACAGGGTAGGCGGAAACCTCATAATTTACTATTCTGAAATAATAACTTTGAATGCGGAATACTGAATATATTATGAATCGTTCCATGTTTAATCCTGAAGTTTGAACAAATTATTGTAAATTGATAAAAATAATACAAAAATTAAGATAAATGCAGAATATTCAGGATAGACATTTTTTGTTGGATTTTCAAGTTGTTCACTGACAGAATTTAATCAAAGTCTATTTTTTTGCATGACCACCTGATATCAAAATGCTGAATATGGAAAATTTTCAAATGAAACTATTATTAGACTATTCTCAAAATCAAAAATTTTAATATTGAATATGGCTAATTTCGAATCTATTTAAATATTCAACTCATTTTGGACAAAACATTGATATCTACAATTTGATTTGTCTTACATGAATGAATATCTTTCCAATCGTTTGTGTACTGTAGTACAATGTACTATACTATAGTACACCGAACAGTCGTTTTCTTGTTATTCTTTTGTTTGTTTTATCGACAGAATTATTACATATCACTGCTATTGAGTGGCTCTTGAACCAACGCCCCAATGTTTAATCTGCTTCCTTCAACGGTTACCGGCTGGCTATTCATAAGCCATCTTCGGGTCACTTGACGAGCTGGGCTTGCCGCGCTATAAAGCATTTGAGTATACAAATAAAAAATCACATTTCTGTTAGCTTGGTACATTCATGGTTTGGCAACTGTGAAATGGAAGTCTAGCATTTTGTTCGTATATCTACTTATGGTTATCTTCATTTAAGACCAAAAAGTGTTGGAAAGTTTTACATGCATGTTCTATATATGATGGCTCACACTTCAGTCTAGCATGTATCATATTCAATTAAATATAATTCAAATCAATACATTGCCACTAACAGAGAATGCAAAATTGTTAATTTTCCTCTCAGTCCCATTTTTACTCGATGTGTAGTTAGTTACTAATTGAATATCTAAATAATTATTGAATAACACAGCCTGCTCATTGTTATATTGTTGTAATAAATCCATACTCATTACCTGTATTTATTTATTGGTAAATAATTCAATCAAATTTAATATACAAAATAAAAATAAAAAACACGTCACGTAAAAACCCAAAATCGTGTTCACTGACCACGGCTATAACATATAAACATGAACCTAGTTAACATACATCTCGAATATATTTCATGTTCTGCCATTTTGAGCAACAAAATGAATGTCAAAACATAGATTACGCTTAATTGTTTTTTAAAATAGAAATCGAGTCAAAACGATAATTTATAGGACAAAGTTCAATATATTCAGTTTTACTATATATCCAATATGCCAATTTCGAAATTTGTAAAAATATTGAGGTTTTATTGCATAGGATGTTCATAAAGTCCTGTGTTAAATCAGTTAAAATTAAAATAACTTCCTTGTGCTTATGCTACTATTGGTGGACATAAGAGGTGTATTATTAAATAATGTGAAAAACTTAATATAAACACTGAATAAAATTAAAACAAACCTGGTTAAGATATATAGAAAACTGATTTTATAACAAAATTTTGAAATTGCAACAGGTGGATGTCATATTGAAGTAGCTTGAATGTATATAGAGCTATCAATCTGGACTTTACCTGGGTTTTAGTTGTCAAAATTCAGACCTTGAATACTACAAATTGTATCAGAAATGAGTATTATTTCATATTTATCATAATTATATCTATTACACCAAACTGAGTAGGCTACAGTATAATATATACTCGCGTTAAATGGAATCACAATCTCAAAATTATCCAACTACCTGAGTAAAAAAATATTTATTAATTTGATATTATGCATGAACAAGTATGGGCTATTGATGGATTTACCATTCAATCACGATCTATGTTTGATCCATGCATATCAACATATAATTACAAATTTTTATGATATGAAGAAAATTATGATATATTGCATTGTAAATGATTTTGTCAGTCTGGACTCTAATCTAGACACAATCTTACATTTTATTTTCTTCCTAGAAATGCTTTTCGTTAAACTTCCTACTACTTTTGAGTGATGGTAATAATTCACGATTATGTAATAATAATGAATAGTTCATGATAAGTGGAAATCAATCTTATGTCACATAACCATCAGTATGCAAAATCAATTTGCTTTTGTGCTTTTGTTCAATTAGATCAATAAATAATCCAATCAAAGTTGTTACTGTTGAGTAAGAAATTGGCCATGTGAGGATTACACCCCTTGATTTTCAATTATTTCTGATTTAGAGAAATTGATTTTACTACTGATTGATTATTTACCCAGGATTGTTAATCAATGATTATACAGATTGAAGTAATTGGTAACAGTTTACTGTACAATTATAATATTAAAGGTTTCCAAAATTTTTGATTTTGTTTTTTGCCAATTCTCTAAAAAATATATTTTCGGGATGCAGATTATATGAAATTCTATTATTTTTACAAGATTTTTATATATGTTAACCTTATGAACCAATTGGCATTGAAAGTAGGGATTTTTGATTGAAAATTTTTTTTTTGCCAATTATTGTTTTTTTTGCCAATTCTTGATAGCATGCAATATTAAGTAAGATATATCTGGCTAAAAACAATCAAGAAATGTCAGGTATTTGCATTTTGATAATTTTTAGAATATTTTTATATGTATCCCTACTTTGTGTTCTTCGTACCATATGTGCCAAACTATTTAAAAAAGATTATCATATTAATATTATTTTTCAATAAAGTTATGATACATCGCTTGATACAACTGTGTTAAAACTAGGATTTGGGAATTAGAGTTAGTGGAATAAAAAGAAATTTAGATTGAGCGGAATTTGAAATAAACAATTCCTCTAAAAGATATATTTCAAGAATTTCCATGATTGGAATTACATTTTTTTCTCTAAAATTTGCATTTTAGACAGTGAATTGATAAAAATATTTTTTTTTCAGGTAAAATCAAATACAGTGAAAAAGTTTACGATGCTTGCATGGAATCATTTGATTGTTTGCCACTTGCCGCATTAATGAATCAACAGTTTCTCTGTGTTCATGGTGGATTATCGCCTGAAATTAACACTCTCGAAGATATTAAAAGAGTAAGTTTATTTTCACATACAGTCGTGCATTGAATTACTATGGAGACCACAAAAATTTGTTTTCATTTCATCCATTTTGGTGGAAATTTTTCCACTTATGATCTGGATATTTTGGCTTAGCTTTAATCGAAGAAAGCAACTTTTTGTTTAGACTGATAGTGTGAGGCATTTCATAAAAATAGTATCTTTTCAACTATCAAAATACAAAGTGCTGTTGTGCAAATTGTTCAAAATAGTTGTTTAAATCTGTGGTTGGCAAACTTTATGTACTACAGGCCGCATTGATTTCCGCCTACAAACAATCGCCGAATTGCACTTTATGACATGCCCGTAACTACTAGACGAGTATGTGGCCATTTCTTATTTAATATCAAAAATTCGCGTTGTTTTTTATTTACTTATCATCAATGTAATGGTGGATGTTGATTCTCTGTGATGGCAAAGCAATAAAATTGTCTGGAAGATTCGTTGATTATTGAACCGTCGACTCTTGTCGTAAACTTTTCTATGTTTCTAAGTCCTTTTAATAATGCATCATTTTAAACATGAAACTGAACTAAACTGATGATTAACAGTTGCCACATTCGCCAAATGAACGACATATCGGAAAATCGTAGCTTTTTACAGTTAAAATATTAATTCAGTATTTGAGTTCAAGAAGAGAAATATCTGATTCAGTAAAACATTATCGTCGGAATAGAAACTTTTGAATTAGGATATTAGAAATTTTCAACAATAAGCCAATGCTTGTTGGGTGACGACTCTGTTATAATATGTATTGACTACTGTTTGTATTAATGTCATTATCTGTAGTATAACTGGAAATTTCAGTATAATAATTATCAAATTGGTCACAGCATCATATCCCTCTAGTTGGCTCCCAATGTATTTGGATGTAGATAAAAAGAAATATAGGTATTATCTTATTGAAATCTTTTCCCTTCTATCAAAAAATGTAGGGCATATACCGGTACTTTGTCCAATCACTTAAGGAGTAATGATGAGCTATTAGCTTCTGTTCTTGGGTATGAGTAACTGCAATCAACATGATGCCTATATCTTAGCTGGATTTTATGTCGTAGTATGGAGTATGTTAATTAAGGATGAAGTTAGGATGAAGTTCCTAGTTTCAAATAATTTTTTAATTCAATTTTGAATTGGACGTCTCAATTGGTATATTTATCAAATCTAATTTTTGAATTGGAAAATCCTCAACGTCAGGAAAAAAGAGTAATTTTGTTCCAGTTCGAATTATAGTTGATTTAGAATTACAAAACTTTTATATTTTCAATTAAATTTAAGTCGCCATTGATTGTGATATTGTATCCTGAAAATTATAGCCTTTCACCACTTACATCATTTCCCAAAATTATTGCTCTTTTTATAGATAAAAGACTTATGGAAGGGATTAAATATAATTTGATGTTTCACAGATTATATATAGCTACACTATTTTTAAACTATATTGTAGCAGAAATAGTTCAGGAATTCAAGTATGGGCCATGGTAGATCATTTTAAAAAACATAAAACGGAAGCTAAATTGAGAGATCAAATGGAATAATTTATCTGTTTCTGCCATACATTAACAGTATTTGGGACTCTTGCCGTATCATTGGCATATATTCAATCAAGTATGATTGAGGAGATATCCTGAAAGTGATATTAATCAATAGGTTTCTTGTTATTACTGACAGTTGACATTGTCATCTTTTGTTACCTTCGCTTGTCATCAACTCGTCAATAAAGATTAAATCCACACGTTCCTTTGTGTTCATCATCTTGGGTTGCAATTTATTTGGTTTTTAATCTTTGTTATGCTGAATAACAATACACAACGCACGTGCCGTACTAAATGCCCGTCTCAATTAGAGATGTTCACATAAAAATACTTCGGTATTCTACAATTCTATCTAGCTAATATACACAATTACGAATATGAATGGTGTACGTGTTCTAACGACAACCAAATCAATCTAACACACTGTATCGTCATTTCATTGGACTTTTTTTTTAGGCAAACATAATTGAACTACATTTCATCTGGTTACTATTTGGGATGACTATGTTATCTAAAGTAAATTGGCTGGGGTGTGGTCAGTTCGTTGACCGTAATGCTGTCTTTTATTTTTACTCTTGTTTGTTGGCTTTGTTATTATTAATTGTGGCACATAATATGAGTGATAGAAACATGTTAAAAGTCAGACTAGGTATAGGGTGACTGGAAAAAGAATCAGAACACATGTCATTTGGAACATATTTAGCATGTTCTGTTTTTTTGGGGGGAGGGGAGGGCTTGGGGGGTCACGCTGTATAGCTACGGATCTTAAAAGTTCGAGAACCCGTACTTTGTCTTTATTATGTGTAGTGTAGTAAAATAGTAATTTCTCTTTTCAGCTCGACAGATTCAAAGAACCTCCTGCTTTTGGTCCCATGTGTGATCTGCTATGGTCAGATCCTTTAGAAGATTTTGGAAATGAAAGGTCAACTGATCATTACTGCCACAACACAGTACGAGGATGCTCATACTTTTACAGGTACGTATTTTGTGACCATTTTCTATCTATCCAAGTTTATACATTTGGGATTCAGATTATTTCAAATTGCTAACAATAAATTTTTTTTGCCTACCAGACGATTAGAAATGCTTTTTTATGGTAGTATAGTTGTTGGCAAGGCAGGATTTTTTATTATTATCTAATACTTTCAATGCTGATTATATACCAGTACAACCGTTTGGTTCGAAGTTGTAATTTCCATTTTAGCTTATGTTCATGAATAATGTGATTTCAGGGATGTCCAAAACAAATCGAATACATGCCAAATCGGTCATATTCAATTTAGTGAATTCTTGATTTAAGGAATAATTTAGAACATTTTCATTTGAAAATGTCTTTTGAAGCATTTATTATTTTATGATAGACAAAAATTAGTTGACTTCTGACAAAATAAAATAGAGAATACTATTTCTCAATAATTATTCTGCATAACCAAATTTAATTTCTACAAATTTACAATTGTTTTGAAGAATTTATCTTATGAAACAGACCCATTTCAGCATATATCGGATATTTCATATCCAAAAAGATTATTTTAGAATGTATTCGGAATACTACTGTAAATTATTCGGTTTCGGCCATCTTTGGATGTAATCGATTATTCATTTTTGTATAATGTTTTCAAGCCTCTTTAAAACTTTAAAATTGGATAAATTATATTTGTTATACCTGGTACATTATAGCAGAGCTCTATTTCATGTGTAGTTCAATATTTAATAACCATACCGGTATTACGTTTTATCTCAGTTGTTTTGGTTACCTAGCATTGCTTAGCTTGTATCATTTCTATAGCTTCCAAATTACTCATTTCATTATATTCTCATTCACTTCCCCTAACACAGGATGTCGCCCTGTGGATAACTTTCCCGCAGTATATTGAAACAACTTATTCACTTTATATTTCCATACACTGTACAGATTTTAAAAAAGGATGGAAGTTGTTCTTGTTGGATATGTTATTTTATTTGTTTAGAATTCTATGTGATATCTTCACTCGTAGACTTTTCAATATTATTGCCATTTTTATTTGTATATTCATATGAATACAAATTGATATAGATTTTTTATTTCAGCTATACTGCTGTATGTGACTTCTTACAGAATAACGGGCTGCTTTCTCTCATCAGGGCCCATGAAGCCCAAGATGCCGGGTAGGATTTTTTTTGTGATTGACTGTTTGTTAGATCTTGTTTTGTGATTTGCTCTTTGCTGGAAATACATTTCATGATTTTACTATGCCCTTGTTGTTTCTCTATTTTATTCCATCATTACCTTGGCTTATCCCAAAGTTGCATTATTAGCTCATGTTTGATAATTGATATTAGCAGAATATACCGTATTTTATGGACAATAAAGCGCACCGTATTATTGCTTTTTTGCACAGTATTATATATCGCTTATAGATTGGGGTTTATTCATACATACATAAGGCGCATTGGGCTATAAGACGCAACTGTTTTTGAAGCAATACTGGTACTGGTCTTTGAGTGACAATGAGGACAGAAAGCACTACCTGATCTAAACATTAAGCGCATCGGAATATAAGGCGCACAATTGATATTTGAAAAAAATCAGATTTAAAATGCATCTCAGGGTCAGTAAAATGCAGTATAGCCTAGTTGATTAACCACGCTCAAGTTGCAAGTTTTATCAAATTTGCATTCATTTAGAATCCCTTCCCCTTATTTTCAACTTGTTTTAACTCCTGTGGAAGAGCAAAAATTTCTTGTGGGATTTGAACAGTAATCACAAAAATTTTCATTTTAGGTATAAAATGTACAAAAAATGTCAAACAACAGGTTTCCCTTCACTTATCACCATATTTTCTGCACCCAACTACCTGGACGTTTATAACAATAAAGGTGCGTACCAATATTCTATTGTTAAGTCTATGTTGATGGCCATTTATGAACAATAAACTGGAATATTTTTGCGAACGTATCACTCATAGCTGTAGCATAGATGTGTTGATTTTAGTTAAACATTTCAACATCGCCAAAATCATATATTTCAATGCTGTCTCTCTGTAAATGTAAAACCATTCGAATCATGTACCAAGTGTATAGATGATATGGCAGACAAACAGCCATTTTTGGATAAAACCATTCCGATCATGGTTTGGTCAATACAGCAATCTTTTCTAACCGTAAACCATCAATACATTTCATAAAAAGTCATATGAGAACTTTTTAAATATATACACCCTTGTATCTTGTTACATAATTTTTTAAAACCTGTGAAATTTTCTCATTTTTATTTCATTTTCAGCTGCTGTACTCAAATACGAGAACAACGTTATGAACATTCGACAGTTCAACTGCTCGCCCCATCCATATTGGCTCCCCAATTTCATGGATGTCTTCACATGGTCACTACCTTTTGTAGGAGAAAAAGGTAATTACTGTATATTAAATAAATGAATCAATAATATTTTTTTTAAATACAATACCTATCCAAGACAGACTTTTACATATGTCATAAGATTTGAATTAATCATTTGCAATATAGATTAAAATATATTTTAACATATGGCTGCGATGGCCTGGTAGTAAAAGCATTTGACTCAACTATGATGACTCCGCAAATTAAAATCTTGGGTTTTTAAACTCCATCCCTGCTACTTCGCCTAAGGGTGTAATAAATTGGGTAGGCAATGTCGGACCCGATAGATTCAGGCCCTTCCGAACTATAGTACTTCCTCACCTCGCATTGGCTGCTTTTGCAAAGCCTCGATCAGAGAGAAAGGTGTATAAATTTGTCGTATAGAATAGATAGATTGTATTTTTTTGCAACAGACTATTTCTTGTTATTATCCAATTTTGAATGATCCTAATTTTTTTTTTTAATAAAACACAATTTATGTGAAATTGTAACCTCAAAATTTTGCTTGATTTTGGTGAATCTTACATTGAAACAGTAATTTTGTAAGTAAGAAGTGTAAATAATTTCATCAAATAACAATATTTTGAAATCTTTTTTTTTTAACTAGTTTGCTTACCTGTAGTTCCATACTTAATTGAGAAAAATAAAAATTTTTGCTCATTATTCAGAGGGAATGATGATAAGAAGGTGACCCAGAAACAGAACCCAGACCTTTGGAACATATTCTAGAGAGAATATAAATTTTTTGCAAAGATTTTTAGGTTACTGAAACTTTTGGGTACAATCATAAATAAACAGAAGTTCAAGCGTTGTAAATACTTTTCGTAAAAAGTATTCAAAAATTTATTGCCGTTTTTTTTTTTGTGTACATCCGATTCTTAGTGATTTTATATTTTTGGGCTACTATGCTACTTAAAATATCTGATTTTGCAAACAAATATGGTATGTACCCGACATTTCTGTCAAAGCGTTTTGTGAAATACTATCTGCCCTCATTAAGTATTTATTAACATCTTCCATAGGTTGTTGTCAGCCACATCGGCGACATTTTTGTCTTTTTTCTCAGAGTTTGCACTAACAAATGTCAGAGAATTTAGTAACTCAAATTAAAGTAAACCACATTCAAACATATATTATTGGGATAAAATTAGACTAAATTTTTGTCTTCGTTGCCAAAAATCTAAAATCAATAAAGGGTATTGAAAATATAAAGTAAATTGGAAAACAATTTTAGAGTCATAATCAGTATGAGTATCTGTAATAATGTATCTGTAAAAAAAAAAATTATGTGACACAAAGGCTGTATTGAATTATAATGTTTAAGAAATTTAGCAAAATCTGTGATTTGGTTTAATAAGGTAAATAAAAATATACAGGTTGTTTATAAGGTCCTGTTACAATATCAATTTTGTTTCAAAGTCAGTTCTCTACAAGTTTAAATATTTTTATCAGTCTTCATTCGAGTTTTCACTTAATACTCCAATAGGACAAACAAACTATATATAGTATCAATAAATTCCCTTTGCAATTTTAAAAGTTTTAAGTCTTTATGAGTACCCTGTACTTAACTGTACTTTATTTTGTTACTCGTTTTATAGTTCATAAAAGTAGTATACTACTTTGACTGAGTTTATAGAGTTAATAATGTTATATTTTTGTTATTTTCAGTGACTGAAATGCTTGTCAACGTTTTAAACATCTGCTCAGATGATGAATTATTAGCTGAAAAAGACGACACATTTGAAGGTGAATTTTTTCTCATGGTTTTCTTTATCACAAGTTAGATCTCACTATAATTTTTCATGAGATTTTAAAATGTCAAAGAAATATGTTGTGGTATTTTGTCTGGTATATTTTTTGTCATGTGTTTATTATTTTTTTTACATTTTTGATATCGGTTTAAAGTAATTATATTATTATTAGACCTATCTGTGCCTGCAGCATATGTAATAATGTTTTGTTCTAATGTTCATTCCAATTTCTTTACAACATTAAATAAACAAAATAAATGATAATCAATAGAGAGCAGCTTCTAAAAATTAAAACAAGAATATCCACAATTTGAAATTTGGGGGTCAATTTTTCTTCCACAAAAGTTATAGTCCTGTTAATGTTATCAATTTCAATTTATCAAAACAGCCTTTTCTCCTTATTTCTACAAAATATAGGGATCAAGCAATAGTTTATCTACGTTTTAAATATAATTCCCACTTTGCATCAAATATACCGGTAATCATTTTCCATACTTGTTGTAAATATATTAATAAAAGTTATTTTCCAAACAAGATGAAAAATAAATAAAAACTTTATCTTTTATTTAAAGCTTTTTTTGTTTTCTCCCTCCCTGAAAAATTGTTTCAAAAATAAATTTTATTGTTGTCTTTCAATTCTTCCATATCTTTTAATCTGATTTCACACAACACCTGGTAATTTTTTATCCTCTTAAATGAATTGAATTTATTTTAAGTTGTCTCTTTAAACAACATCTGCCAAACTTGTTGTCATAAGACAAAATTATGCTTTTCTTTTTCTTTTTTGTGTTTCTAATGAATGCCTTTCTTATGGCTATGACATACCACTCCCTAAAGCATTTCAAAAATTATAAATATTTCGGCGCTCCAGAAGTTTGTGTACCAATATGGAGGTAACTAATTTTGTTCGCCTACTTTACATAAATTTTTGTGAAGGGACTGAAACCTACGGGCAGGGGGTATATTCACATAGTCCCCGAACTTGTAACAGAACTAAAATAGGGAAAAATCGGATAAAATCATGGCCTAACCCTAACCTGGTACATAAACTACGGGAGTACCAATATTTCAATATCAGAGTAGCATAGTAAATAGAACTTTTCGATGGTGATCCAGCCTGATAATTGATATCTATATAAAAATTGACTTTAATAATCCCTTTTCCTTCAGAGAAATATCTATATGTCACTGCATATTCAAGCTTTTATGAAAAAATTACAGGCCCGTTGTAACATGGGCACAAATTGAAGGTCGCAATAGGTGTAAATTGTTTGTTGCTTAAATTGCTACTGTTTTCAGCATATTGCACTCTGTTGCATTGTGTTGATTCCCGTCGTGACCAGCGGCAATTTTCCGCATCTCGAGTGTCACGCATTCTCTGATGTCTAACAGCAAATCGTGCACTTCCTTGGCATAAATTATTAACGTCCCAGGCAACGAATTTATGATTCTGCGTTCTAATCTGCTCGTGCATTAAGATTATCAAAGTATCATGCATGATCGTGTTTGAATCACTCAAAATCCCATATTTTCATCAGCATTAATTCAATAAATAAACAAAGTTTTTATAAAGAAAGAAATACAACATATTACTTTTAAAAATTAGTGAATACGTTTACATTTTGAAATTAATGTTACGATAAATATATATATAATATATATAATATAATATTTTAGCGTGTATGTATTTCTGGTAGAAATCCTTTCATATCCATATAATACTACATCCTCATACCACAATTGGTCAAATATTTCAAATTGTTAAATTATATGAATGGAAAAATCTATCAGAAAATTGACTCTAGACTAAAATTCAAATGCCCATTATACATAGGTAGTAATTTTTACAAACATTGTTTATCACTATAGCTGTCTTCAAATATATTAAATTAATTTTAATTTAGGATACCGGTACTTAATTTAATCTAAATTTCTTGTATATATCCAAACATGATGAAATGTAATATAAAATTAGAGTTTGTGATACGTTTTCACTGTTACTAAATATAAGAAAATTCCTATTTATTGAGATTTCAAAAGAAATATTGTTTCACAATTATACTGATGTTTTTTTTGTCATTTTCTAGTTATTAGACATAAGATTTTCTATGCCACATTTCCATTCATTTCATGTTATGAATTTCAGCCCTTATTTGGCACCAGGCCATTGCTGTGAGGATTTTGAAAGCGATGCTGTTGTAATGGTGTTATTTTTTTTTTTTAATCCTTTTTAAAATTTCAATCGTAATTTGTATAACGTCATCAGTCATCAGACAATATACAATTTCATATTATATTCTCAACATTTCATTCTCATAAAACTTTTTTATTATTTATTTATTTGTTATTCTTTTATTTAAGTCATTTATCATACATATTTTCTTTTTATTTTCATGTGCATTTCTGATGAATTTTCGTTAAACGGTGCTATGCGTAAAAATTTACGTACATTTAGCAGGTGGGCTTTGTAACGGTAAGAAACTGTGTTCCCATTGTCATGTGAACAAAATTGTGATAGTGCACAATTCTTGTTTTAAACAGTGGGTAACACTGACGCTGCCTGTTTTTCGATAGCGTTATGTTATGTATTTAGATATTACATGGAGTGTAGCGTTTGGAAACGTAGTGACAAATTTTGGGCATGTTTTTTTAATTGGGTGAATATGTATCGGTGTTGGGCCTCTTATGGAGAGTTTGTTGTTGAGTAATTTTGCTCGATTAAGCATGGAGTATTGATAAATTGCATCTCTAAGATGCAATTTATCAATACCCCATGCTTGATCGAGCAAAATAATTTGTATAGCACAGATAGGCTTGATAGGAGAATGCCTTATGCATGTTTTGCCAAGCATTTGAATGATGCACTTTTTGCATGCAACCGAGTCCTATGTAATTGTGTGTGATATCTACAAATAAAGTAAACCATTGGCAATTCAAGCGCTGAACTGAGAATGCTAATTTCTACCACAAATACGCTACATCAATTGCTCAAATCCAGCTTTTTGAAATAGGCAATTCTATTTTGGATTGAAAATTGTTCCATTTTATCTTGTAGCATATTATACCAGGTGATATATACTGTATTTAACGAGTCCTTCAATTTTCTTAAAACCCATCGTGTGCATAATGTATGTATCAGGTAGTGCTTTATGCTTTACCAGTACCAGTACTATTGTTTTATGAACAAACCGTAATTTTATGTTTCACTCCTATAACATGTTGCATCTTATAGCTTGGTGCACCTTATGTTTGAACAAACCCCCAATCGAAGCGATTTATTGCTAGTGCGCCTAATGGTCGAAAAATTAGATAAAGGTTAGATGATAATTTTCTGATACCGCTAATTTGTTTTTCACCTCTGCTTTTTCGTCTTATTCATTTACAATTTCCGCAATCCATTTCATGAATTTTTCTGATATATTTTTGATCACCTGTTTGAGTGTTGGCTTGCTATGTGACATTTGCATTTCCTCAAAATGTCGCATGCTGAGGGTGTTTTGTTGTCGTCTTCTGGGTACAACTATGTCATTTCTAATGCTGCAACTGTGTGAGGACTTGATTTGAGTAAAGTTTCATGAAAGAGTGTAAATATGCTCTCGTTGAATAACATAAGCTAAATAAAATTGAGTAAATGCCAATAATTCTGCTATAATAAATATAACAATGCTGCTTTAAGCTTTTTTAATTATTCACTCTGGAATTAGTAGACCACTGTCACAAATGTTCAATAGGTTGTGTGTCTTTTATCTATTCGTGTCAGTGATTTGGGTTATTTCTGTTTGATGACTTACCTATGTTGCATTGAAACATTGATGAAATGAAAATTCTTAAAATTTTTAGTCTCATCGGTAAAAAATAACAACGCTCTTTCTGGCCAAAAACAATTGTCAAAGACTCGTAAGTGCGAATGTGGTTTGAAAAATAGATATAACGTGATGAAGTCGTTGATTTTATAGTTTCGTTTCGACTCTTGATGTTGGGTCGTTCGCGGCTGTGTGAAAATTTGATGGCATCTTGTGCATTGGCCTTATGTTATGTGAATCCTTGGATATTATATTGTGACCCTCTCGTAATAAACGAGTACCTAAATTTTTACTATAATTTTGATTAGAAAATATAATATTTAAATAAAATTATGCATATTATTAGAAAAGTTACAATTCATCAAACATTTTCCGTATTTGCATTTGTTGCGTGAGTGCGTACTTCACTTGTACAAAAGACTGATACGCCCATGCATGGAGTATTGCTGTCATATTCAGGGGTCCTGTTATTTTTCTAAATCTTCTCGGTTCCCATCTGGGGAACCGCAGTACTGATTTCACTTATCCCTTGATAGGAAAACTTCCAGTTCTACCCAGTTTTATTGTTAAAGAAGGATGTTTCACAAGGAGTTTTCACTTTATTGGGCTAAGATTATGCAAACATAACAGGATTTGGAATCTGCCAATCATAATAACACTCTAAATACCACTGGAGTGATAAACAGGGGGCCCTTGAGTGCTGAAAACCCCTGGAAGGGGGCCACAAGCCATAAAAGGTCGGGAACCACTGTTCTATATTAAATACAAAAAAGAAAATCCAACATGATCAGCAAACTCTCTACTCGTTTACATTCAGTGAACCAACTAGAGAAAATATTTGTTATACCCAAAAGTTTTTCCACTAAATCAGGTATGTGGAATTCAGTACCTAATACCTGTTTTTCCGACCTTACTATAATTCCTTTTATATTCTAGTGGTCGCACATAACTTCGCTTAAATGTTAATATCCTTAATTTCTGAGTGACTGCGAGGGACCTTGCAAATATGCTTATGAAAACTACCTTATTTTAATAGATGATTTCTTCCTATAAAGTTTTATTCAGTCTTAATTTTTGAGTGAGTGCAAGTGACTTTGCTTGAAGCAAATATTTTTATAAAAAATTACCTCATTTTAATACGTATTTCTTTCTTTCTATAAAGTGTTATTCAGCCATATAATGCCTCAAATTGAGAAAATTGTTGGAAAATTACCATTTTATGGAATTTTCTGTTACAAATCATTAATTTACTATATTTTTCAGAATGAGTGCAGTATTACTGCTTTTTTTAAATGGCTAATCTTTGGTTTATGAAGTTTATTTTAAAAGCATTAGGTTCGTTGTCAAAAATCCTTTTACAGAGATTTCTTTTTGATAAATTTGTTTACAATTTTCCCAGTTTTGCTCATTTGTATCAAAAATTGTCAGTGTTTTGCATCCTGTACATAAGTCGTTTCTTTCAGACTATATGGAAAAACAGTTGAACATCAATTTAAAGGTTTTAAGGAGTCAGATTGAAAAAGCATCCCTAACTCGCCGGACGCAGTCTGGTGATGTATCTGGGACATTACCTAAAAGTGGGTACTATGGGATGCTGTGTCTATTTGCTGAATATAGTCCATGGCTTTTGACCAAGTCTAAAAACTTTATATCATAAATCAGGTAGTTTGGAATTTTTGAGGTGTTAACAATATTGCAGTGCCCATAACAAACTTGTGAAAACTAAAATGTGTGGTAGTCATCCAATAAAAATTTAATAATATTCTTGTTTTACTCATTTTGATCGGCTCGTCTATGAACTACTAGCATTGTGTGACACAACATTTTCAATTACCCGATATTTCGTTAGTTCTTATCTGTTCCCATTTTATCTTGCAACTTAGTGGGAATGACTTTTCTGTACTAATATAAATATTGAAGAATTCTCGTTTCTGCTATGAGTAAATTTAAAGATAAAATCCTGCATTTTCAAATTTATTTATTTTAGTTTCAATTTTTCCAACAAATCCCATGCTCACCAGAGTGTGGGTGGGCAATGCCGAACCAGAACAGTTTTGAACCTTCCAAACTTTAATAGCTCACTGTCTAACAGTGGCTGCATGTGCAAGCCTTGTTTGGAGCAAAATGTGTATAAATATGATGTATAAAAAATAGGACCACTCAATCAACCTTTTTTGCAAAGCTAAGGTTCATCATATTTGCGTGGTACGCTGATTTGATTATAAACATATTAAATACAATTGTGTACAACATGTTCTATTTTAATCTGTCTCCACTTAACTAAAACTAAACTGACCAGGTTTGCAATAGTTAGATCAGGCTAAATATTTCATCCAAAGATGCTTTAATAATGATTTTAGAAACCAAATTCTATATAAAAGAGTTCTGATTTGTATTTGTTGTCATTAGTATGTAGTTCATAGTTCTGAATCCACTAACTTTTTGGTATAACCACTCTAGTTACACCTCTTCGATATTCCGAGATTATATACCATAGTTCCAAGTGAAAAATATATTTTGCAATAAATTCGATAAAGCTACCTACACTATATATAAATATAAAAAAAATAATAACAGTTTAAATTCCATAATATATTTTAATATAACATTGACTATGAATTAGTTGATCGTGCCCCATCAATGCAACTCCATTAACCAGAAATATATATATTTTCCAAGGCTCTCACATGTCGACATTTCCACAAATAATTCTAATGTAAAGGAACATTTGTGGATTCGTTAAATGAAAGTTGATTTCCAGACATTGATTTAATCTGTTATGACTTTAGATTAGACGAAAACAAAACAAAAGATCATTTGTTGTTAGGGATAGTGATTTAATAACATAGTGCATTTATATGATTTTTCAACTAGAACAATTATGATAGAAAGTGTTCAGCTTGAATATATGTAATTATTGTAGCTAGCTTGCTGTGGATTGTTTTTGGGTGTGGTAGTGTGGTTTTGTAGATTTGTATTTGCATCAAGAGTGACTTTCTTTATATTGATTGAAGTGAATTTGTGTTAAATGCAAGTAGTTATTACAAATTTCGGCGCTCCAGAAGTGTGTGTACCAATATGGAGGTAACTAATTTTGTTCGCCTACCTTACATCAAGTTGTGTAAAAGGACAGAAGCCTATTGGCAGTGGGTAAATTCCATTGGCTATCACAGACAGTCCCCATACTCGTAATAGAACTAAAATAGGGAAAATCTGAATGAAATTATGGCCTAACCCTGACCTGGTGCACACACTACAGGAGTACCCAAATCTCAAGTTATGTAGTTGGTACTGCTTTCAAATTTATAATTTATTACCTAATTAATACTTTGTGTTGCGGCGCAATTCTAAAAAAAAACATCTCTTCAAGTATCATATATCATCATATATCATCGTATTAAATCTGCATCAGCACAGTTTTGGTATGGGCTATACTCGAATCAAAGTATTATTTTTTCTGTCCTGTTACACATTTTAAAACTTGCATCATTTGAAATTTTATATTAATTACTCGCATTTTGCAAAAATTTTCAAACAATAAATTTGTAAAAGCCACAACTATGAGAAAATTCGAAGCAATCTGCATTTCTGTGAAAATGTCAAAATTGTATAGTATTAGTTTGCAATCAGGGTGTTCTTGCTTAATACTATTTCTTCTTAGCGATTTCTTCAATTTCAGATTTTTATATTGCTTCCATAGGTATTATCCTGTATGTAGATTATCATTTTAAGTTAAATAAATTATTGAAAAAAAATGAATAAATTTGATAGATATGTCAAAACTTATTTAAATTTGATATCGATCAAAAAATGGCTACTTTCTTACATAGCATATGATGCTTAATATAAATCATAAACCAAATTAGAATGGTTATAGTGTTTCGTAAATTATAGTTTTGAATCTTTCAACCTTCAATATGTATTGTTTCGTATTGTTTTATATCAATTTCATTTTTAGGAAAAAGTATTTTATTCATGATTTTTTTTTAAAAAAATTCTCTTATATTTAATGTTGCCAACCTAATTTTTTTTAACAAGTTCATTCTTCTAAATTAACCCTTTATTTCAAAGGAGGTACGCCTGCTGCCAGAAAGGAGGTGATCCGCAACAAAATTCGGGCAATTGGCAAAATGGCCCGAGTATTCTCAGTACTCAGGTAAGGGGGCATGCACAATCCAGCAAGGAATAATAAATTTATTTACCCGTGCATGCTTAATGTGAATACATTTTTTATGCATGCATGCATTCATCCTTGCAAATCACATTATCTGTCTGATTTTAGTCCGAATTTAACATTGGTTTCAAATCGGCCATGCATAACTGATATTTATATATTTAAATTAAATTTTCAATCATGGCGTAAAAGATATATCTTGCAAATTTATATGGTCTTGATGAATTTAAGCATCTTTATTATAGGGAATAATACTTCAGGCTGAATTATTATATGATTAATATGCGCCTACTCCCCATCTGCCTGTTGCCCTGTTCGTTCAATCGTTACAACTATAAGCATATCTATACACAGCATATATATTTTGTAGAAATGCGAAATTAGGTTCATTTGAAAACAGTCTATTTGGAGAATTCAAATTTATTTTATTTCAAATTTGCTGTTTTTACAGTAAAATCCCAAGTTTTGAAATTGGAATTTATTGTGATTTGTTGAAATCTAATCACATTCATAATATCGGAAAATCAAATGAATGACTACATTTTGTTTATATAAACACCTTCCGTTACTCCTGAAGTATGCGCACCAAGATGTCGCATGACCTGAACCCTAACCTGGTACACAACCTGATTTCAGGTTGTGCGCCATCTTGGTGCGCATACTTCATGAAGTCCACCGAAATGATCAAATAAGGAGATCCCTAGTGACCAATGATAAATTTCGACTGACCAGCAGATTAATGTGATTGCAATTGCAAAGAACACTTCGAAACTGATGATAAGTTTTTTTATTTTATTCATTTTTTTGTTATATCATCATTTTAGATTTATCAGCTGAAGACCAAGTTCAGGCAGCAAAGAGAAAACAGAGAGAAGCGTTAAGAAACAAAATATTTGCAGTTGGTAGAATGGCAAAGGTGTTTAGTATTTTGAGGTAATTGAGATAAAGTGATTGCGAGTTATATTATTTGTAAAGAAAGTTTAATTATAGTAAGTGAAACGGTGTGCGTTTAATGTAAGATAAGTACAGAATAATTTCCATAGTGCTTGGTTAATTTTGGTTTTGCTCACTATGCAAGCGATATTATAGGAGATTAAATCAAAAAAGGATAATAAGACAAATTTTGTGTGCAGATTTTATATCTGTATGATTCATGACGCAAGTTCATTATAGTGTAGCTGTCAGTAAAATTGAGAAGAGAGAGGATTAAAAAGATTTGAGAGAGAGAAATAGCGTTTTCCGTTTCACTGCACATCGCACACACAATCCACCGTATGGTCATGACATCATCACCAGCTTTTCGCATCCCAAGAGACAAACTGCATATCTGAGACTGGCTCTAAGTATCAGCCATGTCATCATTGGAAATTAATACTCCGATTACCTGGGGTTTAATTCATTTAAGCTCGAATAGTAACGGGCGAGTCTTAAGCCGACGCTGATCGCCGCGTAGATTCCATATCGACTTTTACATCTTGCACGACTCACTTTTCACCACCAACCTTTCTACGCGTGCGTCTGTACTGCGGGCCGTCGTGCCTCTTAAAATCGAAAAAGTTGAAGCAAACTCTGAATTATTGAAGAACTCTGTTCCCAAGAGACGGCTGATAATGGATGCCTCTTGTAAATATTTATTGGACTCATCCCACTGATTTTATCTTACTGTCTCAACCTCTGTTCACATTAAAGCCGTCCCTCTGCGGTAACACTAATTATTTTCTCTCTTACAATTACTGGCTTGCAAATGCACATTCACAGTTACTAAATAAAAATTCATTAAATGGAATTTTACGTCATTTGACACTAAGTTATAACTTAATCTCAATTGGAGTATTGTGGTTTTTGATTATGCAATTTTCTTTCTTTCTGTGTAACATATGTGTTATAAGAATTCCTAATTCTACATAATAATCAGGACAGGTTATTCAGACTGCATTATGGATAGATACCATGAGACCAAGTGAGATTAGGCAGTCCCAAATAAATAACAGTCTGACAAATGCATCTTATGCATGTATCATATATATAACTATAATTCCGTTTTATTTTTTCAAGTTGTTTCAGAATTTTAATTTAAATAAACCTGAATATCAACAGCAACTTAATTGCTTGAAACTACTGGGATTCGAAATAATTTTATCGTCAATATACATTATGTTTGTTTTGAATATTTAATATAATATGATATTAATTAATTAATTAGGTAATGAGTATATAATTTAAACTTCAAGACATTATTTCATTTCATATTACAACAGTTTGATACTATTCGGTTCTTATTTAGACTACATTTTTCTTATATTCTAACAATATGGCACAGCATAATATGATAAATGCCAGACATAGCACATAGATAGCAATTTCATATCTCGAAATTACTCAATAAATATGATCATTTCAATTCATAATTTGGAAATGTCTATCTTGTTGAATATTCATAACATCCAATGATTACCTGTATCCGTATATGTAACGAAGTTGTGCTATTATAATGCCGTTTGCTTATCTTTATAGGAAGGAAAGTGAAACGGTACTTCAGTTAAAAGGATTGACACCTACTGGTATGCTGCCAACAGGAGTGTTATCTGGTGGAGCAACATCATTACAAGATGGTTTGATTCATTTACTTTCATTCGTGTGGTTTAAATTAACGGTGTTTTTACTACTAAGATCTGAATAATATCAATCATTAAGTCAAGTGTGTACAACAGGGAAGTTGACTTGGGCCAATGCTCTTCTTTTTTTTCATCCAATCCTCTCTTTTCTAGTTTGTTGTGAGTTTTGACATTCACTTGTTGATTGATCCGATATTGAGATTTCAAATTTGTAAATTCGGAATTGGTTGTTAATGTGACATTATTTTCATGAAAATATGCAATGAATCATCTTAATATGTTCCTCATCTAAATAGCTATGTTGGGATAGATCAAGAGGTTGACTCTGACTGCCATCGCTCACCATTGTTATGGCTTTCCGTCCAATGGGAAAAAAGGGATGCAAGGTAGCAGCTAAATTAATATGCAGGCCTACTGAAATCAGAAATATCAATTGTCATCTGGGTTTGATTTATCAACATTTTGTCAAGAGATTGACACATTTTTTGAATTTTTTTAGCTATTGGATCAGCGGATGACAGTAAAATTACTACCTTCAAAGAAGCGAAGGATATGGACAGGGTGAATGAAAGAATGCCTCCACGACGCGAAGTAAAGAAAACGTCATCTGATGGTCAAGGACCAAGCAATAGTGCAGATGGTCACGCATGACAATGTTGTGCTGATAATAGTGCAGTAATTTGTCAAACTCAAACAAATGTGTAATGTTAAAATTTCATCAAGGATATGTGGAACTCGTCATTGAAAGCAGATTCTGATTGGGTTGCATTGTTATGCGACATATGGCTCATTGTGATGTTATTTCCCTAATACCAGACTGAGCAAGTTGTCCACAGTCCAGATATCCTTTTTTCCTCATCACCCATAATTTAATTCCTTACGTCATCAATCCTAACTTTTATGGTTAGACTCGATTTGTAACTGGGGGAAATGGAACCGTGACACGTTAACGACTCACTATTTAAAAAGTTATGAATAATAATTCATCAATTTCATTTGGTTCAAAATGCAACATCCATGTTTATATTTACAAATACTTGTAGATCTTTTATCCATAATCGAGCTATTTTGTAATTGGGAAATTTCATCTGATATTTCACCCATTTGTAAAAATGGAAGCATGCAAATGAATTAAGGCCTCAAATTCGCTAAGAAGACTTTCTTTATTAAGTTTTACATTCATATTTTCCTCAGATGTAAGAACATTTAGCACCAGTAATTTCACACCTAAACATAGTTTCTGTGTTCATTTTATGAACTCTATTTCATCCTAAAAATTATGAGACAGCTCGACAGTTCTATTTCTCTCAGTTACATATCTGTTCCTGAAGTTGTTTCATGAAAATTGAACATTGAGGGAATATTATATTTATGAAGCTGCCTTCAAATTCATGATATTCGACTTGCCTAGTATAGTTATCACTTTCATCTCATCTGCCATTTTCAATATAAAATGTTATAACTAGAATTTTTTTAATATTTATCGAACATGGTTAGAGCACAACAATTTGAAGACGTAGCATGGTAATTTACTAGCTTCGTAAATTCATTAGAAAACGAACACAAAATAGAAATAATATTATTTAGGATGTCTTCTGGAATAAGGCCCAAGAAGTTGATGCTTAATCCTATGAATTTATTACTCCTAATCCGAGGGCAAGTAGTATTAGAATGTGAAAAATAATGAGACAGTTAAAAGCTGGAAGCGCTAAAATTTCTGGTAGCCTCATCTATTATGTAAGCTTTGCTCCTGCTCCAACAATTTGTCAAGGCTCCAAGCTTCGGCTTCCCAGCTCTGATTGAAATGGAAAAATTCTTCCTTATATATAATCTGAGCTACTGGCAGGCTATTGTAATTAATAGTCTTCATGACCAACTAGTCTATTTTTCAAGTTCCGATCCATTTGTTCATTAAATTAAATTGCCTGTTCTATTTATGTCCGTCCATCAGACTCTCTATTCCATCTCATACCTTTTCTTTTGTAATTTTACAGAAGATAATTAATTCAAAACTGCAAATACCTGGAATTTTTTTACTTAGGGCCAGTTTATGAAATTAAGACATAGATTTGCTATTTTATTAATCTCCCCCAAGATGTGTTTATAGAGTAACACTTCCTCTACACGGCATCTTTAAACTCCTGAACATTTTGTATATAACCAAATTCACCTTTGTATATTATTAGTTAATCAGTTTTGCACAGTATGTTGTAGTCGAAGGCTATGAAGAGTCTCTATAATTTCAAAACCATAAAATAAAGTTTATTTGTCCCAGTGTGATCTGCTATCTTCTAAATCAGATAACTTTTAGTAACCCTGTTCATTGTTAAAGTAATTATAACTTGCTATAGGTCAGGAAGGTGCAACCTGCAACCTGTGGCATGTGGGCCTATGATAAATAAAGTTTGGCAAGCGGTTTCACTCAGTTATTTGTATCTGGCGCTCTTGTATTGCAGGTCGCACACTCCTGCTATAGGTAGTCGAGCCAGAAATTCACACCCAGAAATTTTTCGAACAAGGGGAGTAATTAGATAGTGACCTTATCAATGGTCTTCCCATATAAATTGGTTCGATTCTTTTATCATCAACTGTTTTGACAATTTATCAGAATCCTGATTATGAGACATTAATAATTAAAGTTGTAGATAAGACGCATCTGCTTATTTCATCTGGTATCATCCGCCTTACCCTTTTATATAACAAAAATATAATTCACTTTATGGCCCCTTTGAGTCTTTACTTAGTTATCTGACAAAAATGTCATGAAATTCATTAGATTGTGACTGTGAAATTAGCCAATACCATCATCTATCACGCTTTTTATGTTCACTTTTGTTGTACGATTACTTGTTCTGAGTTCCGGTTGGTTAAATTTTGGTTTTTGCTTTAAAAAAAATATTAACGCAACATGCACATTGTTACAAATATTGTTTATCTGTTTATATATTATATAATATAGTAGGACAAAATTTTTTTTGAATGTTTGTTCAATTTTCTATATTAATCTTATTATAATAATTGATATAGAAATTGTTATTTTTTCATGGTATTTACGCTTTGTTTGATTGACACTACTACTTAGTTGTTAATATTGGATCATATGCAGTAAGTTTTGAAAGAAAATTCGGAGATTTTTTTTTTTTTTTGATTTACATTTTTTAATAAGCTAACCTGTAATTTATCAGAAAAGCTGCCATCAAATTTGGGTTTGAGGCTTTGTGAAAGTTTGGGTGAATGATAACAACTTAATTTGGCATTGTTTTTCTTATTTCGGCATACAACCATATCTGATATTCTTATAAAGTTATTGATGGTTGAAGTTGGGGTTTGCAACTCTCTGACCTAAATTTGGTTGCAGGCACTTTGCACATCTTATATTTAGTAATTACAGTAGGATAATGCACGTAGCAATAAGGTTTGCCATAAGTTGGAGATTCGTTTTGATTGGTCTACTTACTTTTTTATGTCAGAGACCTGTCAATATTTTCAGTATTTTACTCTTGAAAAAAACTATCTAATAAGGAACAATGGCTCGGGGATGTGAGCTAATAATAAAGTTTTTGTTTGGAATAGGCCTTTTGTTGTAAGCGGATCAAGTATAGCAGTTTTGTAGAGTAAGAATTGGAGAACAGCTTTAACCAAAGCAATTCAAATGTTTACAGAGAAGTAGTCTTTAATGTTAGAAATAGGCCAGTGGTTTTAACCATTTTTAATCTTTCCGCCCCTTTTGAAACCGCCTCCATTCCTTCTCACAATGCATAAAATACGCATTTTTTGTTGTTCATTCTTAGTGGTCAAGTGAGACGTACAAGCCGCACTCTAGTTTTTGATATAAACATGTATTGAAATCTTACTAAATAACTATAAAATATTTGTATAAATACAGCAAACAATAAGCAAAATTTCTTCCCCTAGGACAGTGGTTCCCAAACCGCGGGCCACCCACGGCCCGCCCAATGTGAATATAACCGGGGTAATGAATTCTTTGAATTTTGAACTTCAGGGTAAGAACAAATTGGTTGCACGTATGTTTGACGATGTTCGCTCCACTGAACAAAAACTAGCCTAACAGGGCGTCATAAAATGCGTCTTTGAGAACAAAAATTGACTCTTCTAAAAACGTGTTCAAATTTTTCGGAAGAATAAGAGGCAGCAAATTTATTTTTTTCAAATAGATACGTTGATTTAATCACAAAACTACGAAAAGGGTTTTTAGTCGCTTTGCTAATATTAGGAATCATTCAGCTGAGTTGGAAGTTGCTTGCGTCACAATCGATTGTGATTTGAACTGCGAAATAAATGACAAGTTTGTTTGGATCTGCATACATCTGTGAACAAAAGGTTTTCAGTCATGAACCTCAACAAATCGAAACTTTAGGCTCAGAATAACAGATGATCACTTGATTTTGCGAATACAATGTACCAAATTCGAGCCACGTTTTACAACATCTGATTTGGAGCAAATCCCAATTACATGTATCTACAACAAAACACAACTAAATTATGTTGGCATTTCTTATATATAAATATATACATTGGGATTTTAGCCATTTACACGAGGTCGTGTATGCCAGATGAGCAAGTAACTTCATTAGTCATTATCAGTTGCAAATTCCTTGTTGAAAGACGTGCCTGTTGTTGCAGGGGTATTCTATCGCCTCTTATTACTTTTATTACATGACAAACTGTGACGCAAGATGTATCTGAAATCAATATTGCAGCCTATTTTAGTGCCTATATTTTAAAAATTTCTATCCTTTAAAAACCCCAATTTGCCGTAACGCCCATTAACGGGCGACCCGCGAATGTCTTTCCGCTTCTAATTTCAGTCCCCAGTCAAACAACTTTGGGAACCACTGCCCCAAGAAAACGACATTCCTCCTAAGTTGAGGAGCGCTGAAATAGACGAATAAATAAATATTCTTATGTTTCAGTTGCTTATCTATATATACTGTTACGAATATCCCGGTTTTTAGCTCAAATGTGGAAGTTCACCAAACATTATGTCTGTCGGCGTTCTACTTTGGCGTTAGGTTGGCTAAGTACGACATATATCGCAGGGTTAATTCCGTAATATTTTTTGTTGTCTCGATGCTTCATCCGACGCACTTTGCAAAGAGTATGGGACAGGTCGAATATTTTTTTTCTGAATCTTTGCTGTTTTGCTTCTGCGATATCGACTTCAACTTTTTCCATCCAGTGCAAGGAGACTTTGTTGCTCAACGGGCTGATCAACTAACGTGCGATACGGTGCAGATTTTGTAAGGCCTATGACACGTGAACGACGGCCAGCAAAAAATAAAATTGAATTTTGATACGACTTTATAGTTTTGATAGTTATGGCATTTGAATTGTTCTGAGTAATTTTGTACGGGTATCTGAAGTGTACATTTGTCCTAGGCAAGACGCGATTATTGAAATTATTTTTCGTCTCCTACGGACTGGATACGATTCGTAATGTCCCACACACTATTTGCGTACCAATCGATTTGAATAAAGATGTGATAACGTCTTAATTTAGTCTTCATGTGGTTGATAATTCAAGTACGGTTATTCAGACATATACGACGAATATTTGCCTCGGTTGTAAAATAGGGCCTCATGGTTGTCAAGTATTTCTATAAACTTTCATCAAATATTTGGGATGATCTGTTTTTCGGACGACTGGGAAAGTGGTGCCATTGTTACAGCTTTCAAAAACGGTGATCTCGTGATTAAGTAGCCTATTGGGGCTTTAGGTTTCTGCTGTCTATCAGCTAAGTGTTTGAAACTTATACATGTATACATCAGTGGCCATCTCGAAGCACTTGGCGTCTTAACCTTTTAGCAATATGGTATTCGTTCGAAATGGTGTGTCGTTGATTGCTTGACTGTGGTAATTAAAAATAAATTGTTCAAACAAGAAGTCAATTAACAGCTTCCTTGGATATTCTAAGCTTTTTATATTGTTTTGCTCATTGGCCATCATGTAGCCTACCCGATCAAATTTCGTTTCCATGAAATCCTGCTTCTCAAAATCAATGGTCGGGGATTGATAGCTGAGATATCATCGTACATGCTCGATTTCTTTTGGAATTCCCGGGACTCCATTCTGGGACCAACATTGTTTTCTCTTCATATTCACCGATGGCCCCCGGATATATTCATTCGAGATTTGAGCTTTTAAGCTAACAACACAACTCTCCGTCACTCCTCTGATGTAAAGTCAAATAACCAACAACGATCAAAACGTCATAAATTTCAACTTTCTTACGGGAAGAACCAGGTTTTTTAAACTAGGAATACATGGAACATCATGTTACCGCTGATCGTCATATTTGGCATGAACTTAATTACAGCGTCGAAAAACCCGAGAGTGGAGCAACTAATATGGCTGGACCTACCTTTCGGGAATCTGACTTTCATCGTTATTTGCAGAATTCCGGGTACCGAAACCAATAGCAAATCTTCGCCATCGTCTTGAAAACAAAGCGATTCTAATTTCATATCAATCGTTGTTTTATACCTGCCGAAATATACATGTGCTGCAAATAATTGTTAATTATTCCATACCCGAGAAAGACTGGTCCCCGGACAAGAGACGTAATACGACGAATTATCGGCCTACCTGTCCTCTGGAATAATTGTGGAAATTTCTCTATTTCCGTATATTATTATGAAGATTTATTATTCAATGCCCTTTTCCCGGATCTGTGTATTGTGCCGACATCCGAATTAGCGGTAAATATCTCCTTCTTCAACGAGTCTGGGTGTTGCTTGTGTCTGTTACTTTTGCTGTTTACAACAATTAACTAATCCAGATCTTGGGTCTTCAAATTAACAATACAGTATATACACTAATAAACGAAAACGATGAAATATGTCGCCAGTATATGACAGAAGTCAATGTCCAGTAGGCCTACTATTTTGTATCAGGTTTGAGGTATTGAATGATTACAGAAATTGAAATTTTGAAAAAATAAACATGAAGCCAATTTTTAGTGGGCTCATATAACTTTCAACAACATTTAGAAATCTACAAAAATAGTTGAAAATGATACTTCTGTGTATTTTCCGTGTTCGTATTATTGCATGAAACTGAACGATATAATTAGGAAGGCAAATTTCGCAGAACACGATAGCATCTTGGTCAATTAAATAATTTTGTCGAAAATTTATGACCACAGATAAAATTAGAGAACTTCAATTCCTAAGCGAGAGAAATTATCCGTCATCAATTTAAAAATAACGTAACGAAAAAGGCGGCATAAGGCATTATGACAAGTCTCGAGACAGCGAAACTGCCGGTATAGAATTTTGAATACTAACTGAATACTAAGGTTTGCCGTATGCCTTCAGGTAGGTACAGAGCTGACGTGCTAGAAACATGCAAGCAATCTACGGACAAACAATTGTTATGTTGTATGCTTAAGTTTCAGGAATATGGCATACAGTTGGTGAAATTGCAGCAATGCAGAGTAGTGAACCACTGTAAAAGAGGTCATTTAGCCAATAAAGTTCTACAAATAAGAAGAGTTGCAGCAGTTTAATTGAGTTTCAGAATGTTAGCAATATGAAAGGAATGAACGAAGAGATTCATCCCCGGTACTTTTGACCTGGCGACATAGCACTGTGATATAACTAACCCACTGAGATATTTTCGTTTTATGTATGTATTTTGTACCATCTATTTCAACCTAGGATGGCACACAGCGTATTTTTTCCTCGTGTGTATAATGTAAAAACAAGTTTGCGATGGCGAAAAGATGTGATTACACTCTGAATGAAACTGGAAGGTTTATGCAAAATTGATTCGTTTTTCCAAAACTTATATTGTATTTCTGGATAATTAATAGAACTTAATTATTAAAAACTGCAATAGGCAAATGCTTTGTAGTGAAGCTTCAGGACGTTTATATTATATGATATTCACTCGATGTAGATTCTTACATTTAGTAGGAACTCACTCGGCATTTAGAATCAGAATAGATTTTTTTCGAGTGGTTTTTGATGTCGAGTATATTAAACGAATCCCGCAGATAAGTTGTAACGGGAGTAACACCAACACATCTTACGCCAGCACAAAGATAGAGATTTATAATAGGTTTCGTCATTGAGATATGGTTCCTATTTTTGACGCCTTTAGAACCTTGAGTGTTGTTCCTTCAATGTTAGTTATGTTACCCTAAGGTTAACCACACGGTGAATTTCACGAATAACTTCTATAGTAACAGATCTGCTTTTGACGAACTATAAAGCTTTTACGGAGATGACGGTACGACTTTTTAAATCAAATTTTCAGCAATTTGAGACCATGTGAGTGATCCAGGTCGCTCGAATTTCATAAGAAAATGTGCCGGTATTATGTTTTATTAAAGATAGCCTAAGGAGATGATGGTGCATATTACTCATTGCCCATTACGGTTGAATCAGAAAAAATAATCCATAATAGTAAAGGCAACACGGATTTTAGACGAGGCACTAATAATATCTGAAAACAACTGTGGCCGTGGCCGAAGTTAATTTAGCTTTCTTGGTTGGCTTAATGATATCCGATCGGATACGGCAACGCCGCGGGTGTGTTTAAAAACCGTTGGTCGTTGCTATGGCCGTTCCATTTATTGTGGCGCTACACACATATTTTGCCTAAAGACAAATTCATGCTATGGCCATCGAATAAAATTCATTCTCATCATAAGATGTTATTTTGGTTGGATTAAATTATAACTGTTCATTTTTTTTTATAGATTTTTATGTGTATGCGGCCAGGTATTTTTTGGTTATTACTAAACATGTGGGTTTATATATATATTGCTATATATAAATGTAGGGGTCATATCGTTGTTTTGTGATTGGCAAAGTAAAGTTTGTAAATGGAAATCGTGGAATAGTCAAATAAATACATAAGGTACATACTTTTATCGCGCGAGGTATATATTACATCTGAGTGAATATATGTGTGTGGCCAGGTTAAATAAAATCTGTTCAAAATTGCTTAATCTCTGACTGAAATCTGTCAATCACATGGGATTAGCCCTTTAGTGTGATTGATAATGAAGTTATGAATCTAATGTCCTGCTTATCCTTTCATATAAATTTATCTTCGTTGATATAGATCTTGTGCCCTAGTAAACCAAAGTCCCTCCCACCTGTGTTCATACCCTAAAATTTACGACTTCTTTATTCGTCGTACCTCTATCTCGAATTAAATAGGCTAAATAATTTAACCTTCATTATAACAATTTAGAATAGCAGTGGCTTCGTAATGCCTTTCAATTTTTTATTATTGTTAACTATTCATATATATTAATCTTCGAATACTATGGCGAATATTACTTAATATGGTGATATAAATATCCTAAATACTTTTAATTAATCGAAATTATTCATAATGATTCATTGTAGTTTTTGTTTAATTTTTGTGGTCCATTTTTCATATTACAATAATTAATATTTAGCGTTACGCGTTATAATGAACTTGATCAACTCTTATATCACATTGGTAAATAAATTTAAAAAAGAATGTTTTACAAAAATAATTTTTATCAGAACCCTAATTCGCGGTTTGTAAATTATGGGCAGGAATTAAAGAAATTATGTTTCGTCTCTTTTTAGTGGGAATCAATTTTATCGACAGTTATAAATATCTCCAAATGACGCTCAATTTATTTTACCGCACCGCTAATGAAAGATAATTCAAACTAAATCCAAGAAGGGAAATGAGCAAATTGTCGGCCTATTAAAAATTAACGCTACATTGAAACTATTCATTTGCTACTATTTCACAAAAACTATTTTTACAACATTCGTACTTTTTGGTTATTACTGTTGATTAAGCAAGAAATGTGGTCATTAAAAATTTGAGGAAAAATCGGTAATTCTCAGCATATGAATAGCACTTTTGTTAGATGCGCTTTTTCTGCGAGTTGACATTACCAAAAGCTTACTCAAGTAAGTCGTAGAGGGAAGTATGTGTTTCATTTTGTTGAACATACGCAATTATTGGACATGAAGTGTACCCATGGATCGTTTTGCTATTGTATTGTTGTTTTTGTTAGTATATTAGCTAGATTGTATTCGTCTCTAGAAGGCTAGTACTTTTATTTGTTTTAAATTTTTTTATTGGACTTGTCTTTTGTGTGTGATGGCATCATCAAAATTTCGTATCTTGTGGCCGTCCCCCGTTCGCAAATGTTTCTTTTAGATGGCCAGGCGAAATCGTGAAGACTGTGGTATCAGTGGTCCATTCTGGAAATTTGCATACCCTTATTACGGTACTTTGTTTTGGGCTTCGTATCCATATATTTGAGCATTGCTTTATTGTTATGTATATACTGAGTAACTTGGTGCTTGATGCCTGATGGTATTGGGATATAATTATTTGCAATAATGGAACTTGCTTCTAATCTTCGACAATGCTAATTTAAAGTAAATTAACAGTGGTTTGTTTGATTGTGTTGCTGCAATGCGTTTATTCTTTTGTACTTGATTTATTCATCTGTTTTTTATGAAACTTGATAAAGTACCTGATGTAACAAATAAATCGTAAATAAAATTACCCGATAGAAACCTGATAAAAAAAAAACTTTTTGGACCTCCTGAAGTATGCGCACCAAGATGGCGCACAACCTGAACTCAGGTTGTGTACCAGGTTAGGGTTCAGACTATAGACATCTTGCCGTGGAGTGCAGAGATTTAGAGTATTTGGAATGGGGCCACTGATTATGATATCCCTACCCCATCTCAGAATATATATATATTCAAATTCAATTACAATGCAAATTATCTTTCTCGCAAAAAACTTTCGCGCCAAACTGATTCTCCCGTAGGAAACGAAGTTTGCACGCTCTGAGTATGTGACTGAATCTAGTATTGCGACATAATATAACCAGACGAATCGGTAATTATGAGCGAGACGATAGATTGTAAGCTAAAAATACAGCTTTTGTCGCCTATTGTAGGACTCGCATCGTGATACCAACAAAAAGTCTTTGATGAAATCTCATCTTTTCAAGTAACCACAAGTTTTTCGTTGCTCGATCACAATCTCCGTGAATGTAAATCAATAAAGTATATAGCTGTGAATTCTTCTGACAACTTGACAGTATTAGATTTGGCAATCACTCAATTTTTTTTAATTATAATGCAGTTGCTTATTAAGTTGTAGTAATAATATATCTTACTAAGAATTTCGTTTAAATAGTTAATTGAGCAATTCTGAAATATAAGAAAGTATTTCAACAAGCCTTAATCACGATAACATTTTTTGACTATTTGGAGAAAATTATTCAACTGAATCCGAGTTGTTGTGTATTATCAACTTTATCAGATAAAATGTAACATGTCACGTAATACCTTAATACAACATTTTTTGCGAAATGTGAAATTAACGTCGTTGATATTTGATATCTAATGGAGGTCATATCAAATTATAACATCATCAAAGTAAACTTGTCGGTGTTAAAATTTACTTACATTATATAGGATTAGCATAATTATACCAATTTCAAATTGAAACTGGGGTATCATATAGTGTAATAATGTCGAAACGCGAAATAAAACAATTCCCATTTTAAGATACCTGTGAATTTATAGGAGAACTTTTCTCTACTTCAACAGCATTACTTTGCCATGACCAGCCATTAAAATTAATAGTATCTACAGGATTGTCATGAAGTTCTTCATTAAATTTGATAAAATAACTTTGTTGTGCTTCTTGCAACTAATAGTGGGCATATGACGCTGTATTGACTGAAGAAAAACTCAAATAAACACCGATTGAAATAAGAAGAACTGGTCAATATTTATTGAGAACTGAGTTCATAACAAAATTTCGATTGTAACGGGACTTTAAGAACACCCTTTACCATATGAAATGATGGGGGTTTCGTATTCATTCCAAGAAGAAACAACGGAATATTTCAAGCACAACAACAGAACTCGTATTGTCGTTTGTTAGGTCGGGTATGGGAATTCTTCACCAAACGATGAGAATAAACAAAAGGGTTCTTGTGTTTTAGATTGTTATTTAGAAAGTCCAGTGGTTCTTCATACACTTCCGGAATTAAGTGTGTCTAATTATAAGAATGCTATGAACCTAAGACTTAAATCGAAAGTTATTTATACCACATTGCTGTCTAAATCATTAGAGGAGGAAATTACAATTTATCAGCTATGTTAATTGAAAAGCGCTAACATTAATTGCGATAAGTGGTGAGAATATTCCGCTTTAAGTGATAAAAATATCAATGAGATGGAACGTAATATTATGTGTCTGTGAAAATTTTTGGATAATAATTTAATCTAATAATGTAGAGGTCTCATTTCATTTGAAGTGAATCGACATTTGTATGTTTCAACTCAAATGTTTGCAATTCAGATTCTATATACCGGTATATATTATATTAAATTCGTCACATAAGTCTTCAGATGCGAAAAAAATATATATATATCAATAAATCATACATATAATTTCATTTATCCACAGCATTTTATGATGAAATAACACCATAGAAACAATCTTACATCTCATAATTACTGCTGTCCAATTTTCTCACATAAGAAACATTCCAATAGTATTTTTATGTCTGAATCAGATTCTTTTCTAAATCCTAACACGTACTTCCCCAGTGAAGTGTAAGTAATATCCCTAGGCGAGAATAAAGAGTGTTTGTTATAAAATATTAATCTTAATGTGGTTTGAATATGTGTAAGGGTGGCATCTAGTGGTTGTCAAACGAGTTTTACCGTCCATATGTCCCGATAATGTTACTTTAACAAAACTTCGTAGAATTCGCTGACGTTTAATCGGAGATCGGCAAATATTGGGTAGTTTTGTCGAATTCCAGTAACTAATGAAACGAATTTGTAACTCAACAGTCTACACATTTCATGAAATATTTCCATATTTTGTTTCACGAGTTGACCGACTATTATATTATCTCGTCAATATATCGTTTATTCACACACACAAGGTTAGTTAAGTAGTGGTGTTTTTGTCAGGAGCCTGAAGGAAAGCTATTTTATATAATTTAGTGCATTCTCGTGGTGATATGGTGTTATGAAGACGATAAGCCTTCCATTGATTACTAGTTTGATTGACCTCAGTTATTATCAGCAGTAGTATCATGTCTGTAAGTACGGAATAAGTCGAAGTGGTTTTTTATATTCCGCCTTTGGACATGATTTAGATCCGTACGCCAGACACAACATAAGGTGGAGATTATAGGTTTTAGCAACTAAAAACGCAAAATCACGTCGAAAGTATTTGTGCAATTCTCATTTCACTTCTGCAGCATTGTATTGTAGGATACAATACTTCTATGTTATTTCATTGTAAATCTTGTAAGTAAAGAGCTGCACTTGAAAAAGAATGCACAAATATGCTGAAATAAGATATTGAAGCTCGTATTGACGTTGTCAAGTGACACCCAGACTGTTTTTTTTTACTTTCAACAAAGTGAATTGGTATCACTGTCGCTAGACGAGTTCTACTGTACGTACCCTACCGGTAATGTGAATTTTTCAGAGGATTCCGTTCGTGCCTGTCTAAATTAAGGTAATCCTCCGAAACTGTCATTGCCTTATTGTTCTATAGTATAGAGTAGGCGTATAGATAGAATATTTCTATGAAACAATTCAACACGATAAAATACCGTCGGTATGCGGTTTCGTGGTTTTAGATAATCCGATTCTTTTGTTTAACAAACACAATCAATGTGTGGTTTTACACCTGAAAACTAGTAAAATTTGCCGTCCTGCGGAATTATCGACATTATAAAAAAAATGAATATTGTATAGATGGGTTTATACTTCACTCTATCAAATTTGCGAGGAATGAAACAGCCATGATACAGTATATATATATTGATTGCGCACAATGATAAATTGAAATGCCAGATTAGCAACTATTTTTAGCGACTCGAGCCGACGACTGATCCGCGCGTTTTGTGATTATTACTTATTATAAGTAGGAGTTGGAATTATGATGTCATTTTTCCAGTCCGGGCCTGTGGATGTGATTGTTCCAGCAAGCTATACTATTGATTAGCAAGATGTTGATTACGCAACGTGGTCACATAGGTTAAGTGGAAAGTTAAACGGCGCGTTTTGAAGTTATTTATGTGTCACTATAAATTTCTGCACCAGTTGTTATGTGAGACAGTAAAGGGTAAAGGATTTGAAAATGCTAACCTACTGTATTTGATTGACTAGTTAGACCTTCTGAACCATACTAAATCTAATTTTACGTGAAATTGCTTTATGTTATCATATTTCCTAGGTGTCATATAACCCAGATACAGAAATACTGCAACGAAAATGCAGCGATTTACTGCTTTTATGCAGTCATTGCATTTAGTTTTCTCTTTCACTATGTTGGATTGTATGATTCAAATATGGGATCAAAGGATCAAATAAAACTCGATCTCATTTTGAATTTTTTATATAGTTCAATTTTTAATTGGAATTTAAATAAGTAGAGTAATATTTTTCAGTTAAACAACGTTGTCGGAAACGAGTCTTTTCCATTTGTCAATTAAATGGGATTACATCAGAGCATTTTTATAATATGGATTTTTATGATCGTTGTACAATGCACGAAACATAAACTATACTGCAGAACAGAAGGTGGGTACAGTTAAAGTGTTTTATTTTTTTGATTCTTTATGAAATTTCTGGCATGACTTGAGGAAAAATGATATATTTTCTTCGGCATTAATGGAGGTAAAACACAGCTGATAATTTGAAGATATATAATCTGCATCTCTAAAACAAGGACGAAACGCTTTACAATAAAAAAATAACATTTTAAAATGAGTTCTGGCGACTTGGAAATACGAACGCGCTCATATTGGGGTCAACTGTCGTAGTAGATATTGTGTCAAAATTCCTTCCCTTTTCAATATTCAAACACACAGAAAAGAAGCAATTTAGGCGCAACTCTTCAACTTATCAAAATGTTTTGCATTTTATATTTAATTGAATTCAATAAAAATTTACAATCGTTCGGAAATTCGGAATTCGGAAAATTCGGAATCGTTGCCAGAGTGGAATTTTGGTGTCAACACGAATAAGTGGAATCGTGTAGAATTTGAATTTGTCAAATTGCTTATACATCGTTGTGGAATTTTGGTACATTCTTATCTTAAGAGTCTGAACATGACATGACTTAATTGGTGCATGACAACGTCAACAACTTAAAAATTTGACCAACTGCCAGTACTGAAAGTATTTTTATTTCTTTATATTCGGCCGAAGTTGAGTTATTAACGGACCGAATGAGGCTGTGGGTAGCAAAATTACAAAGAATGCAAACTGAGACTGACGAGTGACATCACTTCATAAAACCTATCGAAAATAATTCCAAAATGGTGATAAATATTTACAATTGTAATTTCTTTAGCAACGGCTACGCCACAGCCTGCGGCAAGACTTCTCGAACCACCTTCAATTGGGCGTAGAAACTTAGCACCAAGGGATGAACGAGCCAAAGTGGAATTAGATGCATGCTGTGGCCCAAAACCATTCTATACTGGCTTTTCTACGTGTTGCATGGGAAAGCCAATTCGTCGGTCTTCCAGGCGTTGCTGCATCTCGGGACCACCTGTGCCAAAACACAGTATATGGTAGGTTTATCGGTATTTTTACTAGCATGGTATAGTATTGCTGGTATTTCATGTCATACCGAACATTGTCGTTTTTGGTGGTATGTTGTGTTACAATAAGCGATTCCACTTTTCCGGATTTCTATTATGCTTCTGTATCCTACAAACTTTTACATATACAGTAGAAGCATAAACGTATCGCGATGGCCTAAGTATTATTTGTAATCAACCCCTAATTTACCTTATCATTGGCTTTGCAGATTAAATTAGTCGGGTTCATACTCCATGCACATTGTCTCACTCAGGGTGTTATAAATTTGGTGGGCAATACCGGACCGGTGACATTTCATTTTATTTTTTCAAAAAATACAAGCTCTTAAAATATCAGCGGGCTGTTTTCGAAGTGCAATACGTGAAGGATGTGTGTTATGAAAAAGATGTTGTAACGTCCAAGAACTAATAAGAGTCTACAATAACAAAATACGAACTAGCAATGACATTCCCCTAAACCGCGCTCTACTCCAAAGGACTATTTACGAGTCTAATATTTATGTTCCAGCATCGAAATAAAACATGATATCGCAACATATTCATATCGCTGCAGGCCTGCTATTATCAAATGAAATGTCAATGACATTTAACCTTCGGAGCGTCATAATTGCAACGACAATAGGACGAAATAGCGTATAATTTGAACGCCATGTTTCATATTATCAAGATAAGTGACCACAATTATGTACGCCGGAAAGCAACTCCGGTACAAACATAATGCAATTGTTGAATAACTACTCAAATCTGTCAAAACTACTTAAGAATTTTATTTACTGAACATTTCATCGCTTTTACAAACATCTTTTCTCACGAAATGTATTCAGCTGAAGATGTCTTACTTTATTTTATAGCTTTTTTTTCAGAAATTTCGCAGCGTTTTGCTTAGTTTTTGAATATGGTGTTCAAGCTATATTTAGTGAATTTTAATAAATGTTTCGCCCCATATATTTATTAATATTTTTATGCTTGATATCAGAAAGTGCATGAAATGGATTTGCATATGTAGTTTCTTCTCCTATTCAAATATATTCCTTCACATGATTATGGTTCCGAAACTTTCTTGGCATTATCTTGAATAGTATAATGTATATTTGGGGCTATTTTTCCGCCTGGTCTGATGATTTTGAATTAAATTTGTCTGAAGATTCCATATTTCCCTCCTTTCCCATGCCTTCATAACTCCAGCATCTTTATATTAAACTTCAATGGTTATCTTTTTACAACTTATTTTTTTATTCCAGTAATTGCTATCCACACTCAGATTGGATAAAAACAGAAAAGGACAAGTTTGAGGAACTTCGAATCAGGACTATTTCGTTAATGGAAGACGTTATTACTGCGAAAGAGAGACTTATGAAGTATGAACTTATAATACTACCTAAATGGCAACAATGATTCTTACATCCTTTTGTTGGTTTTCTTTTTTCATGAGATCGGCACATGTATTTATTCATTCATTCTAATATTTGAGTAACTGATATTACCAGGTGCCTTGCCATTGTCAGTCAATTTCCCAAATCTCAATATCTGTATAAATTCAACCATACTACCATGAGAAGCCTTCTATCGAATATGATAGTGATTTTACCCATCATGGCTGCATACAAAAAAATAAGAAATACTTTCAGTGCTAATCAAGCAGTATTATATTTTTTAGGATTATTGACGAAAAAGAACGTCTGGTAGGAGAGTTGGACGCGAAAGCGAGTGATTTGTATCGTTCTTTCTTGAGATCGATTAACGTTGACAGAGGCGAAGATCTTAAAGAAGTTCAATATATTTATGAATTGGTAGGCGTTGAATCATATTTTCCCGATAATATACTTACAACGGCGTTTTGTTAAATAATTTATCCCGTAATTATGAATGTTCACCCCGTAACCGGACCAGATTTACTGAACAAGTTTGAGGCAAATTTTCTACCTATTATTGAAAATAATAGAAGTCTAGTCCTGTGTTCTTATTCGGATTAATTTTCTTCAACAAACAAATATGCCATCTCCGATTAACTACGTTTGACGGCTGGCGAACTTATAGGAATATCACAGCTCATGGTGTACATTGAATAAAAAATAGCATAGTGATATTTTTGATATGTGAAAGTGATGATACGATCGAACTTTTTGTGTTTATATGCATCTCACATTAATATCCTGCATTAAACTTCAGGTTACATTTCTTCATTCCAATGAAGAAGTCTCCTTTGAAAGATCTTTGAATGAGGAAGAATTTATCGGCCTGCCAGAAAGTCCAGTACGGCGCGATGTGCCAATGTCGCTGCATCGTCAATTGGAAAGTGCAGCAAAAAGGGGACTTTTAGAATTAGTGAATTCACTTATGAATCGCGTGAAATCAAAGAAAATCAGTCTCCCGTATGCTATAAGGCAAATTAAAGCGGCAGGCCAAGAATCCATCATCGAGAGTGATTTCTGGCAACTACCATTGAAGAAACAAAATTTTGGCCGTGGGGTAAGCCGTGTTTGTATCTTCAGATCTTACCACAGGGCGAGGAAAATTGGTCGCCCAATCACACAAGTTCTAATCACGAGTCCACGACCTCGTGTCCATTAACCAGTCCTTTTGGATTTGGTATTAGCGTAACAATGAAAAGTAACAAATTTATGAGTGTCCATAACGGGGAAAGCTCTAATTTATGAGTTATACACATGACCCGATGAACGTATGGAGTCATTTAAATGAATGTGTTGATAAATGTTTTGACGAATTTTATTTTTTCTAGGGATCGGTCGTAGAAGAAGAAATAAGTTCGGATGAAACTGAGTTAAATACAGGAGCAATTGTGCAAGAAAGAAACAACGTTTTAGAGCAAATAAACAATGAAAACAAATTTATAATTGCGAGCATGAGTCGCGCAGAAGAATTAGAAAAAATGACACAAGTTTCAAAAAGCGGAGAGAAGGTGGCTATGCAAATGATTGATCTCTTAATCGAAGCGCTGGAAATGGCGCTTGAAATTGAAGACGAACAAAGAGCTCTTGAGTTGGAAGCAGAACTCGAATCAGAAGGAGGAAGTTTCGATTCAATTCGTCTTCCTGCAAACAATATCAAAATTAATCCTGATCTCGAGCATGAGATGATTGAACCAGGTTGTAATGTTACCAGTTGGACAAATAACTTTTCTAATATGGAGACTGAAATAGACAACGGGGAAACTCAACTACGAAAAATACTGCGTTTTATTTCAAGAATTAGGCGAGTTGTGAACACTAGAGGAAACGACCTCGAGTCGCAATGGCATCCACGCTTTCCCCCTGAACTTGAACCGTGAATCTTCTAATTCGATAGGGGTTTCAGTCCCGTTTGGGTTAGGCGTAATAAGATTAATAAGCAAGATAGAAAGTAAAGGCTTTTGAAAAGAGATTGCAAGATGTGCTATGCCGAGTACGACAAAGCTCTGGTCTTTTAATCGTTTAGCTGCGTTAAGCACGTACCAATGCGGCATGACTGTCTGACCGTAAGCTGGTAGGACGTGCAGCTGGTTCAACGAAATTCATCACGAGGAGACGTTTGTTCACTGATGTCCTGTGTATGGAAATATCATAAATCAGTGGTTTTCTGAATTTACTGCGGACCCCAACATTTTCGAGCCGAAAATACAATAGAAGAAAATAGTTTGAGCTTTTCAGACAACATTTGAATTACCTACCATTCCTCACGTACGCAACACGAATCGCTTACTGATTCATTGCAACCAAAAGATACCAATTTTACTTAGTGTGCGAAGAGTGTGCTTGCATCTCAGCACATATTTGAAATGTTAAAGCAATTGATCTCGGGGTTTTACGGGAAAGAAAATTTTTTTAACAACAAGAAGAAGAAAATACAAAATGACCAAACGATCAATTCCGTATACAATATATAAAGTGAAATTCAAAGAACTAACGGGCACGATAACGCCGTTAACCTATAACGCAAAAACTAAAGGCTGTTGCGGCCCCCTGACATTCCCTCGCGGACCCGTTTGATAACCACTGTCATAAATAGTATCAGCATGGCAACAATGCAAATAGATGATTTAATTATGTTGGTCCACAGAGTTCAAAAGGAAGAAAAGAAAGCACGAGGGAAAATGGCATTACGAACCTAGTGACAATGTTACAAAGTTCACTTATTAACATTTTTCATTGTTTTTTGAGTAATAAATTTCATCTATATATTTTAAATAAATGCAACTTTAAATCCTGAATCGTGCGTATTTCATCTTTCGTCTAGGCCGCACTCGTTGCCGCAAGAAGCGTGTAACTTGCTGCGTGTCAGTAGATGAGTGCTGTGATCACTAGTTCAAAGCCCTCTCGGGCACATGCATGTATGGGCAATTTAAAATAAATGGGAAACAACTGAAACCAGCTTTCAAATATTCAAAAGAGGAAATTTTTTAACGAATGTTTGCTATCATATCAGTATATCGTCTGCTGCTTACCTATTGGGCAAGTATCATTAAAGAGTAATTTCATTTCTGACAGTTCTCAACCATAAATATTTTTAGGGGGGGGGGGTCTTAGTGTCGTATGCAGAGGTTTGCGGGGTCGTAGTTGTTCCTCTTCAGACTCGACTCTGACCACCTCTTCTTACGTGACCGCGTTTTATCCATTGAGGTGTCAATGGTTTTATCATATGTTTCTCTCTTCTGGTCTGACTGCTGCTAAGATTGGACGCGTTTTTGTTGCTCTGTGTTACTGTTATATCTGTTCGAATTCGTGCATTTCTGCTGAGAAATAAATTTCTTTACTGGCGCCATCATATTATTAAACTTATTAATGGCTTTTTAGCACATAGGATAGCCTTGTAGCGACTATTTTCATCTTTAAATGCTTTGAATTTGAATACGATTGGGTTGTGAGCTGCAGACAAAAGCGATTTTAATGCCAACAACAACGCAAAACGATTCATATGTACACATCAACCTCCCATGCGTCATACGCAGTGTTTTTGGACACACACGTCTTCCATTAATTTATATATCTAAATACCAAAGCAAACAATTTAAAAAATCTGATAAGCAAAAAATGACGTTATTTAATTTTCAATTTTTTCTGCTGAGGAGCCACAGAGTCGTAAAAACCTAAAAATGGCATTGAAGAATCATAAGGGACGCAAAAAGAAATAATCGTTTGAGTTCGGATTTGACGGCTATAAGAAAAAAAAAAATTTCACGTGCCATTGCCCTTTCTTTTCGTTGTCATATTCACGTTTCCCAATATTCATCTCATTTTTCCTGGTCCGCTTTAGTTCTATAAACTTCGGCAAATGATGTTGACGGTTATGACCTATCGCATACACAATGCTATCGTCAATTTGTAAGGCATAGATCGGCCTAGTTTGCCGAGTGAAACGACGAATAAAACGGTTAAGTTATTCACGTGATTACATGGTAAAGATTGGGACTGGTAACGATAAGCAAGGTTTCCCATGAAACAGTGTGTTCTCACTAATGGCCGAGTTTGATTGCTCATTTCACAAGGTCTCAAATGCTACAGACCCCGTCGTACTGGCGAGAGAAAACGTAAATCTGACCGTGGATGTATTGTTGATGCTAATCTCAGCCTTTTGAAATCCATCATTGTCAAGAAAGAAGATAATAAACTCCCTGGATTAACTGAAAATTCAATCGCAAAACGTCTCGTCGCCTAAGCGTGCAAGTAAGATCGGGAAGATCTTCAATTTATCGAAAAAAAGATGACGTTCATCAATATGTTACCAGACGCCCCGTTTTCCCAAAAGGAGCGCAAGAGTTGCTGAGAAAAGTGACTTTTTGGACACGAAATGGACCTATATGTTGTTTTCCTATTATGTTGTGTTGTTTATGATTACAATTTTTCTCCTTGTTGTTATGGAAAAAATCGATTTTCTCTGCTTTGTCAGTCAGCGCGTAATAATTTTTGTTTTCGCAAGAAGGCTATTACTTTTATTTATTTTGAAATATCTGCGGGCTCTATGGAATTCGCGAACTGGTGGTCGAGCGAAGTCGTGAATACTGCGGTTCCGATAGTCTACTGTGAAAGATTACTGTAGATGCCAATAATATTTCGTTTTGACTTTCGTGTCCATATATGTGAGCATTGCTCTCCTGTTCTGAAACAATGACAACGATCTGCGGCCACATTTAGCCCGCAGTTTGCCGACCTCTGTTTTAAATCATATAGCCTACTGCAAACTTTAATTCGATGGAAGTTCCTGCCTTTGAGTTAACAGGATAGTTTTGAGATGTCGCAATTACCAAACACCCATTTCTTTATCAATTCCAAATTGCTTTCAAAGTACTGCCCGATTGTAAATCGCGTTTTTCTGTGTTTGTTTTATTATTTTTTGGTGGGCGGGCACGTACATTGTACGCTTTTTAACTATTTTAAAGTTATGCCCGTCGCCAAGGGATCTCTGCATTTTGTTTGCCTGTTTACTTTTTGTATTGTTTACGTCAGAGAACCAAAATAAATGATTGATAGTTACGGATTTTTTATGTTTCGTCACATCAGAAAATCCATAGCTGCAAGGTCATGAAGATGCAATTGACAACATCAATCATTTTATTTCGATTCTCTGACACAAATCAAAACAAAAAGTAAACGGACAAACAAAGTTCAGAGACACCTAGAAGGCGAACATAACTTTGAATATAGTGAAAAACGTACAAGCATAATATGCGCCTATCCAGTACCCAACCCCCAAAAACACCTTGAAGGCGAACATAACTTTGAATATAGTGAAAAACGTACAAGCATAATATGCGCCTATCCAGTACCCAACCCCCAAAAATAATACAAGCACACAAAGGCGTGAACGCGTTTCAATATCGGGCAATACGCGTAAAGCAACTATAAATCAGAAAACATGTAGCAATCGAATATAAGTGCAGTTGGGAAGCGAATATTTACAATCAGTAAAATATCGCAGTCATTCAAGGCAACGGTTCCTAAACGGTGCGCCCCGAAAATGAACAGTTAAACAACTGATATATGATTGAATATTTGACATATTGTATTCATCATAAATGTTTTATTGATTTTTTGTATTCACAATAAAATTCATGTAGGCTATGGCCAGTAGTCTACAATAGAAAAAAAAATCCCCGAAAAGCGTTTCCCCCTGCAACCGCCTTTTAGGCTTGTTTCACAATGGGATCGAGCAAATGTTGACGACAGTTTGATCAATTTGTCACCCTTTTGTAGCTTATCTAATGATTCCATAGTAATGTCGCGTTCAAACTAATCTTTTTTGAAAGACAAAAAACTTAAGCTTGTTGGTATATTTCGTAACTTCTGCCTTTCATGGTTATTCACGGCTATTCCAGAGGAACTGAACAACACTGCAGACTCAGTCCAACTTAGCACTTAGCGCACAGCGTATGAACAGAAACAACATAAATTTTGACGGTTTTGAAGCAGCTTTGAACAAGATTTGTAAGCATTATAGGAAAAACTCTTCCAAGCTGCTCGAGGAATCAATGCTTAAAAAATAAGTTGATGATTCTTGGTGATCCACGTTCTGAACGTGAGCTTTAGACTTTGCAGTTTCGCCACACCTCCTAGGCTTGAATCAATTAAATGAATCATGTCATTGCCTAGATGGATGAGCAAGTTTTTTCAGAATATTTTTCCGATACTAATTATCAAATTTAGTCTTGAATAAACAACGGGGTTACTGCATCACACAAATGAAGTTGAATGAATACGACCTAAAATAGATTTAGATAAGTAATGGTAGGTTATATTTATTCTAAATTCAAACCAACTGCTTTTCGGTAATTCGAAGAGCACCGCGACTTTCCGCAGAATCTCGATCATGGCTTTGCGGTAGTGCATCCGTATGAGAACGTTGCGAGGATGCCGTAGCAAGAATGAAGTTGACTGCCGGCATTGTAATTAATTCATGAAAGTGCTCAGTGACAAGTCGAACCAGTGAATGGGATTTACATATTTATCCCGGTGTAGAAGAAAGCGGATATGACGACCCACTCATATGGCGAACCCCGGCCTTTCACCCGGCTGTAGTCCATGTCCAGTATGGAATTGTTTGGTAAGGTATTCAATTGTTTCAGATGCATGGAATTCATGGTGGAGGAAGCCGTAACCGACCATCGGTTACTTGAACCACCCTACGGAGGAGTCCACCATTTCGCTCGCACATAATTATTATCAAAGTTAGATACACATTAATAAAACTGTAGACAGTTAGTCAGCATAAAATCTTCTCCATATTGTAATGAGCAGCATGATTTAATTTGGAATCCCTCTCGTTTACTGCACGTAGCAATAACCACAAGATTTTTGTCTATTTAAAGAGCGCACAACTTAGTTTCACACATAACAATGTCGCACAACTGTTTCTAGGTCAGCTTTGTCTTGTACATCTATCCCATCACTATTACGGTTTTATAATGTTTATTCATTACCGGTATGCAGACGCTGTTACATTTTGAAGCAAGAAACATACTTACACACACAGATACAGAAGTTTGTTATACTGTACTACGCTGAATTTGAATAAATTTGACGTCACCGGAGAGATAAATCACGTGACAAATGAGTGTGAAATAAGAGCAGTTTAGTTTTATTCTTATGTTTCTGTGTTTATTGCTTCTGTCATTGCAGGTCTTGTACTTCTGTCTTCTGATCTTGGTACCGATTTTTTTTTCTAATTTGATGAAATTCGTTAAATAATTTAATTTTTGATGTAACCTAATGTTCTTTGCGTTGACATAGTGCAAGTCTTAGTGCAGTGGGTGAGTCTGTTAGTGGCAGTAGTGGAGTCTGCCTTGGATTTTCATTTTTAGGTTGGGAGAGAAAAGTAAAACTGTACCTACCTACAGACCTATGCCCTGCCATTCTGTGATAAGATATGAGTCATTCATGTTGTCATATCTTGAATAGCATAATATTCGATAGCCAGATTTGATATCATAGTTATTGTGTCACCGGTAATCTTTTGTGTGGGTGTTTGTTTTACAATTTGAAGTTGTTGGCCAGATGTCCCTCAAGGCTAAATTGGCTTTAAAACCACAACTACAGCACAGCTCACCGATTCCAAGAATAGCCCCTGCATTATGCGACATCAATTATAACAGAGAATGCAAATGTTTCAATTGAAATAGTCGATGAATTGATATAAATTATTATCGACTTCGTTTTCGCAACAAATTCAGTGTTTGTTTTATTGAATGTCGGGACATCTTGGAATCGCAGCCATATACTGAAACGAAGCTTGAAATAAAAAAGAAGCCTGTAAAGGCTTGACTCTGAAATTAATTATCTACAGATATGGGAAAAATCCTGTGAATTTGTCGAATTTCTACTGATGGTCCAGATGCACTAAATTTTTGACGTAAATCTGACAACTGTTCCCACCATCTTTCTTTTTTTGTCATTTATTTTTCATGGCATCAATTGTTTCTGGCAATCAATCCTCTTTTACCGTTTTGAAATACTAAAATAATAGAGATGTCTGCTAGGGTAACTTTGCTTGTCGATGAGCTGGGAACAAAAAATATTAGCGTCAACAAATGATAGTTAAAAGTTGTCTTGCTACATTCGATACCACACATAACATTTTCGATTAAACATTTGTCTTGGGATTGAGTTATATGTGTCGCATCAAATATTTGTGTCTTATTTCCAGATATTTATTTATACACATCTAATGTCATAATCAGCTGATGCTCCTTGTTTTGCCGAAGTGACGTGTATTTTGCATATATAGTGAGATATTGTAAAGAGAAAAATTTGCTGTACTAACTCATGGGAAGCAGTTATGATTGCTTTTGTAGCTACTATTGGTCATTGAGATAAATTAATCTTGATAAAGGACAACTCCAATATACACCATGATGGTGCTCGAGTATTTGTTTTCTTACGATTGTACTCTACTGACTGAATAGTTGTACAAGTTAGTTTAGCATAGACAACTTTCCCCTCGTGTTGTTTATTCAAGCTTGCTTAACACCAAAAAAGAAGCATGCAGGATTTTATGCAAGTCTAGTTAGTTATTGCTTCTGCTAGGCATTAAGAATTCACTATTCATGCATAGTTATGCAGGTTTGAATCTTGCAGATGCGATAATTGTACATGGGGACTGCTGGATTCAGCATTGTCGCAGGATTGTTTGCGTAGCAGTTGTCGATTATGACTTTACCTCATAGAACTGTCAAAAGATATCTATTCCCATATCTGATCTGGTAATTGGATGAAAGTGTATTTTATCAATCTGTTTTGTCTAATTATATTTGCCAGTATAAATATGAAAATCTAGTCCATTGCCATTTTTATGTTGAATTCTAGTAGTTTGATCATCTCTGGATGGCTCAATCTTGTCATCTTATTTTTGACGAAGGGTAAAAATATTGATTTCTTCGGTTTCGGGAGGTCAGAGTTTTGACGTCGTATATTCTGAAAATACTTCTCCAGCGTTGTCATTATTATTTAAAAAAAACTTCCTATTTGACTCCATATATCAATCATTGCCTACTTCATAGTGCTGATGTGAATTGCAATACAATTACAGTTGGATTCCAAAGCTTAAATTACAGTAGCAAAATGAAATTTTTTATCTTAGTCGTATGTAATAGGCAGTACAGCACAGTTCTCCAATTCCAAGAATAAATAAGCCTTATATTCATAGACATCAATTATAATGATCAATTATACAAAACAATTTTGGCAGGTAACCTCCTTCTTGTCACAAAATCTACAAACCGGTACTGCGCATTAAATCAAAAAAGCGCAATCTAAAAACGTCAACATTGAAATCCTCTGAAAAAGGAACAAAATTTTACCTTAGCCAGAGTTTGTAGCAAAAACTTTCCACAGGAACGGATTTTGGTTAGGTGGTGGCCAATGTATGTCACGATTGATTTATATTATTATCGAGACAATCACGGCACAACCTTACACATCTTCCTCCCAGAACATCTGTAAACCTCATATCAATCAATCACAAATTTTTTGCACAATGCAAGGAGAAATTTGTGTGATAAGTTTCTTAGATTCATGTGTTTTGCTTGTTCATCATAAAGACTTATATGTGCCGCGTAACGGGTTTTACTTTCTGTGATGGTGGTGGCCAGCCTGGTAAAATTTTATTCTTCAGCGCGTGTTGATTGGTGAATTGCAACCACCTAGATATTGGGTTCTTTATACGAAGCATAGTTTAGAATCTATTTGCGAGTGGGATATCCAAAAGATGTACATTGATCCTTATCATTTGATTTAATATTAATATATGTTTTTTATAGTCTGAACTCGGAGGTATAATGAAATAGCTTATTCTACCTCATTTTGACTGCCCCAGGCATTTTTTTTCAGAAAAAGTTCGAAGTGTTGCACCATTAGAATGAATTTTTAATCAACAAAAAATCATCTCCTAATATTTATACCAACACACAAACAAATGTTTCAATGATTCCCATCACTGCAATAATTTTAGTTAAAAAATATCCCACTATATCTCTCTTGCCTAAATGATTTGTGCATATTTGTGAGAATGGGAACACTACTGATGACTCAGACACCAAATTTGTAATTGCTTATTTTTGGTGTCTTATTCCATGCTTATCTTATTATGGTTTAATCGGAACATACAATCTATATATATGAATAGGTCACCTATTTCTAGCTTTTGTGAAAAGAAATTCTAATTAAGAAGTTTGTTGCCTAAAAATAAAAGTATTCGTGACCTGCCGATATGTATTGGAAAATGTGCGAATTAATTTTAAGGATTATCTTATCTATGTATAAAATTTAGGCCAAAGCTTGTGGTCATTATCTGAATTAAACGCTATTTTGTACATGTATGTCATATTTATAAAAAATAGTAGCATCTAAGGCTGAGATATATGTACCACGTAAAGTAAGTTTGTTTGAGGTAGTTTTATTATCATATTATTTATATTTTACTATAAAGTATAATAAATTTATAATATTTCTTAAACAATTTATTTTTCATTTTGCTGTTTAAGGTTTATTACAGTTACCAATAGATTAAACATATTGAGTAGTTGAGAGAAAGATTTTTTGGTTTTTTGGTTTTCTATATTTTACATTATTTTCTGGTTTTTGGATATACTGATCACTGATTATATTCTCAGTGAAGTGAATTACAAGCAAAAGAACAACATATTACATGGAATCTTATTGAGATGGATCTTCTAGGATATAGGCTCGAGGACGTAACTTGAAGCATTTTTTTACTTTGAAATTGGAAATAAAAATAGACAATTTGTAGAAATTTGATTTGCTACTAAACATGGTGAGACAAGGATCTATTTCCTCACCAACTCGCAGTGAAGGAAGCGAGACTTCCAGGAGACGGAGTATGGAATCCATAAGTTCTGCAAACAAAACTTCAACAGACACTGGTCTGGATGATGCAATCATGGTGGCTATTAATAAGGTATCAAATTGGTCATTTTTGCTATATATCATGAACTGGTTCCATATATGTGTCATATTTATATGCTTTTGCCCTGAACAAGGCTCTGCACCACAAACAACCACTGATATAAATAAAAAGAGATATAAATGTCTTTCTGGTTCGGCTTTTCCTATTACATCCTGGTTGGATATACATGCTATCACAGTATTTTGACAAAGTCCGACTCTTTGACCCCTCCAGTCAGTTATTAACAGTATGGCATGGAAATCAATGTTTTACTAGTTTTGAAAGAAGTGAAATATTCAATATCAAGACTAAGTGGTCTCTCTCATTTAATCGTATCGGCTATTTTATAGGTAAATTTACATAACTGTTTTCTTTAATTGACCCTCTTCCTGGCTGCAAACCTACTTTTTGCTTACTGGTATATACCGGTACCTCTGTAGCAGGGGTTCCCAAACTTTATTGGCCATGGCCAAATTTAGAATCGGAAGGATGTGCACGGGGGGGGGGGGGACGATTGTAGCACTCGAAAGTGCGCGTTGGTTTAGCTGGGGTTCAGTGGATTCACTTTCATTTGACATTTTTTGAAACAAGTTTGTTTGACTCATAATGGGGTATAATGTCGTATTCCTTCAGAACTGGAATAGTTCATTGGGAAAGCAGACAAATCGCTTACCGATGAGTTTGATTCTTTTCATAACAGAAATAGGAATGCAGCCATTTATCCAAGAAACATCTGTTTTCAGAGTATAGTTTTCGTTTGTTTTTTGATATCTCAAAGCTTTCTTATATGGATAATAAACCAAATTACTGCCCTATGTAATCCTGATACCGGTACATATAATAGAGATACCAGTATAATTGAATTGTTACGATAAACACATGCTCAAACTGTGACAATGACTTAACAATTGGTGGTGTGTAGATCGCAAGAAAGGTAAGAAAAAACAAAATCTGTTGAACCCCTTTTCACTTCACTCAAGTTCGGCGGGCCATTTCAAATCATTACCCTGGTCGGATTTATCCTCCAGGCTGGGTTTAGGAAGTCCTATACGACATATGCTTTTTATATATGTTGGGTACTTTCCAGCTCTGTCATCAATGGCATAATGAACTCTCATCAATATAGTCAGCTATTTTAATGTAATAGACAAATTGCATTCTGATAACTGATTTGAACATTCCCATGGTCATCTATTACGCAATCTGATATATGATATATCTGATACGCTATAGGATTTATTTCTATAAACACTGAAATCTGTAGGCCTGTAGGCTGTAATTTACTGATGTCAAATATTGTCATTAAGAAAGAAAGAACGAACAAAAATTTATTGTAATTGTTTAAGTATTTTAGTGGACTAGTTTGAACAATCTTTATCAGTCTTCATTTGAGGATGTCTCCAACAAAACTTGAATTTTAATTCCTTTCCTGTTATTGTTGTGGCATCCTGAGTTTGTATATGTATATGTTACTGATACTGAAAACTACCAGCATTAATCAGACAGAGTAAATAAATTTTGCGTACTTTTGTGGTCATTAACAAGTTGGATTTATTTCTAGATCAAAGGACAAAAGCAACGTCCAAATATGCAGAGAATTTGTAACGCTGTATCAAAAATTTTACTAACAACAACGCATGAAGAAGTGACAAATCGCGTAGAAGAAATGGTAATCGAGAATCATATCATGAAGGTGATTGAATTTGTTCAATAATTTTATCTACATTATGCAATGAATGCCTCTCCAAGTCATATAATAAATAACAATAAATCATTAGAATTTTTGCACTTTGTGTATTAACAATACTTTAAGATTCGCTGAAACACAAGGACCTGAATTTAACTTTGCTGAATTTATGTATGTATTTCCTGTTTTGTTACAATCTATCAGGCAGTGGTCATGGATATCTCTTGTACAAATTAAGGCTCTAAGCTTAATTTATTATGTGTGATGATACAATAGTTCGCTGAGCTCGCCAACTGTTAGACCACCAGTCATTTAGTTATGCTACCGTTGACGTTTTTTGTGGGGGTGACCCCTGAAACAGAACCTAAGTCACTTGAACCTATTCTTGGAAAACTTAACTTTTGTGTTATACGTCCTAGATTTCTGAAACTTTTGGTACAATCATACACAAACAGTAGTTCGAGCTTTAAATAAATTTTCGTCCTTTTTGTAGGAGGAATCAAGAAATTGATGGGTTCTGTTTTTTTGGAGTCACCCTGTATATTGGCTGATATTTTAATAATGTTAAAACTTGAAAAAATTACAGATAATGAATCATGGAGAATACTCGTACCGTGATCCTGCTACTATGACACCGAAACCTTGTGGAAAAGTAAAACGAAGTTTCCTGTCACCAGCACCAGCTAATGGAAAAACACCAAAAAAGTTCGTCCTGCCATCCACACCCAAAACACCTCTTGCCCCACCTCCTGAAATAACATTGATTCCGAGAAATCCTTTACAAAGACATAAAATGATACAGGTTTGTAATATGTGATTGCCAATTTGCGATTGCTCAATATTTTAGTATTTTATTCAGGCATTTTCAATGTGTTAGCAGTAAACCTAATAAATCAATGTAGTCATTGATTTTTTTTTTTTTATAAATTTCAGGTTTCTGACTACACTCGTTTGATTACAATTGGCCTTGAAGCATTGACATTACCAGAGGGTTGTTTACTGAAAGATATTGACAAATATATTCAATCAACTTATTATGTGCAGGTGAGTTAGACTGAAGCTTCTCCTCAAATTTACATTGCTTCAAATAGTTTTTGATTACTAGTAATGATTCTGGTTAAATAATTTCTGAGTTGTTGCTTCTTATTATCATTCTCTAATTGCTTTGTCATTGAAGTTTCCAGTTTTCATTCTCGTAGGATATGGTTAGCAATAAGTTATTTATGTTCATCTTGAAAATTTTTGATAAACAGGGTATTCAATCATTGGAATTAATTCGTCATATTCGTGTTGCTGCAAAACATGGAGTTGCAACAGGATTGTTTATCAAAGAAGATTCACTTTATAAATTATCACAGAAAAATACAACATCACCCAACAAAACAAATCATACTGACACAGATGATGGAAAAGTTTTGGAGGTAATTTTTAAATCAAGAATTAATGGTACTTCCGTAGTATGTGTACCAGGTTAGGATTAGGTCATAATTTATTTCGATTTTCCTCGTTTTAGTACTATTACGAGTTCGGGACCGCCTGTGGTATCAAAGTGAATATACCCCCTGCTCATAGGTTTCAGTCCCTTCACACAACTTGATGAAAAGTAGATGAACAAAATTAGTTACCTCCATATTGGTACACATACTTCTGGAGCGCATAATTTTTTATCAGCCTCATTCTTCTATTCGAGCTATAGATTACTGCAATAGTGTTGTAATGAATTGACAGGTGATAACACTGTGTTATAGATAGATTCAGATTTGTTGTATGTATTGTTATTTATTATATGAGTTGTAATAGTGATTTGAAAGCATAACAGTATGGGCTGATCTGCGCTTCTTTTTTATTTTACGTAATTGGAATGGGTTAATTTTTTAAATATCATATTATGTCATGATGATCTTATTTAACACACAATGTAACTTCAAATTCAATTACCTGTATATGTTATAATTATCAATGTGAATGAACCATGCAGTGTTTACTCGGTTCACAGGATTTATATATTTGATGTTTAGAATAGATTGACGTAATATATAACCGCAAATGGCACATCGGTATTTGAGTTTATCATTGTTATTTAGTAACGTTTTGTTGGGAATTCGGTGTTGATCTGTATTTTGCTATTTGTAAATGATTGAAGAAAGATTAGAATAAATTCACTACAATTATTTTAATTTCTGTTTGAACTTTGTTAATTTAATTATAGCTGACATGTAAAATGAACAAATAATGTGTTTATCTGCCTTTGACATTGTCACACCTACATTTCAAGTAGAATAGCCATGCGTCAAACTACCTACACTTCGAGTAAAATAGTCATGCGATGGACTGTTACTACTTACTATTATGAGCTATCTATATATTACCTTACAATCGCTTTTATTTTTAAGTTTTCGATTGTCAATTACTTTCATTTTAGTGAGATTACTATTAAGACTTATGTGTATATTTAGTTTTGACCTATAATTCTGTTTGCATATTGTCTTTACAGTTCACACTATAAAATAACAGTACTTATTTTTTTAAATATGGTATTCATGGTTTTCTTTGCTGTGGTACTTTTCAGTTTACATCTCTGACAATATGATTATGACAACATAATAATATAGTGATTCATATCTCCAGGAATTGTTTTCTGACCACTGCTGCACAGTGCTCTGTGTCTATATTTAGCTAAAATATATGATATATCAATATATAAACCTGATTGTATCTGAAGGGATTTTTGACTGTGGTATTTCCTTTTTCCACATAACCTATAGTTAGTATTGCTTCTACATTTAAGGTATCATATTGTGGACATTACTCTTGTTACCAAATCTTTGACAGATTTATTATAAAGTGACATTGTTTGAATATATTAGATCTTTGTGACATCACTGTACACAAAGAGGAAAATTTAGATATTTCATGTACTCAGTTTGTCATAAAGTTTGTGGTTCTGCCCATGGATAGCAAATATATTTAGAGAAAATATTTTCAAATACCTTCTAAGTAGGGGGCAAGTTTATATGGAAAATTTCTTAAATCACTTTATCCTCATGTTGATCATATCTAAAACCACATAAATATAAAGGTCATTGTTTTCAAGGTTTGTATGTTACCAGTTGAGATATCGTATGTTTTGATCTACTTGTCTTGTGGCACAAAATCGCTAATTTTTCAATAAAAATGTTCTGAATCCTTCCTAAGTTCAAAAGTTTACTTTGTTGAATATGATCAATTTTAAATATATTGGAATATCCGATTCGTTTTGAACATCTCTGAAACTTCTGCCACTGATTGTAAAATTATGTTAACGAGTTTTGCCTATTTGAATATTCTTGATGGTTGAAATTCAAATAGATGAAGTAAATCATATACATAGACAAAAATCATGATTCACATAAAGGTGACCTAACACTTAGCAGATCATAAACAAATGCCACTGTTAGAACAATGATTATGACAAATTACAAAACTTTTTCAACTGTCTGTAGACTGATTGGTTGATGGTGAGACATAAGCAAACATTGTCTCATATCCACATGACAGCTGTTTCTGATAATATAATCACATCAAAGACATTGTATTCCCAACTTTGTTCCCAAAGTCGGTTGACAATGAAAAGGTCAGATTAGATTAATTTCAGTCAATTGTATTTATCACAGTCTGGCTTATTTTGTGATGTTCGTTTTCATTTCTTAAGATACTTTTTCCGCTGTAAAGTGCAATCATGATGAGGAAATGGGGAATAATAAAAACTGATTTTAGCCTTTATTGATTCATTGACTATATACAGTGGAAAATGCTTTTTGAAACAACCTGTACAATACTTCATTTGATTGATAAAATAACCCAATTTTGTATTCTATAATAAAGGTTGTTATAATTCTGTTTGGCATAGGTAGCAGGTGCAAAATATATAAATTACACACTAGGGTCTACAATTACAAATTTTTATATAACGTGGTAGCAAGATTTATTCATATCCATTTCAAATGAAAAACATGAATAATTTCAATTCTTCAAAAATTTTTTAAAATGTGGCACTGCTGAAATATAGAAGCTCAATATGTGCTAACTAATACTGACTTCAATATATTGTATTATTCATGTTAATTGATCATATATTTCCTGAGATGACTAATGCCATAGCTTATTATGACAAAAGAGAATTTTTCATTTCTGGGAAAATTTTGATATTCGTTGTGATAACAGTGACATAATTTAATTGAATAATACAAAACCAGGAAGTGAAGCATTCCTAACATATTTTCATCAGATGTTTCATTGATTTGCATACCGTTTGCCTGCCATTGGTTCTAATAGTTGAAGTAATATTGTTTTTAATATACTGAAAAGCTGTATTTGGTTGCACTCGATTTACAATTCACCTTACAGTCTTTCCAAAATACAGTAATTCCCATCTTATATATTAGTGCCTTCTAGTTTACAGACTTGTTTGGAGTGAAAATGGAATGTTTGTGATACAAATATTTTGCTGATAAATAAATGTACGGTATATAATTTAATCAATTTATATGAATTTAATAATAAAAATTTATTTATTTTCTCAACAGTAATAGTTTTGATAATTTGTATTCAAATTCAGATGAATGGACTCTTATTAGGTCAAGATGTTTCAGTTTCCATTTCCCTGATTCAATAGATTATGACTTTATTTATATTGTATTATCAAGTGTATTATTTACCAAGCACATTGTTGATGCTATAGCGAGATTATCATCACCGGTTTATCAACCGCCTTTTGTCTGTCGTTGCGCGCGCAGGTGCTTTGTCAACAATATTATTGTGCACCGATTGGCGTGACCTTTTGCAGAGCACATACGTCAAACACCTATTTATTTTTAATTTCTGAGACCGCCCTGTAAACACTACACATTTGGGGTTATATAATAGTTCTCTAGTCGTTAAGTGTTGTCAAAATAAAACATTCTTTTATGTGTTGTAAAATAGACAACACACTGAATTTTTCAGCAGATTTTTTAAGCTGTTTTAAATTTGTTTTGGGTTTAAAGCTTATGTGAGACTTGCCGATAACCTTATGTTATACTAAATTATGATGAAAAATTATATTGCCTGAAAACGTTTTTAATAACCTTTTGACACGAAACAGACATCAATATCTAACTGTTCAGTAATATGATTATGCAATAAAATAACCATTCCAATTGACACAAAATATAAAGTTATTTATTTTGTGGATACTGATTTGTTAATAAACGTTCTTATACTTCAGATAATCACAATAGTTTCGGTTGAATTTGCGCTTTGCAGGTGTCTAAAATACCTAATAATTCCCCCAAGTGCCTTCTACTGGCTGTTTGACATGATTTATTTTCTATTTTCTTAATAAAAATTTTATGATTTATTTTGATTACAATATCAATAAGGTCAAATATAAACGATGATTATAAATGAAGAAATACCCTGAACTTGTAGTTGTTCAATGTCACTTTTGAAGGTCCAAATTAGAATTATCTTCAGAATTTTTGAATGTTTATTAAGTTTTTATGCAATTGAATATAAATGGGCTATTTAAACAAATCAACTCTGATATCTTATCATAAAAAATCTTTCTTTGAAGTTTTATTTAACACATTGTGAACTCAGTACAACTTGTTTGTGGTGTTTGGTGTTGACACCAGTCAATGGTTGTTTTTTAATTTTCTTTAACAAATATTTTTTTTAGGAACCAGAATTAGAAATTGTACAATTGTGATATTCAATTAATAATAATCATTGGATGAATCATTATGTCATTATTCAATGTTCTAATTATTTTGGTCCGATTAATTGATCCATTTTGCTATTTCTATTTTACCATTCAAACTGATCAAATTCATATTTCGATTCAAATGTTAGAGCGATGGCTTAGAACAGGGGTGTGCAGCCTGCACCTGCGCGCCAAATGCGACCCTCAAAGAAAAACCGTGCGGCCCCACGGAAAAGTGCCAATTTTGAATGATGTGCGGCCCGTGTGCAAACAACGAAACAATGCATGTCACAAGATCAATAACCAAAATTTTTGTGCCTGCATTTACCAGAAAGCCTATATTAACGTGCAGCCTGCGGTTTCACCCAGTTATTTCTGTGTGGCCCTCCTGTGTCAAAAGTTGCACACCCTTGGCTCAGCAAATAAACTGTGTTTGCATCGCAGTTTTGGGTTCAAATCTCATGCCCTCACCCAGGGTGTAATAAATTAGGTGGGCCGAATCGGAAAGATTCCGGACTTTCTAAAAATAATAGCTCATTACAGATTGGTAGATATCAGTGGTTGCTTATACATACAGGGCCTTGTTTAAAGCGAAAAGTGTAAATGAATCGCCACAGAAAAAAAAATTCATGTTATAGATTTTCAATCAATTGTATATATAAAAAATATAAAAAGCTTTTGAGAGTTGCAATTCATAACTGTAATATGACATGTTTCAATTGTGAGTATTTTTCAATAATGTATTCATCCATTTACTTATACTTGACTGATTTATATATCAATGAGTGGAAAATACTACTATTTGCGCTTTGAGATTAAGGCATGTTTGTCTCAAGTATTGTGGTTTTGCTAGCTGGTATTAAGTCAGCAATGATTCGTTATCAAGGGCACTCGAGTCAAATCTAGTCTGAGCCTGTTGAGATGAATTTGCGACAGTTTAGTAATCGAGTTGTTTTGAATTCACAACATCGACCACTTATCTTGAATGGAATATGCGACTCTTGAGATTGCTTCATCATAAGTATTTTATTTTGGTAATGGATGTCCTTGAATATAAGTATGGATAAATACAGTTCGTACTATTTAAATTTGATTTAACTTTTAGCCTCTTGGGCCTTACCTTTATAACGGCCCCAATAACTGCTTGTCTGAACCATGTTTATTGCAAAGATGCATATTACATCATATTTGGAGTGAATATGCCTTCGTACATAATCATATATGGTACTTATTCATTAAATCAACATTGTTAATCAGTTATACACTAAATTGCAATTTCATGATTAAAGACGCTAGGCTAACAATAAAATCCTAATAGATAGTAAATACTATTTAAGAGCTATCCCATACGCTGTAACTTGCGGGAAATGCAAACATTCTCCCCCCCCTTTATGCTAGGTCACTATCAAAACTAAGAATGCAAACAATTACGGTGTCTTTTTCATTAATCAGTATTTGCTAAGTTTTTAATGTTTTCGAGTAATATAGTGTATTTATTTCTAGTATTACCAGTGTGGTTATTTACCTTGATAATCATTTATCCGCTCTAGTATCATTTTCAAACAAATAAATATAAACTTGAGATATTCACCCAAATATTTCACAAGCAATTATAATCAATCAAATTATATTCCCGTATAATTTAATATCACATATAGATTGTATTACCAATGCTATTTTGGTATCAGTGGTCCCAGACACAATCATGATGTATTCCACGTTCATACTTTTTCGATTATTGTGCATAGCCATATGAAGTTTTAAATTATTTAACACTGATCGTTTTCAAGTGCGACCCTTTATTTTTATAAACTACTTCGATCGGGCTTGATCTGATTAAAATAACTATCATATTATCGCTTTGATGTTTAATTTTATTATTATGACCTGATAACATTAAAGGCTTTTAGATGAGTCAAGGTTAGATTACTTATTTTAGCATTAACATTTGGATTATCATTTGGGAACACTCTATGACCTGACCTGGAATTCAGATTGAATGAGTTGGTAAACAAAATATTGAACTGATCTGTTCTGTTTAATAAATAAAATAGTTTTTACAGACAGAAACCAAATTATTTCTGTTTTGAGAAATGTAATTGACAAAAATAAGGGGATTAAATTTAATTATGGAAAAGAGTACGTAAACAATTATTAGTAGGGTATTTTACGATATGGGAATAATTTCTATAATTTATTTATATATTCTGCCTAAAATTTTCTTGGAATAATATTTAAAATACCTCATTGCAATCTTAATAACTTAAATTGATCAACAAATGTCATCTGTCATTAGTACGGAATTGATACACAATATTGTTGGTGATTTCATTGCTAAAAGTTGACGCATGTTCAAATTCTCCCACTTATTGTTCTTAGAAGCCATCTATTATTAATGTCATTTGTGTGTATTATTGAGGTACTGAAGGTATTCGACATAGCGACTCTCGGCACAAACAATTTTCTGCGTAATATATGACTCAAATGTCATGTAATGCATTGGTCTGAAAGATTACTATCTTTTTTATGCATTATAGCTGCGTTGGGGATTTAAAACTTACCGTAGTTAATTGGAATAAATCATGGAATGAACGCCTAAAATAATTCAAGTATTGAAATCATAACGTTATTGGTGAAACCTTGCCTGGTATTAGTGTCAAACTGATATAGTCCACCATTTATTTCTAAGATGTATCTATATGCTCTGAACAAGGCTCCTCATAAACAATCACTAATATGTAAGGAGTTATTTTATTTTGGAAGGAGTTTGGCATGGCCAACCCACATTTATCACACACACTCTGGTTAAGGTTGTGGGCATGAGATTCAAACCAGAGATTTTATTAACCTGCGATTTGATCAGAGTTATGTCTAACGCTTGAACACTAGGCCACATTTTGGTAAATTTAGAATATGATTCATTGTGTTGATAAATTGAATGCATTATGGAGTATTGTTGCAATGTGATTCCTTATGATTGTATATTATGTTTGAATGTCCTGATAATCATACATATAATATGTACTGGAACAGGCTTACTCAACTGGTCCGAATCCGGACCTTTTGAGTATTCAATTGAAATAATTGGCAAAAGCGAAATGTAATTTCTCAGACTATTGATTGACAAATAACTTTCCTATTGGACACAAAGTGGACTAATGAACCGTTGCTAAAATTCTTGTGGACGTTGTGTTTTTTTTTAATATTGCTTGGAGAAAATCGCTTTTCTCAGCAACTTGTATGTTCCAAATTTTCAGTCTTAAAGATAGTTCAAGTCGCTGGAAGACTTATATATATATATATATTTTACGGTTGCTGTAGGGGTGAATATTTCACACCTTTAAAGCAAAGTTGGCTACACAACTGAAGTCTTGTCATACCAGCACCGAAGCGTGATATTGAGTTTTGCTTGTGTATTTTGTCAATCGATGCATTTGAAATTGTGTATGCATAGTCGAAATATAGTTTTTGGAATGACCAGATCCCGATAGTTTTAAAATTTTGTGTACGGACCTTTGGTGAAAATAGTTTAGTTGAGTAGCCCTGTACTAAAACATAATATGACTTTCTTAATATTGGAGACGTGGATAAGGCCATACTGTCCTAAAACATAAATCGTGAAAATAATTCCAATATTATTAATAAATTGCGTTTTTCTAAGAGTTTTTCCCACTGACAGTGTTGAACTAAATCACAAAATTAATACTGTACACTATACCAATCCAAATTGAATTTGAGACTATTGCAAAAACAGTACAAAATGTCATGTTTCATGCTTGTTTTTTATAGTCTGTTATGAAGCATTTGGCCTTGGGGAGAAACCAAAATGTATAAAACATTATATATACTTTTGTCTTAATATTTTTTAGACTCGTGCAGTACCTATCCAGATATGTGGAGATTGCAGAGGAACAGCACAATGTAATAAAATCGGAGAACCAGAGGAATTGTTATCTTGTGCTGATTGTGGTAATAGTGGTATGTAGATTATGGTTGACCATTTAAAAATGATGAGGCTAAAATGTATGTTTTGACTTTTGAAGCATACTTGTATGTCTTCTGCTAGGATAGCTTGAACTTATTGATTCCATACATTATCTATTGATTACTCATGCAATTCATTCATAGATTCTTGCAAAATGCAGGAATTTCATTTAATGAGAAAAATGAGGTAAACTTCAAAGTAGAATTCTATCAGACCACTCTACTCAAATATAGACTTCATTACCCACCTGCAAATTTTATAATACATTAACTATTGTTACTTATCGATTTTAATCGGTAAGTATGTTGATAGGTATTTGTCTGTCTGTATGTCTGTTAGATGCACGCGATATCTCACGAAAGCGAGATTGAATCTGCTCCAGATTTTGCATGTGCATTCATCTTATCTCGGATCGGAAGCCTATTGATTTTGGGCGAATTATGTCGTATAATTAGCGAGTTATTAATTAATTAGTGATGGGACACAAGGTGTCACTATGGAGTGAGAGCGCTGTTTTGGGGGATCCCCTAACTTTCGATCAATAAGTCTTCGGTCTCTGACCGATATTCTCGTTTCTAGTTTGTCGTTGAAAAATTTTTTGTGCCAATAGTTAATTGTGAAAATCTTAATTTTATCAAGGTCATCCATCATGCATGAAGTTGTCAGCAGAGTTGACAGCCAAAGTTCGTACACTCAGATGGCAATGTAATGAATGCAAAAGCTGTTACGTTTGTGGATCACAAGCCAATGCTGTAAGTTCTTTTATAACATTACTAAAAATTGTATCTTACATAAATTATTGTCCTCATCATTTCATAATTTAGTTTAGTGTTTTAGTAGTCGTACAATACAAGTTGTATTTTTTCATAATTTTTAGATCGTCCTATATGCATTGAACGTTTTTTTTATATTCAATTTTTGTTTCACTTGATATTTCATTACTTTTTACATGAAATGGATCATCTAAACACTAAACACTTCGTAAGTGCTCTTCAGTACGTTTGAGTTCATTGATATTTATAACCAAACTTCGTCCAGGTGTAGACAAGTGAGGCGACGGAGTTTAGCAAAATATTTTTAAAATTGTGATCAGACAAAAATGATACGTATTACCTCTAGGAAGTTTTTAGTTGTTTATATAAATGTGCCAAAATACTTAACAAAGACCACCAAAAGTTAAACCCACGAAGGAAATTGGCACCTTATGGTTCACCAGCAAGATGAAACTACTTATTTTAATTATGAGGTCAGAAAGCGATATTTGATGGCGTTGGTGATGCCCCTCACCTTTCATCATATTCTGTTTCACCCCGCAACGGCTTTAGCCTTTTTGTCTCACCCCCTTTTTACGCTTGAGTGCAATCAAATCGAATCGGATGACATTCCAGACCCCAGGGCCTAAAACAGTCGTCTGAAAAACAGACCCATGCTCTCTGTTTTCATTTTTGTTTTCATAGGTCAATTGTTGCGCACCCATAACGATCACCCCATCTCTAGCAAAAGCATCCGGAAACGGTGCGAAGAAACAATAACAAATTGTGTTTGTTTTTTCGATTTTCCCAGACTAGAGACAAACATTTTTTCATAAGTTGGTTTTGCTGTCATATATTTAAAAAATGTTAATTTGTTAATATATAGCACACTCTCAACTTGCTATGCAGCTGTTCCAATTGTTAAGTGGCAAATGGTGGTTAATATTTTTAAAAATCTCTATAAGTTGCCTGAGATATGTAATTGTTTGCCAATCCTCGTTCTATTGATTCAGCTTTATTAATAATTAAGACAAAACAAAATAATGATGGGCTTGTTATAACTTTTTCTGAAAAATTTGCTGTTGTGAAATTATTGTATTCAAATTTTCAATACATTATCAAGATCAAGTTATAAATAAACCGTCATTTGATTGATTTTTTGTATTTTTACAGTTTTCAGAAATTTAGTAAAACCTGTTGTGGACATACTGTGTGATGTCAAATGCTGAAATTGATGATAATTTTATGAACAAAATTCTGAAACTATTCCAGATTATTTTCAAAATCAGGAATTTGTTTTATTTCAATTTAATTTATTTTGGACAACCCTGCCGTTATTTGATTTCATTGCAAAATAAAAATAAAATTCCAGATTATTTAAGAGCAAAAATAGTTGCAAATGAGTTGTAGACTTCTGAACTATTTATACATGACATTCCTACTTAAAACAAATAACCTTTTTATTCACCTGAATCCTTCACATATGTAACAATATCCTGTCAATATTTTATTTATTATGTAGAAAAATATGGGTGGTATTAAATCTGTGCTAATGTAGTCATTGAATTGTAGTTGAACCATGGAATCTAAATGTAAATAATACACCAGCTTGTGTTTTTTGGACTCACGCCAGCTATAGTTTCTACTTTGTTGTTGTCTCATTGTACTTAACCCTATCACCTTCACTGGTGAATATTAATCACTTTAGTGAATCTGGTTTTGCATTCCAGTAATGTGAAATGATAAATTGCCAAAATAGTCATTTTGGGATATCTTATGTCATAAGGTTCGTTTTAGACTACATTAGAGAGAACTTTTTGTCTAGAATTAGGGGGTGAAGATGCTGGGCGATTGGCTCACTTTTGGGTTGATTGTGTCTTTTTTAGTGTCCTGCTTAGTTCAGAATTAGTGAACTTGTATCTTGTGCAGTTGACGTAATCATTAAACCTACTGTGTACATGGCATCCTTTCAATTGCGATTGGGGTCATAATCCAATTTGATTTGATTTTGGGCCGCTGATTTCGAAAGTTAATAATAATATGTTGATTAGGTCACTTCAATGTCATCTTGAAGGGTTCGATTGGGATTCTGTGACATTACATTCGAAGGTCATTACTACTAAACTATTGAAGGTCAGCACTCAGCGGTATTTGATTGGATTGTGGTCGGTGTGTGGCAGCGATATGGTTATACAATTTCCTGTGTCTACTATTTTCTCGGTTGTTACTTCAATTATACAATCTTAATTTAATTACTTAATGAAAGCAATGAGTAAATTAAAGCAGGGTCTATTTTGTACATTTAAACTGGATTAAAAAAACCTTTGGTTAGTTTCTATTATAGGCTATTCGATATTATACAGCCAGTCCAACAGCTCAGCTAACGTTTATATAAAAAAAAGGCACAATGTAACATTCTGGGTCATTATGCCGTTATTTGCATCGATATTTTCAACAGAAATTTATATTCATAAAATCTAGTCAAAATTTCTACAGGCACAAATGGGCCGAAACACTCCGCTGGGCCGTCTCTGGCCCCCCGGTTCGTAATTTGCCCACCCCTACTATAAATCTTTCAATTTTAAAATCAAAATTTTGATTTTGTTAAAATTTTTAGATTTGCAATCTTTATATTTGCTGATTTTCTGTAATAGTTTAATAAATGCGGATCGTATATTCATTTCAGTATACAGACATTGGATTATAGAATTTTTTTTTCAATTTTCCAATTTTAGAGTTCAGAGTTGACAAGACACATTCTTCATGCATTTTGCATCAATTCTTGTTTCAATATTACGAATTTAACCTTTAGTTGCCACATCGCTCGGTGTCGAATTTCTAACCATGACTTCTCATCAGACTACTTAGTGGGTGATGGGGTGAGAATAATACAGGCGTTTCATTTGTCAATTCTCAACAGGATTATTCTCAAGGTTACTACGGGTCATTTGAAAAATCAAACTCATAAATATTTTGTAGACTTTTGCAGGTGGCTGCAAAAAGAATTTGATATGGGTTTAACATATATGGACCAAGCATACTGATGATACTCTTACTCCAAAGATAGCTTGATATAGTGATGGCATCTTCAATAATTCGATAATTACATAGTACATTAAACTCTTGCACATGTTTGACTTTGTTAATATTTTCAGTTTTTTTTTTAAATTTGTTGCATCATCTTAATCATCAGTAGCTTTATTAAAAGGTATTTGCATACCCTTATTAGGGTAAAGAGTTCAATTTTATATTCGCAATTGTTCAACTGTTTACGATTGGATCTTCTGTCAGATTTTTATATCGATTGGGTTTCTGCTGGATCAACCACCTCTCCTTCTTCAACGCTTTTTAGCTGGTGGATCCATATGCATAATTATAATAGAAGATCGCTATAGCAATAGTAAAGATAATTATTCTAAGTGATAACAGACCAAAACATACGATATCTCAACTGGTAACAACAAAACAGAGAAACCAATGACCTTTATGTTTGTGTCGTTTTAGATCAACATGAAGATGTAGTAAATCATATAATTTTCCACATGAATGATTTAGAATGTTTTGAAAAATCCATATTCAAGAATATTTTTTTAAGCTGTGTTCCTCTAGTGCAGTGGTTCTCAACCTTTTATGGCTCGTGGCCCCCTTCCAGAGGCTTTTTGCACTCGTGGCCCCCCTGTTCACCATTCCCCAAAAAAATTGACGTGTTAGATTGTATTATGTATTTACGACCTTTTATAGAATGCAAAAACAAACTACAGGCAAAAAAGTCAAAGCTTTTTAGTAAATAATCAATGGGAATCTTGCGCTCGGTTCTGTCTAACTAGGTTTATTATATTAGGCACCGTCTTTCATATAGCCAGGCAATTGTCACTGTCAACATCCGGACGGTTACTAGATTTTGCTTTGTTGGTAAAAAGATCAGAAAAAAAATAGATTGGCACAGATAGGTTGTGGCAAATTTAACTAGCAATGAAGAAGCTTTCTTACTAAGTAGTAGGTAAGAATCGCAAAGAGATAACCAGAAGCTAGAAAAGTCTCCTTTGCTCGATTTCAAAGCAAACTTGTTGGCAAACATAAGCAGCCATGTCACCAATGAAGCCAACGTAACTGTGGTTCATTTTCGTATTATGGGCATTGGGAATTTACATATAGGCTTCTGCAGTTATATGATATCGACGGTTATGTCGCAGTCTAGCGAAACTGCCCGTTTGCAGGTTAGACGGCCACCAACGAGCTATTCTGACTAGTAGATTCAAAATTCCATTATGATCAAACAATTCACACATACAAGAAAGTGAATACACCTCGTGACTGGAAACAACCTATTCAGGTAATAAAACTGAGGGGAACGAGGAATTTTCTTTTAAATGGAAAGTATGCAAACGAAGTCGCTTCACAATCAATTTTTAGCCTTGTGTCGTGGCCCCCCTTGAACTGCTTCGTGGCCCCCTTGGGGGGCCACCGGCCCCCGGTTGAGAACCACTGCTCTAGTGAAATATTCGATTTTGGACATCCCAATCAATAATATTCAAAGGATACTCAATAGCTTTCCCAATATAATCATCATCAGGATAATATGTTTCCAATTTTCATTATAGTAATTTATTCATAACTAAACTGAAATCAACACTTCTATCTGTAGTAAGTCCTTTTTTTCGCAAAATTAAGCTGTTGTTCATATTCTGGACTGGTTACCAGTGACAACAACGATCTGTTCATCCATCAAAGCCTTTGATTTATCATGGTGGTAACTCCATCCATCTTCATAATCATTTTTCAACCAAGGATTGCCTCGTGATATTTAGCTACTCTTTTTCACACCGTTTTGCTCGAGTGGTTAAGGCTTGTAAATTTGTTATCGTGCTGTGACAGAGTTAAGTAATCTTGAATTAAAAAAATATTATTTTGTTATTTCTCGAAAAGTTACAATATTTAGAATAAACAATCATGCATAATATTTTATTAGAGCTTTTCCACGTACCAATATTATTTTTACC